ACGTCGATACGCTGGTGGAGCGACTGGAGGGAGAAGTCTCGGCCTCTAGGGGAACTGTTGATATGACTCAGTGGTATAACTTTACCACATTTGACATTATTGGAGATTTGGCCTTTGGTGAACCTTTCGGGTGCTTGCGAGAAAGTCAATACCATCCATGGGTCAAAATGGTCTTTGTGAGCGTCAAGGTCCTAGCTCTCCAACGACCTCTGGTGATTTATCCTGTTCTGGCACCTATTGTGAGACAACTTTTACCCAAAAGGCTCACGAAAATGCGACAAGAGCATTTTGCCTTGTGCACAGAAAAGGTCCATCGCCGACTAGAAGTCAAGACTGATCGACCAGATTTCTGGACTTACATCATGCGGTATAACGATGAACGGTCTATGACTACGGTGGAGATGGAATCAAATGCGGCGCTTTTGATCCTAGCCGGGAGTGAAACCACCGCCAGTCTACTTTCCGGTTTCACATACTATACCCTAACGAACCCCAGGGTTCATCAAAAACTCTTAGACGAGATCCGAGGAACGTTCAAATCTGTCGATGAGATTAACTTTCAAAGCGTAAGTCGTTTGACTTACCTGGGTGCAGCCCTTGAAGAAAGTCTGCGGGTTTATCCGCCCGTCCCTTCTATAATCCCTCGGATAGTGCCAAAAGGCGGCGCCTTGATCGACGGAGAATTTGTCCCAGAAGGTGTACGTCTACCTTGTCATCTGTAATTGTGATGTGGCCTAACTTGAGCAGATCTCTGTTTCGGGAGCTCATTTTTCTACTTATCATGCCGAATCCCATTTCGCCGAACCAGACTCATTCATTCCCGAGCGCTGGTTGGATAGCAGAGACAAACGTTTCGAATCAGACAATCGCGGCGCACTCCAGGCCTTCTCACTTGGACCCCGCAATTGTCTCGGGAGAAAGTAAGTGTTTTATCTAAAGTAATTATTCCAGCTCAAGCTAAATTTTACTCCTCAACAGCCTCGCCTACGCGGAAATGCGTCTCATTGCGGCCAAGATGCTATGGACCTTTGACATGGTTATCGACGAGGCTTCGGCTGGCTGGGAGAACCAAAGGTCATACAACATCTGGGAGAAAAAGCCTTTGATGGTGAAGCTGTCACGGGCGCGGCCTTAAGGCGTGTGAGTAAGACCAAAGGTAGCAAATTAGGGTCGAAGATGCCATAAAGCAGCGTCGCATATTTAGTTCAATCGGGCGTGCGGAATGGCGTTTGTCCAGTCCATGTGTTGCTGAGAAACTCAGTAGTATAATTATCAATTCCATGGCTACTTTCTTCATTTGAGCTGCGAAATCACTAACCAGCAGAGTACAGCCAGATTATTCTTAATCATAAATCCTTGCGATAGGTACCGCGCACTTTCGCTCAAGCTAAGCCACCCATCGGTCGGTAACTATCCAGCACTCCGACTCCGTTTGGCACCGACGAAGTGAGTTTGGCTTGAGCCAATCAACACTGGCGATCGCAAGAGAAGCCCTTTAAGATGTACAAGGCGTGTCTTTCGTCTCCAGGAGATATAAATACTTACAAGACTCGTGGACTGCAGCAGTGACATATCACCCTCCCGTCTCTGTTCAATCGTATTACCTCAAATAAGTTACGCCTTCTCTTTGAATTGCCATCGAGGGCGCTGGCCCCTTCGGTTCCATTCTCGCCCGGATCCTCTGCTATCGGCCTCATGTTGAGATCGTGTTTTCGAGTCAGATACATCACCAAGATGGTACGCTGGACCTGCGCCTCGACACTGGGATAGCAGCTCTGAAAGAAGGAGGTCCAAATTTCGACCAAGGCACTGAAACGGGATTCGACCTTCTCGTTGGCGCAGAAAGCGCCTGAAGAAAACTTCGGAAACTGGAGTCCCACGGAACACAGGGTATTCTGGGGTTGGGGGTTTCGCCTGGACCATAGCAAATGCCAAAGAAAACGCACCGTGATGCTATAATTTCACAAACCAAGGATTAGTATTTTCCTACTCGGACCAATTATGGGCCAGTACCTGGGTGATGGTAGCATCTACGTCCACACCTGGAGTGTCCAGACGGACGACTTGACGGAGATGTGGACTATGATTTGAACGAACCCACAGCCGACAAAGAAGCCATACTTGAAGAATTCAAGGACTGGAGTTGCAGCAACTTGATTATATCCGTAATGCCGGAGCACCCACTCGGTCAGGGGCTGTATCATCTCCCCGTTGGCTGGCAATGGACCAATCGACGAGGCGTAACCCTAGTTGGCGATGCTGCCCATGTTATGGCTTCCTTCAACTTGGGAATGCAAGATATGCCTATATTGGGTCAAATAATCATCAAAGCATCCAAAACGTCAACCGGCGGCTGCTCTACTAGTGGAGGTGAGGACTTATGTGGAGCATGTTTAGGCGAACCAAGACGACAGCAGAGCTGACGCGATATGCTGACATCCATATTGTTCACCGATGGATATCCGGTAATAGAGATTGAAAAGTCGCCTTGCGTATGCTCAACTTTCACAGCACTTCTTTCTTGTCAGGACTAGATTATCCTTTTATGGCGGCTGGAATGTGTTCCTTCATTCTTTAGGTTTAAGCGGTTTCAATGATAGAAGAAGAGGACGTTTACACCCCCCGGCGGCCGCTGTACGTATGATCTTGTTCGCATGTATATCTTTAGAGAGATCTTCTCTTCAATGTAGGTAATTCAGGAAATCTCGAAAAATCCGGCCTAATCTTCCTTCGTACTGTATTTGAAGGGCCTGTGAAGAACTGGAGAACCTTGCTTTCGCCGCGCATCTTGCGCTGGAAGGAAAATCATGTCCCAGTGGCAAAAGCGCCTCTCATCGGTCGGCGATTTTTGTCGGAACGAGCCAGGACAAAGTGATCCATCAGATAGATGTCGCACTTGTCTTTCAATTTTGTTATCCATGACGGAACCGAATTTTCGATGAAGATCGTCACATATTCACATGTTTCACTTTCAAGTCCTCGGCAGGTTACTCCATGTTGAGCCACCAGGGAACTCTCCCTAGTGATAGTTTCGACGCCACAATCCATAGGCTCCTTGCATCAAATCACTGCGACTGAGGTGAACACTGTGGCGGTGCTATTGCTTGCTCCACTTTGCCGATCAACAATCGGATCAAAGTTTTACTTTCTTTGTTGGGGGAACCTCCCTTTCCGACTCTGGAGCTCTCTCCTGGTTGGCATGCCACTACCTCATAGACGCAATATTCAATCATATTGATTGCTTTGCTTGATTGAGGTATCTCTAACAGAGCAGTCGGGCACCTGTTGCATCTACAGTACCAAATAGGAGCCCCAGGATCTGTGGCTGGCAGCACAATTGCGCGATATATGCCGCTCCCCATGATAGTGATACTTCCTGTCCGACTAGATATCCCTGTCTCCCACATTCGGTCTACTACACCGATCACGAACCGGTTCGTGATATTGCTTTCGCTGCAGGAACATGCCACAAAGATCCGCTGGTTTCATCATGTGGGGCCTGACGCATCCTAGACTATTGACTGAATTCCTCTAGTTCGGCAGACACGTCCTAGCTACAACACACAAAAGGTTCTAGCCGGCACATGCGGCGAGGGAGATCCCCGTAGGGTGGGGAGGTCTCGACCGCGGGCGCGCCACAGTGAGGCTGATGATGGAGAACCGCTGTGGCTAGTGCCGGTGATCAGTCGAAAATCGACGATTCATCACCAAACTCTTCTATGTTTCTAGGCAACACCTTTTTTGACTACCTGCTATCCTGATGGACTAGAATAAAATCGATAGAAAAGCAAAAAGGAAAAAAGAAATATGGAAATTAGGAAGACCGAAGTGGGTTTCGGAGTGCCCGATGGATTTGCATGTTGATTTGAAAACATGCCTGGTAGTAATCTCCACTGGGCTCTCCACAAGCCACAAACGTTTGGTGTGGCTTGGGAGTCCAAAAATGATCTGTCCTGGTTCCCCCCTCACTTGCCCTGATAACCGGGCAATGGTCTCACCCGACCTGGTATAGCAAGTTTTGTTTGTCAATTGAAAACTTTTGTGTGTGACACAATACCGCGTCACGTTGGCCATAACAGGGAGTCTAGAATCCAGAAGTGATATCTGCACCAGATCGGCGGGATGTTAGAAAGAAGCCGGCATGGCGGGCATGAACGTGAAGCGACCGGTAGATCCGTGCACAGAACTAATGAGAAGCATTGCTCGCCCGTGGGGCTGGCTCCTACCTTTCCCACATTCTTAACCCTTCCCTGCTTCATGAACGTCGATCGTGCATGTTTAGCTTTAGGCTTCTAAAGGATGTCCCCGGCAATCCCGGCGTGAAGGCATGTCCCAGTGGAGCTTGTGGGAGCACTCCAGAGTCGATCTTGACGCTAGTCTCCGATCTCCTGCAGCATATCTTGGGAAAGACAGATCTCATCCCCACATGGATAATGCCAGGCCGCGTACCTAGCAGGGAAAAAAAAAAAAAAAAAAAAAAAAAAAAAAAGCAATACCATGTTCCCGGAACGTGCTAATGCAAGGATTCCTGTTCGATGCTAAGGCCGATCTAAGAGCCTTTTCCCCCACGGGATGGATTGCTATTTGGACGTCATCATGGCTGCCTTATGCCAGATACAGAAACCTGGTCCCGAGTAGCTAATGGCTGATCGCGTGGTACTTTGGGTCCAGTGGCGATTTCCCTAACCCCATAGCAGTCCAACGTCTAGTTCGACGCTATAATCAAGGTGTCTGACTTCCACTGTCTTTTGAGCTACTTACCCTGGAGGTATATGAAGGGGCTCGAACTCTTTGGCGTACGAGCTTTATTCAAGTTTACTCGCATGCTTTTCTTAAAATTTAGATACGCAACTCTCGCACTGCACTGTTTCCCGTTCTCTTCTCCTTCCACCATATTGCAACGATCTTCTCATCCATTCGTTTGCTCCCTAGTTGGTCTTTGCCGATCATACTGGCTATAAACCTTTTGATATTTTGAATGTCACTAGGGACAACAAACCATGGCATCAACTCGTGAATTCTCAATTACTTTCGAAATTGCCCCTCCGGCCGCTGTCCGCCCTGGACTCCCTTTCACTATTCCCGTCATTATGGCCGTGCGGCCTGTGGGCACACCCGCACGGAACGTGCAGCATCTCGTAGTCAGCGCCTCATTGCGCGACGAGACTGGCACAAGAGCCGCAACCGGGCTGAGCGGCAGTCTGACTGCTAGTGTGCGTAGTCGCACAGATACGGCCATGAGCGGTTACGCCAAATTCAGCCGACTCACCATCTTGCAGCCAGGCAAGTACCGCCTGCGCGTGATGCTCAGTGCTGCATCCTACAACGGCGTCGAGACTAAAGAGTTTGTCGATTCCGGTATCATCCATGTCAATGCAGCTGTGTCGGCTTCCCAACCTCCATGTGAGTCTTGGTATTTTCTTTCTCGCCTTACTTCCCTCTTTCCCCATTGGGCAATTGCTCTTTTCTTGTCCTACCTATTTGAGCCTCTTGCTGACCCGTTCCGTTTTCTCGGCTCTCTAGCTCCAATACAAGTGGCGCGGCTCCAGCGGCTGACTGCCGAGAACATAGACATCTCGGCGGCGGACATTGCAGCGTGGCAACGGGCATGATTAAGGCATGGATGGCGTCATGCCGGTATTCTATTCGGCTGGAGAGTGGAGTCACGGTGCTCTTCTTTTTTTCCTTTGATTTATCGTCTATCTCACAGTAAGCGAGGAGGCAATTTTTCATCTTGCGATTTGAGAGGAAAGCCGACCGAATCGAGACCATCTCAGTTGAGTGATGTCGGCTAGGTCCTCAGAGCCCACGATCCTTTCTCTCTCCTCTCCGCACGAGTATTAGAAAATAAAGTCAATGATCAGGCTCATGTTGCGAAATACGATTGCATTTATATACAAACAACCGTTTATCTTCAACGCTGTACAATTTGGTAGGTCGGTTGAAGATACATAGAAAAGAGCAACATATTGGATGATGCCAGACACCGATAAAAAGGCATGATTCGTCCTTTATTCAAACAATGGACTGGTATATTGCCGCAGATTGCGCAAAGGCTGTGCCGTGGCGAGCACGTACGGCAGAAATGTAGAATATTCCGCGCCCAGCTCGCCGGCTGCGATACTCATTAAACTCGCCTGGTCGTCGCGGCCGGGTCGACCAGGACCAGTGATGTTCTAAGTCAACGTCATGTACAGAAAGATAAAGCAGACGGATAGTGAACACACCCTTCATAATATCAAACAAGGCAAAAGGCGATTCCAATCTCGGCCCGAACCTTCAGATATCAATGCGAATAGGAGCTGTCGTGTGGAACAGGCCTCCAACGGTCTCACACTGCTGCATGATATCCGCATAGGCCGGATCAGCATCGCAGCCACAGCCGAAAGAGCGCGCGAGTTTGCCACTGTACGGAGCTATGCCATTGACGTGTTTAAAGCGCACGACAGGTGGAAGAGAGCTTTGTGGCCTGCATAATCCGTACGTTCATTTGAAGACATCGACGGCGGCAGGACGGTAACGGTCCCTTCCTCTCCGCGACGGTACTCTTCCACTAGCACGCGGGGGGATTCGTCGAACAAGACCGACACATGCTCCAAGTTCATGGTCAAGAAGTTTCCTGGTGCAAAATAGCAATTAACCATCGATAACCTCCTGCCATGATTGTATGCAATGGGTTGTGGTGAGGCTGTCAGGAGGGCCTGAAACAAAGCGCCGATGATCGGAACAATCCTTCGGGACAGCCCGAGTCGGCATAGCCCCGAGTACTCTACAGCAACGGGTGCGGGGAAAATGGTTCATCATGTAAAAATTACATTCAATCAAGCGTGCTTCTGCTGGCTATCGCAGGAGCGTTAAATCAGCAGATACAAACACAAATCATCAAGGTGTGAAGTCATCAAGGTCCAAATCCAGAAGGGAGAAAAACAAACAGAAAGACTCGGAGGCTGTCCGTCAAAAGACGGCCCATCTCAAGACGCTAACGATCAATCTGAGCGTCTGCAAAGGAAATTAACTATGCAGCGACCATTCCAAGGCTTTCGGGTGCGGCCACACTGGGTTTGGTGCGGCCGGGCCTTCGGTGATCCCAAAGATAAACCCGACCCAGGCTTCGTTGCGGACCTTAAGGCGAGCGCCAGCAGTGCGCAGTGACTGCTATAGATGAGGCCAATAGATAGATCACATGAGCCCGACTCGGGCGGAATGCAAAGAAAAAGCGTGTGACTTTATCTTGAGCAGGCGACAGTCAAGATTCAGGATGCGCAGCAGCGCAACCACCTGGGGCCATTCAGCTCTCCTTTTCATCATTATGGCGCAGCTTCTCGAAGCCATCGCGGACCGTATCCCGGACACTGAAGCCACCGAAGAGCCAGTCGTTTGAATGCCGACCGCAGTGGTTCACCGTGCCACTGTAGCGACGATAGTCGTCACTGGTCTTGCGGGTCGGGGTGGGGGCACGCTTTGTGCCAAAGTACTCTTTTGGTGAGCGAGGTGAAGAGTTGTCGGGGGACATTTGAACGGGGCTCGTCGAGTGGTGGTGGTGGTCGTCAAAATATGACATTTTGGGTGCACTTCGAGGGATATCTCGAGGCTGAGAGGCAGCCATGGATTGGCGAGATGAGGTGTCCGGGATGTTGACTGGCGTGGGAGACCTTGAGCGCGGATGGAATAGTTTGGAGGACAAGGAGTTGGACTTGGACTTCACGTGGAAAGGCTGACTGTCTCGGGTCGAAGTCGAATTGGACGATGTCAGGGAGAGTGATCGCTTGGGGCGCTGATAGGAAGAATGGGGGTGCATTACTGTCGGGGAGTAGACGAAGAAGATGGAGGGGAACAACTGCTGGGGGGGGAGTTGCCTGGTTTATGGATTATGATTTCCTTGTTGTTTCCCCCTCTTCATGGTGATCGCGGAGAGTTACTGAGTTGTAGGGCAGCGAATCATACTGCACCCATTCACGGACCGGGCCCTGAACGCAGCCAACCGGAGGCCCTCATGGGTGTCCCACTCGTAAGGTTTAGTGTCGGTGAAGATGACCCGGTGGGCGAGCGAGGGCCCAATCATGGCCTCTTGTGGTCTTCAGAGCCGCTCCCAACCGGGGGTCCGTCCCGCACATTCACCGCTGGTTCATCTACTACGGTAGGCACCAGGATTACTCTTATTAATATGATGATGATGGTGATGATGATGATGATTGATTGCGACACGGACTGGTTAAGTGGGTTGGGCATGCCGTCCACTGACTAGTGAACGCCTTATCAATGCCAGCGAAGCAACCCCGAGGTCAGCTGGACCATGTAACGAGCCCTGTCGCGAGAGGGGGCTGAGACAACACTAGTGGACTAGTGCCACGCCAACTCTCTTCTAGCGGGCTTCGAGAAGCCAACAGCCAGTGGTGACGTACTGACTCAACATCAGCCAAGCGACGCAACAGAGCCGATCGGCACGGCGTATCCGAGGGTGCAACTATCCTCTGCACTACTGTTATGTACCTGTTGGGCACAATAATCTCAATGCAATGCTGCTTTTGGTTCCCGGGGTCAATTGGCGCACGGGGTCTGACGAGATCACCGATTGGCTCTCCAAGCGCCGCACAGGAGGTCAGGGACGAGGGGCTATCAGGGGGTTCTTGTAGGTGGATCAATTCCCACAACGTACAGATTCTGGATTGTAAGTTGGGAAGCCACGCAAGAGAAGATGCAAAAGCAAAGATGAAAGGAGAACGCCCTAAGGAGGAGGTGCGTTGAGGATATGGTAATTACGTATGTACAGCGGGAAATATATGTCTATATACAATTGGATGCAACCAAGGACGGCCGGCCGGTTTACTTGTCAAAAACCTCCATTGGCTGGACCGTCGCAGTTTCAGAAGTGCTCAAGACTTTTTCACCTTGCCGAGCCTCAACAATGATGTACTTGACTTCGGGAAGGCGCAGTGACACTGGTGTCTCGAAGCCATATCGAGGATGGTTGACTAGGAACGTGGCATCATCGATAGTGGAGTCGAAGTCGGGAACGCTGTAGATATTCCAGTTGTCGTGCTCGGTTGCACCGTTCCAGCTCATATATAGGGTCGTGTCGGTCGTGAATTGGGAGATACGCTTGGCCACGACGTCGGGCTTCCAGTACGGAATCGCCTTCCAAGGATACTTTAAGAGGCGATAGGACTGCGCATGGCCAATATAGCCAAACTGCCCCATCTGCACGATCTTCCCATCGCCGTCGTACTCCTTGAACTTGCACATCGACCCATATCCCATGAACATGTGGCCTGTCGTATCGTAGTCGAGCAGCTGAAAGCTCCCTTGCGTCCGAGACTCACTCGGATCGGATGCGGCCGAGTTCACACGGCGGACCGTTGAGCCCTTCATGTTCACGAGATCCACGTCGATAACCATTCCTGTTGTCTCCCCGCTAGGTCCGTCGAACATCCTGGCATGGTTGTCAAACACAGTAAGCACTAAGCTCTCGTCTGTTTCATTGTAAACGCGAATATCATGTTGCCAGGCAAAGTACGCGTCGTTTTCGATCGTGCCTTCTTCGGGACCACCGCCCTAGAGGACCAAAGTTAGTAAAAGAATGACATGAAGACCAGTTCTGAAGACCAACTGACTGAGAGCTGCCAGCGCAATGTCCCATTTTGACTAACGCAAAATGCAGACCACCAGAACCGAATCGAAGCCACATAGCCGCCAGCAACCGGCTGGACCGAGTTCATGTGGAAGGCGTCCCACGGATTTTCGCGTTTTTTCCCCGTCTGGCCAAGGCTATTCTTGGAGTCCGCTAGTGGGAGATAGTCAGGGTGATCTAGGGCGCTCCATGAGAAGAGGATCTCGTTGGTTGTGATGTTGACTTCGTAGAATTGGCAGTCGATAACCCAGGTGTCCGGGAAGCCGCCAGGTCTGTCACTCGTGTCCGCCTGAGAGACATTGATAGCGGAGAGAATTATTGTATTCTGCGGCGTAATGAGGTGTTCATGGACATCGACGTAGGTGTCGCGTTCAACACCGTCATGTGTGTTAAAGTTGTTGTTGAGGGTGACTGTATAGATCTCGTTGTATGAGGTATCGAGAATATGGACACAGCCATAGCCGTAGCCTACCACACCAGTCTCACCAGACCAGTAGGTAATGACGTCCTGGCCAAACAACCTCTGCATTTTGAAGTCCATGGTCTTTTGGTGAGGGCCCTGCCATATCATTTCACCGTCGGTGTCGTATATTGTCGCGGCGGTGCCAGGGTTCCCATCCTCAACAAACTCTTCGAATCCTTTGTCAATTGTTCGGACACTGATAAAAAATTTCCCGTGGTTGACATCCCCATATTTTGCCATCATGAGGTGAGGGGGCCGCCATGGTCCTGTCTGAAATTCTGTGAAAGGCCAGCCTTCTCCGTCATGGTTGGCGAGTGTCCGGATAGAGAAAAGCAAGAGTCCAAGCAGATATGAAAGAGCGTGCACCATATTAGTAACGGTAAGAAAAGAAAACAGAGAACTACGGATCAATAAATGTCAGCATGAGGGAAAAAGGAAAGGACCAGGGAAGGTGGGCAAGGGTGAGGGAGAGGGGGAAAAACCCGAGATCTGGGGCTACTGAGAGTAGAGTACTTAGGCGACGGTAACGCCGCCATGCCACGAGTATTCTCGGGCACTAGAGCAGCGCTACCCACGGTGCTTCACTACCCTGAAGCTCGACGGATAGTTACTGAAATCAATCTTTACCCGAGATTCACGAGGCATGCACGTTCCATGATACTAACACGTATTCGAGGGGCGGGATTACTATAGGCTCAGACAATACGATTAACTCTCCGGTCTTCGTCGTGCTATCTCAGAGCCACAGGGGCAAAAAGACTAGTGCGGAAAACTTCTCTTAGTCCAGCCGGGTACCCCTGATAATACGCGCGGAGCATATGTAGTCTTGGCGCTGGGGCGAGACTTACGAGTACGAGTCGGGCGACCTAAGCGATTGCAGAGTCTGGCCAATTACACTAGTCACGTTGGTTACAAATGCAACCGCCGCCACCGATGGTATTCGTAAAACAGTTGGTACAGTGGCTGTTCCTCATCATGATAACGGAAGTCACAGAATCATGCCCGGCGATAAGGATGGGCGACTGGGGTTAGGTGGAGCCTGGCTTGGCACTTCCCCTGTCTCGCATGATTTGGCTGTGTTGATACACACTCCGTTGCTGTCCTCGGTATACCACAACCCCATCTAACGGATCTGATACATCCATTTGCCCTTCTTCCTCCCTTCCGGGTAACGCTATCCGGATTTGCTCATGAGTCCGCAGGATGCAGGCCACTGTCTTTCTGTCACCGGCTGTTTTCCTGAATCCAGGAGAGGAAGTGATGAAGCTATCCACGGAAGGCAGAGGTCGGATTCTGCCACCGCCGGGCGGCTCGTGGGCGACGGCTGCCCGCATCGCGTGTTTGGACGCGCTTTCTTTGTTTCCGTTTCCCGCTCACCCTCCGACCCTCTGCCTCCTCACTCTTCCTTTCCACCATTTGCTGGAAGGCTTGATAGAGTCTCTCTGAAGTCAATCTCAAGGTGTGCGGCCTGGAGACTCGGGCCCCGATCGACTGAGCTTCTCACTGACTACTGACGACTAGAGCCATCACGTTTGTCCCTCCGGCTACTGCGCGAGCCATCCACGCTGCAACATCCTGCCCTCGGTCCTACTTGCCATAACGTCGTCTGCTCACCTGTCCTGATTTTTGACGTCCCAACGGGCACCGAGAAAACTTTCTGCGTCGATCCTTTCTCTTCTGTGGGCAGGGAGCCTATTTTTCTTGGGTGTGCTAGGGTCTTCTGCCGCAAGTGACAGTGCGTGGAAGCCTGAAGTGATGCCTATCCCGGCCTGGGGTCCGGGATAGCGACCTGTGATTCGCGGTGCCTGCTACAGTAAGGCTTGGCTATCGTAAGGGACAATACAGCTTACTATATGACCTTTCATTGACACCTCCAACAAGGGATTCTTGTCGATGGCAGCTAACGCCATCGCCACTGGTCTTTGCTCTTACCCGACCGTCTGTGGCACCGCCGATGACACCTATTATCGGGAAGAGGCGCAGCGCCTGATGGGCATATTCACAACGGTCTCGTCACAAGCCCGAGAATCCAACCCAAAGTTGGTCACTCACGGCCACACGACGTTTCACCTGGGATCAAAGGGGGGTGGTTGGCAAGAATCTTGTTCCGTCAACATCAACAGACAAGATACCTCCCCGTCCTCTTCCCCTGCTCAGCGAGTCAAACAACCTTCCTTTCCCAACCCCAACCAACAGCCACGCCCGGTGAGCAGTCACGAGCTCCCTCGAAATCCAAGTCTACGAAAAGTAGTGGCGATCCCGAATGCAACCAAAAACGCCCAAGGTCATTCGTCCACCTCAAAGTCTTCTTTCCTTGACACCCAACCTGGAAAATCCACCCTGCTATCGCCATCAATCACGCCCACAGATAATATGACTGCACCTACTCGACGCTCCAGTCGGTCAAGGACCACGCCAGCAAACTACTATGCGCGTATCCGCTTGTATGAGTCTTCCGAAGACTCGCTTCCGAGTACTCGCAGGCCCTCTTTAAGCCATTCGACATCTGAAACTTCTCTGCAGTCCCGCACTTTGACACCCGCATCTAAACCCATTTCACACGATGCGACAACGGAAGCCAGGGATTTACCCGTCCGGCGGCCGGGCTTTCTGAACGTCCAAAAGCTTCTCAGAGACCGCGAAACTGGCTGTGCTGGAAAACAACGTCAGATTCACAGCCAAATATCCTCCGACTATCGACTTGTCAAGCAATGGAAGGGTGCCTCAAATGACCTGAATGTTTTGGTCTGGTCCCCGGATTGCACCAGATTCGCAGCGGGTGCTACCGCTCAATCAGACGACTTGAACATGCAGTACAACCGAGTGAACAATCTGGTTTTGGGTGATCTGCCAACGAATTCTTTGAAGGAATTGCCGGACCATTGGATTCCTCGGCCGGTTCGGGCAGATGCAGCAAGCTCGAATTTTAATGATCATCGCCTCTTTATGAGCGTATCTGACATGCAGTGGATCGGCGACCGGCTCTACACTGCGAGTTTTGACCGAACAGTCAAGATCTGGGATGTTGGAACGCACGGAAGAGTCTCTTGCCTTCAGACCTTGGGACATGATACAAAGGTGCAGGTAATGGCTCGCTCACATCTTGAGTCTAAGATTTTGGCGTCTGGCACGGATTCTTTCAGGATCTGGGATACACTAGATCTTGCGAACCCCACATACAAACTTCTTGATATCGACCCTCTGAAGGCCAGCATTGGCTTAGAGCCAAGTGCCCTTGTATGGGGGCATACTGCGCAAACCAAGGACCTTTTGGTCGGCGGCATGTCCGGAAAGGCTTCTGATGATTACGACATGGTCAATCACGGCCATTTGGCAATGTGGCGGGCTGCTGAATCCCGTATGGAGCCCATGCAGCTAACTCCGAACTCACAGAACGTCTTCACTGTTAAGTGGCATCACTCGCTTCCTATGTTCGCGACTGCAAGTTCCGAATCTAAGCACAAAGCCGTGACTTCAGGTGCTCCCAGAGATACTAAATCGGCTGTGCGCGTATACGACCCGTTGAGAGTTAGATGGGCTAGCATGGAATTCTTTTGTCCGGCATTAGATGTCAATGAAGTGACGTTTTGTCCGATGGATTCGATCTACATTACTGCCAGCTGCACGGATGGCAATACCTACGTGTGGGACAACCGCAACCCACGACATCCCCTCCACCAACTAAGCCATGGACTTCCGCTCAGCCCGATTGACTCAGATCGTCCTCGAGAAGAAGTGGACTTCGGCGTTCGCGCTGCACTGTGGGGTTGTACAATTGACCAATTTTTTTCCGGTGCTTCGGATGGCCTCTTGAAGCGATGGGATATCCGCCGGTCCTGCGAAGATGTTCTCGTCGAGGATACCGCCACTCTGAAAGAGGGCATTGCGTGCGGTGCGCTCTCAGAGGATAAATCCCAGTTTCTTATTGGGGGTAGCGAAGGGGGAATCCATGTCCTGTCTACTGGTGCATACTCTGACCCAGATGATATCGCCTTCCGTTTCGAATGGGCTGCACAGCCGCAAGACGACGAAGTTTCTGAGTCTAAGGCGAAAGCCTCCGAGTCTGGGGTGAAAGCCTCCAAGGATTACGTTGCGTCCGGCCAGCTCTATCGGCATCACAAGTTTGGCATGGGGCAAGGGCCGCACTATGAAGGTCCTTACGCCCGCTGGGCCCGCGGCCTTGACGAAGACAAGCCCAAACCGCAAAACATCAAGTCACTCCCGATTCTGGGCAAATGGCGAATCCGTCAGCTTTCTGGGGGCCGGGCGAAACACCGAGATGGCCTTGATCCGAAATCAAAGAAAGAGATCGACGCGCGCAGGCTTACTGCTCAAATCCTAAATGGTCGACGACGCTGGAAACACGGCGTCGAAGGACAGAAGGTTGAATTTGAACCCGGACCCCGTCGTACCAAGAAGAGAAAGCGCCGCTCTCCCGCGTTTATCAATCTTGTCAGTGGCGAGGAGGATAATGTCAAGGCCAAGAAGATGAAGAAAAAGAAGACGACGTTGATCAAGAATACAGCCTGGGTCGATCTAACTAGCGTCTCGGACACGGACGAGGCGGATGCGTCGCAACCGGTGGAAACAGCTCAGCCAATAGCGGTGGCCGCGCCTGAGAGTTGGCGGGACGACTCCGAGGAGGATTATTGGTGGCCCGACAGTGGAATAATTGACCCGAACTGCCGCAAGGTAGTGGTTTAGCTCAGCCTTTTTGTTCGATTAGCGGCATTGCCAGGTACGGCGTTACTAATGATGGACTACTGAATAATAACATGAATGAATTTCATTCCTAGATACTATCTACCTGGTAGTTACCCATAACCGGTAAACATGCAGTCCCGAAATGAATAATCATGTTTTCCGTCGTCATACTTCCGAGGTTGGAAGCATAGCCCCGGTGGCGCAGAGGGACAGTGGCGTTTGTGGGTGCCTGAGGCGGTAGACCAGGTACTCCAAATATACTGGACCTTCTTCTCCTTCCTTTATTCTTCTGCCTTGCACCCAACCAACCCTCCTGCATTTTCTTTCGTCCCTGCAATCATCACTGTGAATTCGTCGCGAACAAGTCATTCATCCACCCCCCTCGCTGATGTCGTTCGCTCCCCCCCCGGCCCACCCCCGCCCTCGGTGCCCGAGGGATGGAAGGTTCAATACGATGACCGCTACAAGACATGGTTCGCATCTTCGTAGCCACCAGAAGCAAATACTCGGTTTCTAACATTCAGCGTAGGTTCTACATCGACCTCGCGACGGGCAAATCGCAATGGGAAAAGCCCCAGGCCCACGCCGGTAACCCCGCGCCCCCGGACGCACCTCCGTCCTATGACGCCAGTTCGGCCGATCCAGCAGCGGTAGCCAGCGCGGGTGACAAGAAACAGTCCGCGATGTTGTCCAACAATCCATACAACAAGCCGGGAGGACGGAGCAGTCAAAGTCCCAGCATGATCGACGAGGACGCCCGCCTCGCTGCCAAACTGCAGGCCGAGGAAGACGCCCGGGCCAGCGGTGCGCGGGGGTCCAACACTCCAGGCGCCTCTTCCGACTACTACAACGAGCCGCCACAGCCACTAGGATCTTCCGCCGGTCCATCTAGCTCCCAGAGTCCAGGTCCCATGCCAGAGCAGAAGCGTAGCAGGGGCTTTCTGGGTAAGCTGATGGGCAAGAGCTCCAGCAGCAGCTCACGGCCGCCCCCGCCACAGCCCCAATATGGATCGTATGGGCCACCACCACAGCAGGGGCCTCCACCAGGAGGGTATTACGGGGGGTATCCTCCGCAGCCACAACCGGGCTATGGCTACCCTCCCGGGCCTGGCTACGGCTATCCACCCCAAGGTGGTTACTATCCACAGCAGCAGCCGCCACGGAAATCCGGTATGGGAACTGCTGGTGCGGCGGCCCTGGGCGTTGGCGGTGGGTTGTTGGGTGGGATGCTACTGGCCGACGCTGTGGAGGATATGGGAGACCATAATGACTATGGCAATGGAGGATATGACAATGGTGGATATGGCGATAATGGAGGTGATTACGGTGGTGGCGGTGATGACTTTGGTGGTGGGGACATGTAGCCCTGGGCAGGGCTATGATATTTTCTTTTTTCCTGCTGTGTCGTGTTTTGCTGCCGGTAGGGAATGGGAGGACAGGGTCGGGGTGAAATGCCTTGTTTCGTTTCTAGTTCCTGCGCGTTTTCGTTTCTCGAGTTGATGATAAAGGGTGCACGAACATTCTCCAGAGCATGACTTCTTCCTATGCATGATGTATAACGCACATGGAAACGGACGACGGGAATAATCGGCACAAATAGCTAGCCCGACTGGTGTAGAAGACCAGTGTTTTACCTGTACTTCTATCCCCGCTTCCGCGCAGAACCAGCAGCCTCTCTGCCAGTTGCACCTCCACGAGCCGCCTCCGCATTCGCCATGGGACCAGGGGAGGTCCCAGCCATCCATCCAGCTAGATCGAAGCCGCCTCCGGTCATCGCATTGCCCGTAGCCCCGGTGAGAGGGGAGGAGCGAGAGTGTTGTTCGAACTCGGCGCGCGTTTCGGGGTCCACTAAGCAAGCATGAGGTGTTAAACACGAGACGCAACACACGGAAAGTAGAAGACAGGACATACTGTTCTCCATCAGCTTGGGCATACCAAAAGTAATACCCAGCGCGACGACGGCCATCAAGATCATAGGGTTCTTGAACAGGCTCAGCGGCGAGACTATGCATCCAAAAATGAGCAATGGCGTCCTGGCTAGGAGGAAAAGAGGCCACTCACACTTCGAGCGCTCCTGGTAGAAACTTATACGGCCAAGCACCTTTGCTTCAACGACAACATTCTCCTGTGCACCGGTGCTAGCATCGCGAACATATTTCTCTGTGCCCCGATTATCCCAGGGATTCCCGCGGAAGGTCTCCCAGACGCCGAGGATAGAGCCGTCGGCGGCGACGTCGACACGGTACGGGGCGAAGGTGTATTCGCCGGCGGCGCGGATGTCGAGCAGGTAGGACTCCGGCGAAGTGCCTGCGGGGAGGTCTCGGAAGGTAAAGGTCGAAGAGCGGGTGAGCGAGGCGGTTCGGATGTGGTCGTTCTTGGAGGATGAGGGTAGAGTCGTGAGGGTTGCATGTGAGGTTGCGGGTAGAGCATGTGGGTTGGGGAGGATGTTTGAGGAGGGAATTGTGATTGTGAGGGAGCTGCTGGCAGCTAGGGAGGCCAGGAGGGCCCCGATGGAGAGTAGGGAGGGCAATTGCATGACTGGGGATGGGACGTGAAGAGGATAGAAAGAAAGGGAAGGAGTTGTTGAATGGTGGTGAGGCGATGGGAGAGGGAGGGTCCGTGCTGACCAAGGCTCCCTAGGGACTTGGGAGCTAACCTTGGGTTAGCCTTAAATTCATCAATCCGCGAGTTATAGATACCCAATTCATATACACAGGAAGAAATACACATGCAGGTATCTATCTATCCACTACGTCCAGTCATTCAATCGAGCATCCATTATCTAGGCCATCGTGGTACTCGACCGGGCCCTGTCCGCCATACAAGAGTGCCTCGATAGCGTCCTCACCCTCGTACTCATCTGCATCGCTGCCCGCGCCATCCTCGGCATCCAGTTCTCTCGCGGTGATATGGGAAACCGTTTTCTGATTCACACGAGAGCAAGCAAGGACATCATTCGCGACGCGTCGCGACGGCGTGGCTGCTACCTTCAGATCACAGAGTGTCTCGCCAAAAGCATAAAAGACAAAGCTTCTTTGCGGGTACATCTGGTATGTGTATGAGGCAAGCAGCCACATCCACTCGGTTTGACTGTTCCGCCACGTATGGATAAGTGGGTGAGAGCCTGACTGGGGAGGGCGAAGAGCAGCTGCTCCAGCAGCTGCTGAAGTCTTGGCGTTAATTTGCGTCGAGGTGGGAATGGGGAGTCTTGTGCAGGCCATGTATGGCGGGTACCCGCCCCCTAATTAGTCGGGCCCTAACCGCTCTCCGTTGGTGAGGGCCCGACTAATTAGGGGCCGGTATGTTAATACTTTTGGAACCCCATGGTTTAAACATCACGTGTCTCGAGAGCAAAAGTAAGCTCGTGTCCAGTAACATATTTCTCGGCCGATCTAATACACATTCTCGCGCAGGGCGGTCTGATGGCCACAAAGCCACCTAGAGTCCCAAAGTTGCGCGAGATGCGTTGAGGCTATCTAAAAGACATGTTTAGGGGGTTGAAACAGCCCAATGATCGAATGTTTTGCTTGGCACTTCTTAATGTTCAATTGGGGCCACAGGATCTCCCATCCTGTCGGGCGCAGGATCTAGTAGTAATGAGCCCAAGTGTTTGGATTAGTCGGGCAGAACCTAGGTCACGGAGACCTTACCATAATAGAAAGTAATCTCCCCTGCCCTTTAAAAAGGACGAGGGCGAATAAACGCATTTCGCATTCTCTAAGCCACTTTATACCTCATCATGTTACTGTGTTTTGCTTTTCTTCTTTTATTGAATTTACATTTGATCAGTGGCGTGGTTATTCGCGATGCTTCAGCCAGGAAATATATCATTTCCTTTTACGATGATGCCTCGGAAGTCGCCAAGCAAAGCTATGCTGATAGCTTGAAAGACGAAATACCTGAAAGTAAAATGCATATAATGAGGCTCCCCAAAGAAATCCTCTGCATCTTTGCTCGGTTGACCCCCGACCAAGTCAAAACGTGGGATACGGACATAGTAATTTCCGCCATATCTCTTGTGCTTTCCTGTGGGCTAACTCTAGATCATGTAGGTCGAGGAAATTAGTCCAGACCAGAAAGTCAAACTCGACCTCTTTGCTGACTCTGATGACGCCGATGATGCCAATGATGTCGATGGCGCCGATGATGTCGATGATGTCGATGGCACCGACGACTTTGATAATTGGATAGGGGACATCGACGAGTCACTCGAGTTTGACTACGAATCCAATATTCATAAACGCAACCCTAACTATCTCCCTAGAGGAAGGCTTTTCGGAGACCGTGATGTTGGCCCTGAGATGAAATTCATCTCACAGCCCCACGGATATCCAATCGAGGATGTGGCCGCCTTTACGTTCCTGGATTATGCTGGAAGCGACAGCACCGTGTATGTGCACGATACCGGGATGAATTTGCAAGACCCTGAATTTCAGAATCCGATCCCTCTAATCACTAGAGGTGCATATCGATGGCTTACTCCTAGGGCAAGCCGTATTACTGGCCTTGCTGGCCAAGAGATTGCACATCCTCAGATGTGGACCGACTCTATGGGACATGGCACCTGTATGGCCAGCAAAATTGTGGGCGAACGGTACGGCGTGGCTAAAGCCGCCAATTTGACAATCGTTCCCTATATCTCTGGTAGTGAAGCTGATGGTGAGGATGATGAGGATGAGGATGAGGACGGGATTGAGGATAGCTTTTGGATATCGTACATGATGGCTGGGCTACAAGCCATCGTTGACGACATTGACGACCAGAGGAAGGATAAGAACGGTTATTTCTTCCCTGTGGTGAACCTCTCCTATACAATTCCTAAGATCAGCCGCAAACAGACCCGGCATTATAGGAAATGTTTACAAACGCTAGCTGATCTCGACGCTGTCATCGTGGGAGTTGCAGGAAATCAGCGGCACAAAGGGAAACAGTTTGTGAGTGACACTCTAGGCAATATGGCTCCTGACTTTCCCGACAACATGATACTTGTTGGCGCTACCGATGTCCATGGTGTTCCAGCGGCTTTCTCGCAAAGAGGGCGGTCGGTTCAAATCTGGGCTCCGGGGACGTTGGACAGAACGCATGGCATTCCATGTGCGGGAGGTCTAGAAGGAAAGAAAGGCACGTCACTGTCGGCGGCGCAAGTTTCTGGCATCGTGGCTTATTTGTATTCAAGCCACCACGAGCTTCGCATTCCTGGCTCTGGAGCTCCAAAGGTATTGGAGGAACTCAAAACACTCATGTATCCGCGATTCTCCGGGGGTCCACCATGTTTGTGGAATGGCGCAAAAGCAAAGGTCTACTGTAGCTAAAAATTATGATCAAGTATGTATATACGTTGAAAGACTTATAGAGAAACAGCGGAATGGCTTCCAACAAACATAAATACGATTCTAATCGAGGCACTAAGTGTTGTTATTATTACAGATGTGGAGTATGAACTGAGATAATAGAGTATGAACGACGACTAGAGAGATCGACCGAAAAAGCGCGAGATCCATAGCTTTATATTTATCGTCAAACAGTAATTAAAGGAAAAGGATGTTAATTCACGGTTCCGAGACCTAAAGGCAGAGACATCTCGGCCTTAATCTCACATGCAGAAAGCTGCTACACAATGTATTCAGTCAAGACCTATTTTCCACCGTTCTGTGCCCGATGCAGCCTAGCAGCGAAGGAAAGGCTCAAAGCCTGCTTAATGTCCATATTTGCGATTGAAATAAGCACACGCTCAAGTATGGATGATCATTAAACGAGGGTCTTAGAGAGCTCTGGTCCATAATGAGCGAGGAAGTGGAAACTTGATCATAGACCAAATCCTATCATTCAATGTGAACCCCCTCAATGATGCGAGACTAGTAGTATTGAATAGAAAGAGGCTTGAGCCCATTTTCTTGGTTATACAAGTGAAACATATATGAGGCCCGGAAACCTTCTGAATTGACATATTTCGTTTTTTTGTCCCGTCATCCGCTCTGGTCTGGAGTTTTATGACACTTATTGTAGTAGATGGTGCCGCTTTCGAGTCGAGTGAAGCAAGAATCCGCAAGCGTCGAAACAATCTTCTTCGTCGACACAATGACTTTTGGCTCTTGTATTCAATCCGGAGCTGGTTGATCATGATAATGCCGAATGGCCGTATCTACACCTATCATTCCTACCCCAATGTCCCTGCACCAAAAAAGGAAGAAATGGTAAGTCGCAACACCGTTCACGTGCTTGCAACACTGTTTATATAAACTCAGTTCTATCCTTCGAGACCCACTGGCCTACATCAATTTCTCGGCTTTTCTTCACCAAAAGATGGTTTACTACGTCGCCATCATTAGCAGACAACACGGATCACCTCGAGCAAATCAGATGACCAAATTAAGCGTTTAGGGGAGACCATCAGGTTCGAACTTTAGAAGAATCTAAATGGCACGGGATATACTATCATCAAGGTCGCAAACGAGCCCACCCATTAGGGTCCGAAGGGAGCTCATTTTTGTACTGTGGGACAGAGGTCTAAATCGTTTAGACGATATATAGCATCATAGTTGGATATTTGTAACCAATTTGGAAATTGAAGGTTCGATGTAATGGCGAAGTATATGCTCGAGTTGAGAAACAAGATTCTATGGTTGAAGAATAGACAAGCGGAAATGGAAGTTTCGAAAGGTTGCTAGTATTTCGGAAAATGGTTCAAAATGAGAAGGCATATCTAATGAAACAATACACTATAGAAAAGAGAAAATTGGCAAACGAGTGCTAGAATAGGATTTTCTATGTGGTATACCACACTACGCTATACCCATAACCTAATAGACTCGAAATAAAACCTCTTAATCAAAAACTACCTTCCATTGTAAACAGATTTTAATTCATAAAAACATATGAAAGTAAAAGGTATAAGCTATACAAAGGCCATAGATGCTTGCTAACGTTTTGTTCATCAAACCATATAGGTGTTTTTCTATACTCAGCTGCTTTAGCCGGTCGCCACTTCCTCCCACCCGTTCACCTTTTTTTTTAACGACCATATAGCGTTAGGCTTTAAGAGCTCTTAGAAAACGGGATTCCGCACGCCGGCCGGGGGTAGGACCATCTTAGAAGAAGTGTTTTGATGTTGAATTCGTCGAACAGTATCACAGCTGACTTTCCAGGGGCATTTATACTAGGTGATCTATAGCTCTAACCTTCTAGTAACTTTAGAAAGGAGTTCTGCATGGTACAACTACCATTTGTGCCGGCGCCTCGCCCCTTGTGGTTTGGCGCCCGCCCCCACCGCCCCTTGTTCGGGTTTAGCGTACCCTGAACAGGTTTAGCGCATTAGGCCCAATCCGCGCTATCCCCGAACGATCCTGCCGTCCTAGACCGCCTGCCTCCGCGGCGCCACCCCGACTATATAAACACCCGGTGCGTCGCTCGACCACCGGCGCCCCCTTCTCGCTGCATTCTCCTCCCACCCGGCCGTCCGCTCGACGCCGTGCCCGCGAAACGATACGGTATTTCCGGATCACACGGCACAGTACCCCTGCCCAGCTGAAACCCTCGTCGCCGTCATCTGCGCGCCGCATCCCCACCGGCCTGGCCGTAGGCTGGCTGATCCTTGTCCTGGTCACCTTGGCTGCTACAATCCCATTTCTCGAGAGTTCTACGAGATGTGGTCGCCTCTGTTCTCCCTCAACTTCGCGGCTTCCCTATATTTTGCCTATACGTATAGGCCACCACTCTCCTCGACCGACGCACGGGACATGACTTGCTAGGGGACTTGATCAAACCTGCCATGTCGTCGAAGACCTTACGATACGACATTCTCCGAACTCGTTCTCACGCTGAGCGCCGATCTGTTCCTCTTCTCCATGGCCATACGTCACTATTCCGAGACGACGGTCAGAAATTGCCTCACAACCTCACTAGTCCACGAAAGCCATTGGCCCACAGATTGCATTGAGTGGGCTGTGGCAGCTGAATTTACGACGTGGACTGACCTCACTGGATGATTCTCCCAACGCCAAGCGCTGCCCTTGTCAGTCCCCGAGTCTCGGCCCTTTCGCAATGGCACTCATTCGGCGAGGTGCAGCACGGCGGATAGACGAAACCATTAGCGGGCCGTGTGAACCCATGGCTAGTGGGAATCGCTTTGTCCAATCGAAAAAATGCCGCATGAAGCGGTGCCCATTCGCGTGACCCATCTCTGTGTCCTCTTTCGTCGGGGGTGGGATGAGAGAATCGTGTGTGTCAAAGGAGGGGTGCTTTGTGCTCTGTCTGTTGACCCTAGAGGCGACCAGACGGCCGCAAGGGGAAGCCGGCCTAGTATAAAGAGACCTCTCGGGCTTAGATTGATCTCAAGTGTGCCAACTTTCTTCACCAGGCCTTGAGAGATCTACTATTCTTGTGCATCTTGTTCAATTGCTTCCGAAGCCTTCCACACGATGATCGCAGCCAATCTAGACGATATCATCCACTATCGCCCGCCGGCTCCTAAAACCCGTTGCAAACCACCGCAAGCACCTAGCTTTGTTCCGTATTGCCCTTCGCCGTCGGCTTCAGAGATATTCCCCTTGACCCATCAAGTTCCCCCATGCTTTACGCCGTCCATTTTTCCACCCTCCGCACATTCCCGTGGTCTCCAAGACTATCCGCAAAGCCTTCAATTCGTGACCTCTCGCTCATCCTATGAAACGCAATATTCACCGCCATTCAATACTAGCCTTCCCAAGCAGCCGACCGTTGAGAGCCAGAACCAGTTTGACAAAGAATCATTAAGTTCCGACTGCGCAAGAAAGGATAGCTCGGTCATGACAGATATATCCACAGTGGATAGAGAATCACAAAATGGCTCTGTTGACGGTAGTGGAGGACGGGAAACACATGGCCCTTGTAATGACGGTTTGTGAGCCCGATTGATCATTTGAATCCATATTCCGAGGGTTTTCTTTACCATCGTGACAAAAGAGAAAAGACCGAAACAAGGGGGGATATTGGCTGACTATTTTTTAAAACTAGACTTTCGGGAGGATGTCCCTCACGAACCCTGTTTACAACCTATCTTCGAGGATCTAGCTCTATGGGAAGATATTGGCGATGCGTCACAAGCTGTTAGGTTCTATTCGTCCCCGGAATGTCCTGGATCTATGCCCTAGTTTCTGGGACCGGCTCAAAATATCCTCAACCAGACAGACTTTAATTTTAATGCGGGTAAGTAGACTCGAACGGGACTAAGCAGTAAAGTTACTCATTTATTGGAATGCAGACCAGGCCGCGGTGGCCGTCGTGGCAGCCCAAGTCTCTGCTTGTGGTAACATGAATAGTAGGACAGTCGATGAAAGGAATTCAACGTCTATGAGCTGAGACAACCTCATTCGCCAACGACATTCACTATCCCGTGTCGGCTCTGTACATGAAGCTGCTGAAGATTATCTTCACCCGTCAACTTGCGGTTGCCGGCGAAGCACGGATACCGAGAATCAAAGCAGCGACGAGCCTGTCACTAGAAACCAATACAGGGCGGAAGACGCCACGGTCTGTGCAACCACACCGGACAACCAAACGGTGCTAGAGTCCAACGATGACGGCAGTCATGCATCGTCCTGCTAGTTCAACGCAAATAAGGCGTCGTCTCCCCTTGTCTCACCTACCCTGCAACCACATGACGGACCGGCATCAAGGGCCGCACAGACAGGCTCGTCAGAAGCCCGGTCTACATCCTCCCCACCGCCGGCGGTAGTCCTTAGGCCGCGCTCTCTCGAGTCACGAACGAAAGGACTGTGTTTAAGTTGTCTGGGCAAGAGGAAAGATCGTCCCAGGCGGCTTTGTGACGATGATAGTGATGACCCCGACGACCGTAACGACAGGGACTATATGGAAGGGAGCGGCGACGATGTTTGTGGAGGTGTTCCTCATCTAGCCAAAAAACCAAAACGGGCTACTGCTACGAGAGTCACGCCTGCACGTGCACGGCACGAAACTGCATGTCCCTCCCCTGCAGTGGCGACCCAGGCCGACGTATCCGTGGATCAGGTTTGCTCCTCGATAAGTCTCCATGACATCGAAACTATTCCTATCCGAGGATTTCTCACGCGGCAGATATTCTTATCGAGGGTCGTATACTCGTTTACCATTGAAGAGCAACGGGAAAATTCATGTTCTCATAGATCAGGCGAAGTTCTAGAAATTAGATGTGAGAGCCGACATTCTAAGGCTCTCGCTTCCAAAGAGTCTTAGGCAGTTAACACAAGCAAGGGAACCCAATACCTTCCCGACGACGATAAGCTCCTGATTGAGCTGAAGGAGGAGCGGAATCTACCCTGGAGTCGGATCGTGGAGTATTTTCCACGAAGATCGAAAGGTTCTCTCTAAGTCCACTATAGTACGAAGCTCAAGGATCGAGGAAACCGTGGACGGAAGTTTAATGCGATACCTCAACCTCCAGTAACTGGTAGTGGCTCCTCCCGCAAGACGTACGACTTGAGCCAGGGTTCGCGCACGGCTGGTAGCAGGCGTGTACGTGTTGGGGCCGCCGCACCAAGACGACGATACGGCCCACTGAGAACCAGACGCGTGGCGGAGCGCTTTTCGCCTGTTTAATCCGGATGCGAGCCATATCAGAGAGGGTGAGAGTGCGGGTTTCAAGAAACGCGATATGATCCGCCAAGGTGGATTAGGTTGACTTGAAAATACAAGAGCCACGAAACCTCAAAGACATTCCAAACCGAGCACTCTTCCTATTCAAGGTACACACTTATTTCTGCAAAATCACCCACTCGTAGAGGGCCAGCAATCCAAGCTCTCCACGAGACGGTGTCGGAAGCGAGAACGATGAACTGGTAGAATTGATAATATCGTGACCTGGATACAGGGGATTGATACGGGTTCATATGTACCCGTTGAGCTGTCTGGAGAAGCAATACCATTATTGGTTACTTGTGTGGTTCGGTGGGGTCGCCTTTGTGCAAAAGGGGTGTTATCCAGTCTTTGATTGCGGATTCCTGTATGATAGCAAAGGTAGGACTGCATAGCCAACTGGATGGGTCTGTCAGCCGCGGTGTATTATTGATAATAACAAAAGCGTCAGTTAACTAATAAACAAGGCACACCGAGCACCGGTGGCAATGAATCTGTCTATTGTTTGTTCACGCAGATATCAATATCACTAGCTTGAGTGGGACCTAGCGCCGTTCTTCTCCTTTCTTGGTGGTACCAGTTCCATCCTCATAGATATGACAGACTTTCCTCCCATCAGCTCCGGAGATCTCTGCACTTATAACCCAGTCCTTGTCATCGGGATTGAAGTGAGACTGATGAACGGGATTTCCGTCCCGGTGCCTACTTCCAAATTAACTAAAATTAAGTCGAAAGGTTTGTGTGTACTTACCTGATGTCGACTCGCCTTAATTTGCCAAGTCTCTGTTATTTAAAAGTCAGGCCGATGTTTAAATATTTTCTTCTTGCATATTTAGTGACATACGGCTTCAGCTTCCCCTCCAGGTTTTGTGAAATTTTCCACTGCGCTTTGCCATTGTTCTGACAGCTTCTTCCTATCAAACCTGGTCCAGTGGAGGAGCGCACGAACAGAAGTACTGAACATTCGAGACATGTTGGGTGGATACAAAGAAGATTTGGAGTTCCTGTTAGAAATGGAGGAAGTCGAACAGACTCCCAGATGTTTAGTTGATCCCACAGGGAAAATGGATCTCTATTTACGTCGTGAACTCCTCCTCCGAACCCTTCTTTTTACCCCACGAGATGCAGGGTTTGATCAGGGCAGTGCGTGAAACGCTTTCCACTCTACCCGACCACTGAGGTTGCTCATATTACCGCTCAACGGTATCCATTGCGGATGAAATAAAGCACTCATGGCCAGAGAAAGCAAATGCACCATAGGTTATGTGCCAGTCATTGGGTTACGACAGGTTAAAATCACTGCCTCTCGAACGCGCTAAGCGCTCTTGCTTTCGCGTCATGACGCAGCTAAATTGGGCGTTTATTCTAAGCAAGAACGACCCAACGTCCCGGTCAACTGACTAACGACTTCTTCGTCAACCTGCTCGACATGAGCACCGAGTGGAAGTCCGTCAACGCCAACAACGACACCTTCGAGGGCGTTGACCGCAAGACCGGTGCTAAGGAGTGGTCTGCTACCCGCAACGACCTGATCTTCGGTCACCACGCCGAGCTTCGTGCTCTCTCTGATCTGTATGGCAGCCACGATGGCCAGTCCAAGTTCGTTCGTGACTTCGTCGCTGCTTGGGACAAGGTCATGAACCTGGACCGTTTCGATGTGGTCTACGGCTCGACCATCTCTGGTCGCCCGGCCCATTATTAAAATTTCCCACCTTTTTGCTACGGACTTTAAATCCCAACCCCGGTATATGACGCTATGCTTCTGTATCTCATCTCGTTATCGAAGATTGATGTCTCAGACAGATGTGAAATTTAGCTTCAATAATCTCATTTCAATTTTCAATTACCTTTTTTATGAACTAAATTCCATAGAAAATAGCTGCCAAAAATGGAATAGCTCAAGTGAGGCTGACTTGGCGGGTGCACCTTTGCCAACTTGTCGCCATGTTTCCACCGATGACTAGGTCAGTCATCAGCCGCATGGATGCTGCCATTTTCGGCGTGTCGCCCGAAAGATGCGGCCAGAGGATAGCCCAGTTGTTCGCCGCCCTATTCAGTGGGGCTTCAGGCGGCAGTTCACTCTCCTGAATATTCTTCCAAGCCTGCCTAAAGGCTAAAGCTCGTAGATAAAAAGCTACATTTGTATATTTAGTGCTAGGAACGTCGTCCTGACTATGAGAGCCTTCATAAAAGCGGCGGCACCTCAGAAGAGTAAGCTCCCACCCAGAAGAGGAAATCCAGTATGTCGTTGTGCAGGAGTCGCGAGGAGCTGATGACGTCGATCTAGTCAACAGGCTGGTAAATTGGCATTTGCAACCATCGAACTATCATATAAAATAATACAGAATTAATGAATCGAGCATCAATTTCTCCCACGCCGTCTGACTGCTTTTCTCAAGAATAAATCTCCGGTGGCATGGTGAGTGGGTAATCTGACACGGAGGACCTGTCAAGAACGCTCCTTCGACAGCTATTGTGGGGAGTGATTCTCTGTAAAGATACCTGTTTCAAGCTCAGATACGGCCGGAGGGCTGGAAGACACGCGACCATAAGTCCAACATAGGCATCAAGGGCACACCAAAGTTCAATATTTGTCGTGGGCACGTTTGGATATGTCAATTTAACAATAAGAAAGCGCACGAGGCAGGCGCTTATGCTGAAAACACCGAACCCAAATGTTGTGTACAGGCCAAGTTTCTTCTTCCAATCGAGTTTGAGGGTTCTCAGGATTGAAAGTGGTAAGATGAATATGAATATATCGGAGGAGAAGTGGAGCGCCCAGGTGGCAATCCAAAGGATGAGTTGACTCTGGGTGCCACAGAAAGTAAAGTTGAAACTGACACTTATTAGTAAAATGGTGCTGCAAAATAGTGCCGGGAACTAGTAATACCTACCTTGCCCTGTTATGGGGGAGGCAACTTAGGAACACCAGTAAGATCGATGTAACGTATGATAAGCCGGAGTAGATCGTAACTGCCCATAAAGAATAGAATATCGATCTTAAAGTTGATGGGAATATATAGAAAAGAAATGATAGGAGAGCGGCTTTATTGAGGTACAGTGCCGTGAGTAGCGGAAACCATCCAACGAACACGAACTATTGAAATTTTAGCACCATGATTTAGATATCTGCGCTTGCGCGATAACCTTTTGCGTTGATGGTTTTGCATTTGACTCGAATTCGGACCAAGTAGTTGATGGACTCAACCACCCAAGCCTCATTAGCTTGAGGTCTATTGCTGCTTCGCAAACGCCGCTTAGGAATGCGAGACATGTTAAGTAGTCGCTCAAGATCAGCTTTTTGTGCTCGAGGTGCAGTCGGAGGTAAAGACGAGCGAGGATTAAAAAGAGACAAAGTCCGAGTAATGTCCATTCTAGAGCCTTGAAACAGTCAGAACGAGACCGCATCAACGATATTCAAAGTTGACCCACGATAACCGTCGCAGTCGATACGACTTGCATAGTGCTAAACTGCGGCCCGGCGGGATGCTTTTCGGATGGGGTGGGATCTCGGTCACATTATATGTTCGGCAAAGTCTGACGAGCAGGTTGTAGCTGCCGATACATGCGTCGTAGCAACGTTATTCGAAGCAGAAATCAAAGTCGTTGCGGATAAGTGGTGCTGGACTCACAAGAAGTAGTGGCTTTGTTATTCAAGCCACCGATGCACTGACGGGGTGATTATGTAATGAACCGTGGGGTTTGGGGAATTGATAGGGACACAACAGCTTTTGTTAGGGACACAACAACTTATGTAATAAAGGTAATTACATAAGTACAATAGTCATGTGATCTGTATCTTAATTTCACACACTCTCTATTATTTACATGATCTTCGTGTATGCCCAACTCCACCACATGTACTACACTTTGGCGCTGCCTTCTTCCGCTTCTGACCAAGCTCCCCTTCGCCCCCCTGATCCTGAACACGCTTCCGTTTAGGCCTTGGTAAGGGAATCGACGGCTCTAAAATTGGAAGATAGTCTAATGCGCCCTCACTAAGGCCAATTCGCCAGAATAGGTGGATATCTGTCAATGGAATAGCCTGATTGTTCTTTAATAGACTAGAAATTCGATGTGCGCAAGGTAGGCCCATAGTTCTTGTGAATGTATTTGTACAGGGAAGCAAAGGAGCTAGATCTGTAGCTCTTTTAGCCTTTGAAACTTGCTCACTGATTCGTCGAATCGAATACCGAGAGGTCCTAGTCAAAATATTAGTAAAAAGCTTTTGTGATGGTACTACTACCCTTTCAATTTGATCTCTTGCAAATTCATATTCAAGTGTAGCATGTTGGGCTTGTAAAGCTTGTGAAATCCTTTCAAATACAAGTAACATATCCCCTGTTGAAGCTCCTATATGCTTTTTTAAAAAGGCATGTGAGCCCTCAACTCGAGAGGTCGCAGAATTACCTAGGTGTAGGTATTGCTGTGTCCACGCAACTACAAATTTCTCTTTATGAATTAGCCACGTTTCCTCTAAATAGCGAAGGGGAGAGGGGAAAGCTTGAAATTGCTTCTTAAATTTTAGAAGCCTAGAATTGTAGTCACTCTCTATAGTCGAATAGATAAGCTGATTCCACAATCGTAGAAATTCTTGATGTTCGTCATTCGTAGAAAAATGCTGCTTTGTTTTTTGGGTCACATTTTTATTAATATGCCATATACAAAGCAAATGTGGGTACGTAGGGTAGATAGCCTTAATTGCACCTAATAGAGCGAGATCTCGATCAGTACAAAGAACTGGTTCAAAGGGTAAGGGGTTTAGAAAAGAGAAAAAGGCCTTTAAAGCCCAAATATAGCTCTCTTCTTCTTCATTTCGCATAAAGCAGAATGCGATACTAAATGTTGAATTTGAAGGTGATATGCCAATAATATGTAATAGAGGCATTTGATATCGATTCGTTTTATAAGCACAATCTAGTACAAAAACCCTATTATATTTATTAGCGTATTTAATTGATTCAGGGTGTGCAAACATAAAAAAGAGGATACGTCCTTCTATATCTTGTTTCAAAGTATATTTCCAAGCATTCTCTTGTAAAGCTTTTAGTAAAAATTCAACGGGGGTGCTATTACCAAGCTTCTGTCTGCGTAAAGCACTTCGAGCATTATAGATATCCCTAGGGGTGACTAGAGTATTTGGATACTCTCTTTTGATTAGAGTAAGGATATCACGGGGCTTTGATCCAACCTCAGACATATAAAGGATATTTTGAAGCTGCTCCTCTGTAAATTTGCGAGCAGATGGATGTCCTATCATAGTAGTATTAGCCTCATGATTATGACGTGGGTTTCGTACCTTTAATTCCCACTTCTCACTATTAGGAATCTTCTTCCCATATAGCTTGAATGGACATCCAATTCGTCGTGTAGTAGTCAATCGTCGCTTTGCACCTTCGGGTGCATTAATTCGATCATGATAGATCCCACCACGATCACAGCCGAGAGTAACGTTTCGATTCGTATTTGAGGCTATAGTAGTGATAGCGTAGCCTTGGGAGAGAGCATGCTGACGTACAGAGTCTATTAATAGCTCTCTAGAATCAAAGATCTGCTCTGTAGGGGGCTCCATTTTGATGTAGATAACTACAGAGCTTTAGAAGAAAAGGGAAGGGGGAGGAGGGTTGGAGCGATTTTATAGTTGAACAGACTAGAAATGATGTTGCTGTGGTAATCCTAATACAAATCACATGACATTTTTACTTATATAATCAATTGTATTACATAAGTTGTTGTGTCCCTAACAAAAGCTGTTGTGTCCCTATCAATTCTCTGGGGTTTGTGAAGTACTGTTTTAGTGGCACCAAAAACTTTATTGGACAGACGTTCGTCGTGCCGAGAATACACCTGCAGCTGCCCGTGGTGGCTTAGTGATGGGTTGGCAGGTGTGGTTCCATTTCGGCAATAGATAGACTCTGCTTGCATCCTGGGGATTTTTGGGTTGATGAACTTTCTGTTCGCCTTCCCTGCTGTTTGGACAATCGATGTCTAGGGTCGCTGGGCCTTGCCACTGTTGACTTTGAAGTTTCGATCTCCGCCCTCTGCCTTCATTCTTAGTTTAGACTCATCCTGTTCGGGTTTAGATCTTCCAGGTCTTCTCCCTCTTTCTTCTGTAGAATAGATCTTTTCTTATTTATATCTCTACGCTCAATGCATTCAGTTCCGAATGCTCTGTTCCTTCGTTTCTAGTCTGACATTCCTCCAGATGACCTGGACTTTACTGATGGGTGGTTTTAGGAAGTCCAGCAGACGAGGCTTATATCTCTGTGGTGTTGTTTGTGGTTTGTGTTTGCGGCCATCTATTCGCTCGGCGAAGGTTTACCCCCTTCGCATACTCTGCCGAGGCTTCCCCCTTGTCTCACTGCGATATATCATCTTTGTATTTTTGGTCCGTGCCATACTTATGCTTTAGGAGGTTTGGTGGGTTCTAGGCCGTGGCGAACTGACTGGGCTAGGTGGCGGTTCTGCCCGTCACTTCCTCCGCATTGTGGGGTGCGTCGACCCACTCACCGCCTTCTGGGAGCCGCGGAGCCGCGGAGCCGCAGGACTTGTGGCTCCGAGATATCATCCCTGCACTGTGGCAGTAGATACGAAGAATAGTCCGTGTTATTTAACAAAGCTTTGCACGAAACCGGCTAAAATAGGCTCACACTGATGTCGTAGGTCGGATCACGAGGTATTAGGGCCATTCTTCATGTTCATCGCGCCGTTAATCCGTGTACGTGTGGCTATAGCTACGACTGGCTTATCGCTATTTCGCTTAAGAGAGTAGCTAGAGCAAGACTCACGCCAACGCTTCGGGACTAATCGGAAATTAACATATTGACTACCTAGAAACCATGTTCTTGTGTGACAAAGGCTCTGGACCTCACGGCGTTGAGGTCATTCTTCAGATTCATCGCGTAGATAAGACATTGTGCGTGAAGATCGTTAGAGATATCTATATCTAGGTATAGGCAGAGCCTTTTCGAAGCACGTATAGACAGTTGTATAATTCTATCTCTATGTTGTATATATTAGTAGGTGAACTAAACAAAATCTTCCATTGCGTTAATAAAAGAACTATTTAAAGTTGTTGCCACCGCGTGATCAAAACCCTGCCGGATCCGTACCCCGCATAATCATCTCACCAAAACCCCTGTCGCCAATCTCACGCCTTTGCACCCTACCTCGTCTATCTTCACAACGTGCAAAGATAGTTACTATGCCTGCCTATGTTGTGTATCAGCCACGATCGTGATTACAACATAATGTCACCTGCATCGGGGAGTTTCCTCCATCCTGAGACTCAAATGCTGGGCTATCTTGACTTCAACGAGATGCCCAACTCGGACGCCACCGAACAAGATCCCTTCTCCAACTATATTGAACTCCTCGCAGACCAACCTGAGCAAGTCCAGGAATACCATGGAATGCCTAAATGGGACGACGTCTCAGCCCAGCTCTTGCATAATTTGCCCTCTCCCTTACCCGAGGGCGCCGACGACGAACTCAGTGGTCTGTTCTGCGTCAACATCGCAGACCAATCTAGCCAGAACCCGCCCAGCAGGAGCACTGGACGATCCAGCCCTCAGCCTCCCAACTCCATCCAAAGAGCCGGCGTTGGTGTCGCTCCCAACAAAGGCGTGGTGACAACGACGAACCCCCGCAAGCAAAATCATTCCTGCGACCAGTGTCGGAACGCAAAAAGGGCATGCGACCTGCCACAGGATGTCTCCATCAATGAGCAGAAGCCGACAAGTACCTGCACAACATGCAGTTGGCGCGGGGTAGAATGCACAGTGGCATGGCTGGCCAACAGAAAGTCTCAGCAACACACCCGAAAGCGGCCTAGGACTATGTCGTATATTCAAAGCACTGATACGGTAGTAAATTCCTGCGTCGCCACTTGCCCTGAAGAACGGGCAGATACGCCACCAGTTGACCGTGGAATATTCATGTTATCGAGAGAAGAGGACCTTGCCCGTCAGCTGGTTGGGCGTGATACGCTTTCACAGCAATTCAACTTCTATGTCGATGTTATAGATATGCCACTCTCCCAATGTCTTTTACAAGGAAGCATGCATCCTCGCTATTCTCTGGGAATCGCGGCTCTAGGGCCGCTCGGCAACAGCAGCCATATGTCCGTCTACTTCGATCATGCCAATGTGTCTCTCAGAAGCTGCTGGGAAACACAAAAGAGTTCATGGGCATCGACGCCGGTAGCCCCGCATTTATTCCATGCGGTCAGCGTGCTTGACTCCCTCTTCCAGTACAATGGCACCCAACCAGGCCATGCATCCGAGTCACGTGATGCGTCTGTTACAGAGACCTACAAATGGGTCACAATCGCAACTGCAGCGCAGTTTACAGTTTCTAACGACCGGCAAGGGGATACGGGTCTGCCAGAGCAATGGGATTCACATTCACATTCTCGAGATATTGCGACTGAGGCTTGGCGCAGGGCCAAACAGCTGTTGTTCAAGAACATTTCGTCTGTCCGGTCGTTTCGACTCGCGCTGTCTCTACTTCTTTTTGGCTTAATTCCGGCCCCAAATCCAGGCGATCAGTCCTCTGCATTAGAAGAGGATGCAACCTTTGCCCTTTGCGAAGGCGTCCGGCGCATTAGAATGCTCTGTGGTCAGGCACGAGCCTGCGCCCTCGCAAAGGACGCAGCGGAAACTCCTCGCTGCCCTAAAGCAAAATTTCACTCAGTTCAAATGCTTCCTAAAGATGTCCGTGAAATGGTTTTGGAGCTGATTGCTGCTATTGAGTGGTTGAGTATAATATTCAATTCTATTGCGGTTGTGTCGTCGCGCGGGAAGATTTGTCCCTTGCCTCTGGACATATGCGACGCCGCCGTCGGGAGCTCGCACAGCGCCCAAGATCCGACTCAGGATCCAGTTTCGGATATGTCGTCAGTAGCCCTGTTGCATGACTATGAGATCGACAAATCGATTGCTTCACGAGCAAAGGAAGGGGAATGTGCGTTTATAGCACTGTTGTGTAAGGACAGCTCGGAAGATCTGGTGCTTCAAGCGGTCAGGCAGTCGGATGCTGCAGCAATTTTCTTGTGGATATGTCTTGCTTCCTTCACCCTGGATGTCGAGAACATCATAGATGGGAATACAGACTATGAAGCGGCCCACCGACGGTATAAGATTGGGGTGAGGCTGGTGGAACTGTGGAGACTGTCGTTTGGCGCACTTGACAGCACGACGATATTCTGCATTCAACAGTCGAGGGCAGATATACGACAGCTGGCTGGATTTTGTTCGAATGACGGTGATCTGGCCGTTTTAGCATTCTGTGCCATTGCACAGAGACTCGAGACCTACCTAGAGGGACAGCCATCGATCCCGCAAAAAGAATCCCTTGCTAGCACTCTGCGGTCGTCCAGATCGTACCGAAAAAAGCAACGACTTCTTGCTGCGCAGCAAGTGGCTACCTTTGCTAAGATATCTCAAGGAATTGCAAGCCCTGGCTTTCAAGGAACGGCAGGCTTAAAAGCCCACATTCAGGATATTGCTGCACACCCCGTGAGTGTTACAATCTGCAGAACCACTGAATTTTCTGCTGACCTGCGTGTTTTCAAGTATCCTAAGATGGTAACTCAAGCCTACGCTTTAGCGGCCAAAGCTTTTGCGGATGAAGTTCATGAGATGGTTGTTAGATTGGATATGGAGGGAGCTTGTGAGATGACAGCGGGACTGGATTCCTGTCTGCAGGTGCTTCGAGGGCTTCAGGGAACGCTGGTGACGTTACCTGATTTTCTTCAATTCTTTGAGGATACCTTTTAGCTGTTCTGTTTTTGGATTCCGGGCGCATTGCGGTGGTTCATGTGCGGAATAAAGCTCCTCAACCAGCCATTTTGGTGATGTTTCTAAGGCTCTGAGAGAATTATCCGAGAGAGCCCTGGAGAGTTTTATACACTGGTCTTGTATTATATTCGAACCCGAATCGGTCACATTACTGAGAGAAAGCAGTAAAGGATAACATTCCATACTATAATAAATGCAGTACAGCTGTTCTAGTCTCACAAGTTCGCGCTGACTAGGCTGGCGGCCGCGTTGCTTCCTTTGATCATATCACTTAGCTTGGCAGCCATTGCAGCAATAGGCGCGGTGGGGTGTCCACTGATCTGCTCTGGGAACACACTGGCGTCCATCACACGGAGACCCTCGACACCATGGACACGGCATTCAGGGTCGACGACGCTTGTCGCAGGCGATGGACCCATGCGCGCCGAGCCAACTGGATGATACAGAGTAAAAGCCTTCTCATCCATGAACCGGATGAGCTGCTCGTCCGTGATATTGTCGATGTTGCTGCTCGAGAGGGGCCACCAGTACGAAGTCGGATCGTCATTGACTGGGACAGGCTCGAGGAATTTCTTGAAGGCTGGACTCCGGATGATCTGGAGACAAACACGAATGCCGACCAAAAGAACATTCCGGTCATTTTCACCCTCGTCGCTCAAGTACTTTGGGTCGATGATCGCTACAGTTATGTATGGTCAGCTTCAATTCAAATCTACTCCACGCAGCGGTAGGCAGGTACTTACGTGCATCAAAGACATCTCTACTCTGAAGGGCGATTGTCCCATGGCTTTGTGGACGGAGGCCAATCGGAATGATGGTAAAGACACCACTTCCATCAATCGCCTTCTCCTCGCCATGATGGATGAATGCAAGGGGGGCGCCGATGAGCTCCAGGTCTGGACCGACACCGCCCGATGTATGGTCGTTGGGAGCTGTCACGGACTGAGGGAAGTGGTAGTCAGTGGACCGGATGAACGCAGCCGCCTCCCCAACGTTGCTTGCCAGGGGGCCACCGCCGGTAAGCATCCAGCGAGCCAGTGCCGGAAGGGCCTTGAGATCGTTGTTCAAGTAATCTAGCGTGGTGCCAGGCTTTGCCTTGGCCACTATAGGTGACGTGCAGAGATGATCTTTGAGATTTCGACCAACCGCGTCGTTCTCTTGGACGAGTGGGATCCCATGACTCTTCAACTCGTCCGTCGGACCGATCCCGCTCAGCAACAGCGTCTGGGGCGTGTTGACTGCTCCCCCACAGAGGAGGACCTCACGTCGTGCGTGAACCTGGAAGCGCTTACCACCGCGTTGAGTCTGAAATTCGACGCCAATTGCCGTCGGCTCTTTGGTGGTGAGACGATCAAATAGCACCCGTGTCACACGAGCATGGCATGCGACGTATAAATTCGGTCGCTGCAATACATCCGGGGAGAGGAAGGCCGTGGCGAGGGATGAGCGCTGTCCTTTGGGATCGATGAAGGTTTGAAATCTCGTCGAACCCAGTGTGCCCTGGGGCGTATTGACATCCGCGATGGCAGGAATATTTGCATCTTGACAGGCTGAGAGGAAACCCTCTTCCACAATCCCCGTCAGCGACGAATAACCTGTCTCCCATTTCCCGAAACTACCATGATGCTGGGTGTCGATGGCGGGGCGAGCTGGATTGGCGGTAAACCGCTCCATACTCCGGAAGTAGGGTGCAAGCTCATCGTAGCTCCATCCCGCACAACCGTAAGCCGAGGCCCATTCGTCGAAGTCAGATTTGGAGCAGTGATGGTACATCATGGCGTTCATCGAACTTGACCCCCCGATGACCTTCCCCCGAGGCCAGTACAGCTGGCGGGATGCGAGCCCCGGCTGCTCGACTGTGTAGTAATCCCAGTCATGCTGCGTGTGAAACAGCTTGGAAAACAGTAATGGCACTTTTGTCTCGAAGACCTTGGTGTTGTCACCCCCGGCTTCGAGGACCAGTACCGAAACATTCTTGTCTTCGGAGAGTTTGCTCGCGAGGACACAACCAGCCGCACCGGCCCCAACGATCACTTTTGTCGATATCTCGAGTTAGTGATGTTTCTGGATCTGGTACTGCTGTCACATACCATAGTCATAGTTGGCAAGAACCCTTTGTGCTGCAGCGCATGTTACCGGAGGCCCGGTGGCCAGTTGCGCGGTCGCATAGTGGAGAGGGTTGGAAAGTGGATTGCGATGACGACGGCCCATGACGAATGAAAATTGAATGCATTCAAGAAACTACACGAGATCCAGTCCAATTCTCCGCCGGTGGTCCATATATACCAATTTCTCGTGAAATTCGCGACGCTTGGGTCACTGATCGTCCTCTCGGAGCCTTGACACATGCCCACCTGGGCCTCCGCATTTTCCGGATTTCTTATCCCCTTTGCTATGGTGCCGAAGTGACAGAATTGGATGCTCTCATAGCAGCTCGTGTTCATCTGGTTTCTGATTGCGGATCCGCGGGAGCCGATCCCGAACTCCACCTGCCCTCCATGCCAGCCGTCCTAGTACCTCGCCCCGGAGCCGCATCAGCGCCCCCCTCGCAGCCTTCTCCATTAAGAGCCGAAATACACGTTCGTGGGTTGCCTCGGTCGACGGTTAAAGCTATGGGAGCCACACACAACGGAACTTTCTCTGCCGATGGGGCATGAAGGTCGTACGACTGTTGTCATGTCTTTTGCGACGAACTGGTCGTATGATAAGTCGATTGGAATTGCCATTCCTCAGCGACCGTCGCTTTCCTGCATTATTCCTCCTAGTTGTTGGATCATGGAGACGACATGATGGAGAAGTTCGACGTCGCCGTCATTGGAGCTGGAATGGCAGTCTCGAAGCCCGGGACATATTGGGTGGCCGACATACCTGGAAAAGGGCCTTGGCGATGGGATCGAGCTCGGCGGGGCATATGTGCACTGGAGACACCCGCGAAATGAACTGCAACAGCATGGCATCTCGTTGCTGCCCCCTCTCACTGCCGGCAAGACTTATTGGCTGGCAGATGGAACGGTGCATTCCCGGACAGTGGAGGAATATTACGAGATAGTCCGCCCTGCCATGACGCACCATTTCGCCGACGCCCGGGAGCGCTTTCCGTTGCCCTTTATGATGCCATCGAGGGCGTGATGGAGCCGGCTGCTCGCCATGTTGCTCCTGCACTTGCTACTTCAAATATGTTCCTCCCAACCGCACGCCCACGCCCTCGTATGTAGGATGCGGCATCATATTTCTTGGTATTCGTTAAGTTATTGTTTTTTCCCTGGTTGTATAACATTTTTGAACACTTTCTTTGAATTATCGGTAGTAGAAAGGAAAAACCTCGAGACTCTTTCCTGCACCACAAGTATAAACCAAATATATCCAGCTGTATCTTCAAAACTCCCTGCTTGACGCGAGCCGCCATGTCAGTCATAGTAGAGGAGAAGAAAACAGTACAGTGGTCTGGTTACAAGCACCAAGAAAGCTATTGCGCGAGAGTTTGAAGAAAAGGGACAAGAGTGGAATTCGTAAAGTACATCCAGACCAAAAAGGAAGTCAGTCTATATTTGTCGTGAAGTCGAACTTGACAATGATCGGAAATTCAAATAGGTTGCTATCACACACCCTCCAAGAAACAGAGGCACAAATATCGTTGAAGATAATACTGTTGGAGGTTTATGCTCATTTCGTCCATACTGTGCCTTTCTTGAGATTGCCGTACACAGCAACCGCGAGATCTCTCCAATAGTATGATCTTCGTTGCCACACAGAACGGTCACCCACGTTTGGTAACACATTCTCTGCTTGTTGGACATAGTTAGACTTCAAGTCTAGGAATGGCATCCTCTTGATGTGCATTCTCTCCTCAACGCTCATTCGGGGCACTATCATCGTAGCACCGTCCTTCTTCATCTTCTTGAACATGCGGCATGCCAGTTTTGCTGTGGCGTCAGCTCCTAGAGTCCAGCTGGCGTCGACATAACCGAATGCAAAAATAGCGTTCGGCAGATTATCCATCATGGCATACTTCCAAAGAAAGTGTTCGCCGATGTGATACTGCTCGCCATCGACAAAGATGTCAATGCCACCGGCGATGCGCAACTTCAGGCCAGTAGCCGTGACAATAATGTCGGGATGCAGCTCGTCGCCCGATTGCAACTGAATACTACTCTCGGTGACGGTTTGAATAATATCTGTCTTCACGCTGCCCTTGCCGTTCCGGAGACTTTCGTAAAAATCGGCCTCCGGGCACATGCACAACCTTTGCTCCCATGGATTATATCGGGGAGTGAAGTCGGGATCCAGAGGCATGCCCTTGGGTAGTTCTTTAGAGGTTAAGAACAACAGCCACTTCCGGGCCAGACGAGGAAATCGTCGGCAGAATGTCACCAAGAGCAATGGCACGATAATCCATTTAATCCTAATGAGTTTCCGAGCGAGCACTTTCGGAAACAGAAGTCGAATCGCTTTCTCGACTAGGTCTTCGTTTGGGATTGACATAACATAGCTCGGGGAGCGTTGGAGCATTGTTACATGCTTTGCAGTCTTTGCAACGGACGGAAGCAATGTGATGGCTGTCGCGCCGGATCCGATGATGACAACATTTTTGTCCTTGTAGTCGAGGTCCGTGGGCCAATACTGGGGGTGTACCAGGGTGCCGGCGAAATCCTGAATGCCAGGAATATCGGCCTGGAGTGTCTCATGATAGTCGTAGTAGCCCGTTCCTAGCAACACGAACCGGCTTCGAATGGTAGTGGGAGTTGTCTCGTTTACCGTTAGGTCCAGAGTCCAAGCCTTGGACTCGCTAGACCAGGCCAGTTGATTGACTCGGTGTTTAAACTTGACCTTTTGGTCGATTCCTTCTTCCTTTGCGCAATCTCGCAAGTATTTGGCGATTAACGAACCATGGGCGATCGAGTGTTTCTCGGTCCAGGGGCGCCATGTAAATCCAAAAGTAAACAGATCCGAGTCCGATCGAATGCCTGAGCTCCTCCCGATCAGCCATGAGCTTTGAGCTACATCTGCACAGACACAAGCTTACCGGGATATTGGAATAGGCTCCATGTTCCTCCTATTTCATGGCGTTCCTCAACAATGCAGTAGCTCAATTCCGGATTGCGCTCTTGCAATCGGTATGCAAAGTTGATACCGGAAATTCCAGCGCCGATGATGATGACATCGTAATCCAGGTCCTCCTGCTTCATATCTATCGCCACGAGATATTTTCGAGAGATGATGTGTCACTTTCCAAGTGCTGCAACGAAAGACCCTTTCAGTCGACGCAAAGCCTGTATGTCGCAAAGCGTTCAACTGGGAAATCACCTCGATGCCGAGAGACTTTTACAGTTATGAACGGTCGCTTCAGAGGATCGCATTTAAACAAGAGGGCACGCCGTCGATCTCCACATAGCTGTGGAAGGAATCCAAGGTACAACGGACTCGGGCTAAGCCGTAAGTTCATTTTGCAGGCACGTTTGCGCCTTCTGGTCCCCAGATTTTCCTGCGATGCGGACCCGTTGCATCCAGGGAGTTGGGGCCTGGAGTACGGAGCCGCACGAGAAGCCCGTACCTCATACGCATTCAGTCCTGCGTTGGGCAGAGTTCATTCCAATGCACGTTTGCGCCTTCTGGTCCCCAGATTTTCCTGCGATGCGGACCCGCTGCATCCAGAGAGTGGGCCTGGGGTACGGAGCCGCAGGAGAAGCCCGTACCTCATACCCCACATTCAGTCCTGCGATGGGCAGAGTTCATTCCAATGCACGCTTGCGCCTTCTGGTCCCCAGATTTTCCTGCGATGCGGACCCGCTGCATCCAGGGAGTTGGGGCCTGGGGTACGGAGCCGCACGAGAAGCACGTACCTCATACACATTCAGTCCTGCGATGGGCAGAGTTCATTCCAATGCACGTTTGCGCCTTCTGGTCCCCAGATTTTCCTGCGATGCGGACCCGCTGCATCCAGAGAGTGGGCCTGGGGTACGGAGCCGCAGGAGAAGCCCGTACCTCATACCCCACATTCACAGGTTCGAACAGATTGCCTGGAATGCAAGACGAGGCTCCGCAGGAGGGGTCGGTTGCTGACATTCAGTGTTGTGATAGGGAACAACTAGGATTTGTGAAGACATGAAACGTGAGGTTTAGATATAAAAGCAATGTGCAGATGGCCCATCGGATGGTCATCACTAAACGACTTGTCTTCCCAAAATACATCTTTTCAATTCTTCACTTCCCAAATCTTCTTCCTTATGGCTAGCTTCTTCCAAAGCCCCAAGCGGGTCGTCTTCATCGGCGCTGCCGGTGAAATGTGTCGCCTGGCCGTCGAGCGCTTTGCGAAGGCTTCGGAGCTTTCGCTCGTCCTGGCCGACATCAATGTTGATGCCCTTCAGCCACTTATCGCTCAACTCCCAGCTGGACGGGCAACTGCCCTAAAACTGGACCTCAATGATCGTCCTTCCTTGCTCGCCGCCACTAAAGGCGCTGCCCTTGTCGTCCTGGGTGCCGGTCCATATACGAGAACAAGCGATCCCGTGCTCACGGCTTGTCTTGAAAACAAAGTTCCTTATCTTGACTTTGATGATGATGTGGAGAGCACGACTGCAGCACTTGCCTTGCATGAAAAAGCAAAGAAGGAGGGCGTTCCGTGCTTTATTGGCTGCGGTGCCTCCCCTGGATTGACGAATGTCTTGGCCATCGATGCGACGAAGGGTCTCGACAAAGTTGATTCAATTGATGTCTGTTGGCTGATCGGTGATGAGCGACCAGGCGTTGGCAAGGCAGTCCTGGAGCACCTGATGCATATTGCCGCCGGTCCTTGCCTGACATGGGCTGGTGGAAAAGCAACCGTCAATGAATCTTGGGTTGAGACCGGCTATGCTCCGATGTACGGAGATCGAGGCGAAACGCTCTTGCATGAGACTGCCCACCCAGAGCCAATCACTCTCCCCCGGCTCTTCCCACAAGCCAGCCGGATCCGCTGCCTTGGTGGCCTGCACCCGGCACCATTTAACGGCATTGCCCGTGGCCTTGGCGTCGCTGTTCGGAAGCAGGAAATTTCGCTGGAAGATGCCGTTGGCTTTATGATGAATCTCCTCAATAATCCCTCTCCCATTGAAGGTTGGGAGGCCACTTTGGGAGAGGTCAGTGGTTACCTACGTGGCGGCGATATCACGCTCAAGGAGCTATGGCAGGTTATCACCCATTCCGCTCATGCCATCGGACCATGGCGCCATGCTATTTACGGAATGCTCGAAACAATTCGAACGGGGGAATGCTCAACCGGAGAAGTGTTGAGCTTCCTCATTGACTCTGCTCGCGGAAAGGTTGCAGCGTACTGTGGTGGCCTCACGGTACGAGCCACCGGTTCTCGCAATGGACTTCCGGTTGCTTCGATAAAGCGTACGGCCAAATATGGCGAGGGATCTGTTCTTTTCAAGGATATGGCGGCTGTAACGGGAGGTGCTTGCGCCGCGTTTATGATTCTGGCACTGGAAGAAGGTCACAAACTTAGCGGTGTTTTTGCTCCTGAGGACTGGGCTGAGCCTCAGGCCTTCTATACGGCCCTTGGTCGTGTCGGTGTGCCTCATGATGAGCTTGCGCATTGGCTTGATGACGGCTCAGAAGGATCAAAGTCGAGACTGTAAGACCCTACTGGAGAAGGAGGAAGAGATTGTAGCGATGATGTCCAGACTTGCAATGTGTGTACAACCAGCAGACTGTCAACTCCTTTTATTGTTATTCCACCATTTTTCTAAAGATGTATCATCTGTAGCCTGTTGTTTTGATATGCTTCCTACCAATTTGGGCATGTTAATATAGCGAAGGGAGCACCAGAAGGTCGAGTTAAACAATTATCACTGATCTGACCTAATTCCGGATTATGTGAGATGTGATCGGCCTTCAATTCTCGCTACGGCCTAGGGCCCTGGCGTGGCTTGGATTAAAAGACAACAAGCGGTTGTAGAAGATGTGATGAATGCGCTAGCATACATAGTGGGGTAATTGCATTCTCAGCTCAGATTCAGTCGATTGAGCTACAAGGTGGCTGCCGTGTCCATCAAGTATTAGCAGCCTATATCTCCCACGTGTACGCGTAGTCATCGCTGGACTTAAATGCCTCATGCTCCCAACATCGTAGTGCCTCCGCCTCTACAGTGGCAGTTTTCATCTAATGAGCGTCATCAATCTGTCTATTCTATATATTCCTTTCTTCCAGCATCAATACGGACATACGACTCATACGCTGAAGGTTCCACAATCTGATGAATAACGGCTAAATATGACGGGCGAAGTTTCGTAGTCTGAAAACGCAATTGACTGTTTTTACTAAGTTTCATTCCTAGGTCCCGTAATAACCGTCGAAGGCAACGGTGCAAGAAATCATCCACGTGTATTCGCATCCAAGTTCTCTCGCGGAAGGGAAAAAGTTGTCCATGAAGGCAGTCTGATATTACCCTCGATGCTATAGGCTATTGATCTCTGAGAAATCATAGGTGTTGAACTGTGCTTGAGCTGGCCGATGTATGATCAACGTAATGACTCCATCAAATGACAGCTTTTCGAGAAACCAGAAGACGGGTAACAAAGTACAAAGCACTGGCAACAATCAAGAAAACTGCAGTAAACAGTTTCATGGGGAGATAGTTGATGCCTTGCGTGTTGTCAAGCAACCGTCCGGCGATTGGTCCAGTCCCAAGAACAGCAAACGAAACCACAGTAAAACAGATCCCTAGTGGAATATTGTTAATGCCCAGTTGAATGCAGGAGTGTTTAGAAAAATCCATAGGCTTACCGTTCCATGTACCGATCAAGCTTGGCTCCGGCGCCAAGTGGGAGATGCACGGCGAAAATAGAGCTTGGACGGCGCCAGAAAGGAATCCGTAAATGATAGTCCACACAATGATGCCTGCGTTATTCCGTGCGCCAATCCATCCAAAGGCCGTCACCGCGCAGCCGAAGGCGACCGCTGTAAATGCATTGAAAGTGCCAAGCCCACGATCAGCCGCAACACCAAATGTGTAGCAACCAAAAAATGCGCCGGCATTTAAGATCGATGAGAGATAGAATGCCATGTTAAGCGAGACGCCCCATTGCATGGCATAGGGAGTTATGTAGAACTTGATGAGCAAACCGGTTAGCCCCAGGAATGAGCAATTTTCTCCAGGATATGGCTTGGTACGCACATAGGGAATGTAGATGGCGAAGAAAAGGATCAATGAGGACAAGGTAAACAGAGAGCTTCGTTTATCTGTCAGGAATTGCTTCACGGGGATCGGCTCTCGGGGGATCTGAGGAAAGCGTGGGCTGACTAAGAGTGTGGCGATGACCATAACGAACAACTGCATGAATCCAATGATGCGCAGCGTCCAACCAAGTGACACTCGTCTGTTGTTAATGAGTTGGTCAACGATAACTGGCCAGATGACACCTGCGGGAATGGGTGACAGTGTAAGTAATGGCTTCTCCTGAGAGATTAGAAGGAAGATAATCCTTCCTAGCATTTTCCACGAACCTCCAATGTTTTGGCCGGACATGACCAGGCCAACAGCGAACCCGCGTTTTTTTAGGAACCATTGTGATTGGACCGCCAGGGATGGGGTGAATACCAGTCCAAAGCCGATGGCAGAGCAGAGACCTTGCGAGAGGACGAATTGATAGAAGGATTTTGAAATCGACGCCATCATCGTTCCAAAGACCATGAAAAATGTTCCCAGGGCAAGGGGCAACCTGGGGCCACGCTTGTCGGAAAGTCTCCCTGACCATAATCCTAGAAAGAAGCAACCAAAGATTTGTAGGCTACCGATCCACGAGATATTACTGGCGCTCTCGGTAGGCAAAGCTGTCGTGCCATAGTAGCTCTGGAACACGGAGAACGCACTCAAAAACCCAATGCTGGAGATTGATGTCAGCAATCCACCGACCACAGTAAGCCAGGCTTTGTATCCGCCATCTGGAAAAGCGATTTCTATGGAACCATCTTCTGGTGCCTGCCAGTTTGCATTGGCGGCGGCTTCCTGGTCCAACGGCTTTTCGAGATGTTGTGACATGGTGCATACTTAAATGGCAGAATTTTGTTGAAGAGTGAACTCGGGGATTTTCTGGTGCTTCAGACAAAACTCGTTGTCGATCCCAGAGGGTCACTTATCCTTTGTACCCCGGATCAGCCCTCGCAGGTGGTTATCAGCAGCCAGGAAGATAAGCTTTGCCGTAAACTTTAAACTCTGGCGACCAGTGGCACCCCCATGCGGCCGATCCCCAAGCCCCGTGTTCCGGATCCGCATGCGGAGCCGCAGACACAATCAATCAAACAGGCAGTCTCTGGGGGCACACAACTCCCAATCAATCTATTACGCGCACAGCTCTCCTTTTCAAAATCGCACGGAATCAGAGGGAAAAGGCTAATTTTAGTTTACTTTGTGGGATATGGCGGAACCCCAATTTCGTATCATAAAGTGGACCCGCGCGTGGATCTCGTGGCCTGGCCGTAAAGCAAGGCTCGTTGAATTTTCTGTGGGTAAGGCAGATAGAGGGATTCTGATTTCCTTCGTCATGACATCCGGATTTTGAACATTGCCCATTGAGTGCAGTGAGCTGAGCTGGTGCCGGTCCAACGAGCTCGACATCATGACAGACCGTGAGAGGACAGATACATCGCAGTGTCTGCCAAAATGGAGGAAGATCAGCAACATGCCATCTCAAAGCGACTTGCCAACCAGAATCATGCTATCAAATCCCCATATTCGGCCAGAGTCGTCATCAGGCAGGATAAATATTTCCAGATTCCCGCAAGAGTTGTCCATTCTCGTGAATGGCACGGATATTCGTTGCCAGCTATCAGAAGATGCGCAGGCAGACGGGGCTGAACGACCTATTCGACTCATATTTCACCATTCACTCCTATCTTTAACATATCATGAATCGTACTTCCAGCCAACGCTCCTAGTGAATGCGGGGCATGAACGCCAAAGGCCGAACTTGTCAGTCCCAGAATCATCGTCAAATTTGCCACAGGACTCGCCAACTAGTCCAAAGAGTGACTGTTCTGGCTTGCTAGAGGATGTTCGAATAACCCTCGACGAGAGCAGCTTTCTACATGCTATGCTGGCCGGTCGAAACAAAGACAGCGACGGAAGTTAAGCGAACTTTGCCGTCTGGAATTGAGTGGCCATTCTCCTTAAAAGAACAACTATTCAAAACTACAGAAGGATAGCTGCGTTACTCTAGAATACTTGGAACGTTTCTGAAGTGACCTGGTTTCATTGAGAACATCCGTCCTGTTCAATTCCATGTTGTTTCGATTGCTAAAACAGCTTTCATTTTCACAAAGGAGATGAGGGGAAATTAGACTCAAGATAGACTGTGGGTTATTGCAACAATCAATAAAAAAAGCTTCGGAATCCGTTGTTATGTTCCCTTCATGTTCTTTATGCTTCGTTCATAGTCTGGACCATGATAGACATTGCGGGAAGCTCTCTACAACAAATTTTCACCAACTCATACCCATGTTCCAGAACCTGTATAACACATATACCCACATATTTTACTTTCAAGGAACATCAGTGCTGCCGAACTCAATGATAAGAGCTTTATAGATACAGGAAAGGAATATGTTACCGTCGGACCCGCCGGCGGACCCGCCGAGAAGCATCAAAGCTCAGTGTACTGAGAGGGGTCTGACCCTACCACCCTGCTGCTCAATTCGAATATAATTGGAAGCATTCAGCAGCGTTTAGGAGAAAGACAGTGCCAGTATTCAGTATCAAACGTTGAATGCATCATTGGCTCAGAGCTCTACGCTTTATCTGTGCTCTTCAATTATCGAGTGATGATCATGGTGCAGAAAAGCACGAATCCCAGTGCAACAAAGCCCCGGCTGTCCATTGCTGAAAAGTTTGATATTATCCCTGCCATTTTCTCAATCCTGTCAGCGGGTTTCTTTTCATTGTTCTCCGGCCTCAGTCGAAGCGAGAAAGGTGCCCCCACTTTCTTCTTGCATATCGCCTATGCAATCCTTCGCAAGGCTACTAAGCGGTTCTCTATATTGCAGTTTCAGTAAGTTTGTCTTGTTTGTTTAGTGCCTAATGAGGGGACGTCTTTGATACAATACTGAGCCACTATATAGATCATTATCACCATCGACCGATCAGCTGTATGAAAAGTACGCACGGTCGTTAAGAAAAACGCCGCAGACTGTGGAGCTAGAATACGGCGGCAAGGGACATTGGATTGGAGATAGAAACGCCAAAAATGTGTTGGTCTGGTATCACGGTAAGATATATTATCCAGTGGATTGGTCAATATCGCTAATTTAACCAACGCTAATGTTGTACAGGCGGGGGTTTCTGCCTTCCAGCAAATATGGGCTACTTCAAGTTCTGGGAACGTCTCGTTGTATCATCCCATGCCAAGGACCTTGCCATTTTCGTCTTGACCTACACGCTTGCACCGCACGCACAATACCCGACACAGATCATTCAAGCCGTTGAAGCACTTCGGTACATTGTGACACAATCCCATAGGCGCCCTGGTCAGATCATACTGGGAGGAGACTCGGCCGGCGGGAACTTGGCAGTGGGAGTGCTCAGCCATCTTGCTCACCGGCACCCAGCTGTCGCAAAGCTTGACCTCTCTGAGCCTCTGGGAGGCCTTGCTCTCATCGCGCCCTGGACTTCACTTGATTATCAACCCCCGGAAAATTTGGATTGCAGAGGCGATATTATCACGCCATATGTTGCCGGCCCGTGGTCCCGTGCATATTTGGGACATTCAACCCGGAACTATTACACTGACCCATCTACTGCACCGTCTACTTGGTTTCGGGATTTTCCAGTAAAAAAGGTCTTGATTCTGGCTGGGCAAAATGAGATCATGCTTCATGATATCAAGGGTTTCGCGGAAAAATTTGTGGTAAGGCCCACTTCAACTGCCATGACAAATCTGGGAAGTGGACATTCCGAAGGCTGACTGAACAGGCTGGCTTTTCTCGAGTGGAGTTTTTTATAGGAAAGCGAGAAGCCCACGTGGCACCTATATATAATGTCTATGTTGGGGACAAAAGGGAAACAGAGCAGGGTAGGAAACTTATTGAATGGCTGCAAGGAACTTTATAAGACAAGCCCCTAGTTACATATGAAAATATCAAATGAACTCACGGTTCTTGAGCATTCCGATGCAAATACAGAGAACCACTCTTTATATCCATCCGATCGAGTTGCGTTGTCTCAACTCAACTGCTAAAGGCTATAGTATAATACCATTGCATGAGGTTTCTTGTATTGGCCAGACCTGAGCAGACTTCGTCATTTGCTTACGTCTTTCTTCCTCGTTGCATCCCAGTCCAGCTTTTACTCCTCAATTGTGCAATTAGTTCAGGTAACACCAGAAACTCGCTTGAAGAAGGGTGTAAGTGTCACAGGAGTGGTGGCTCCGCTGAGGCTCCCGCGGACCGCATTCGCTTGCTTACTTTCGCTGAAACGTACAAGATTTTTTATTGGAGAGCTCCCTAGCCTTATTCCTTATCTTGAGTCTTGCTAACACGGGTACCCACCCGAATTCCCATAGGCAAAGTTTCGAAGTAATGGCGTTTCAAACTCCACGCTCCCGCAGGGTTGGCGAGATGAAGAAATTCATCCTTTTAATCCAATTAGTAATGGTGCGCATCTGAATATGGCGGAAGACAGAAACTCAGTTTCATCAGCCCCTCGTCCGATGTCTCTATTTTGGTTCTCTGCAGAAACGAATGGGCCGTCTCCGAAAGGAGCGACATATTCACTTCCTGGATTGACTCACAGAGCGAGGCCGTACGATCGCTTAGTGACACCACGATACATCCAACGTCTTTGATATCATCCTGTACTAAGTTAGGGGACTTCTTACCTAATAGGCAATCACTAATATTCGCTTCTATGGCGTTAGCAAATTCGCAGGGATCGGCACCACCAAAACTGGATATGTGATCAGATTCAAAGACTCTGCATCGGCCGAGACGGCCGTAACAACACCGAATGGCTGCGCGAACTAGGCAACGAGACAAAGCTGGTTAAACCGCGATTCGGTGTGGCCGTACACCACGTACCAACACAAGGACTAGACCTTGAGTGAGACAAAAGAAAGGGCCATCCGGAAAATCATGGAAGAGAAAGACCTCCAGGAACGCAGTTTCCGAATCGAAGATATCGCCCGGCTGAAGAAAAGGGATAAAATGCTGGAGACATTCGCCTCAATGGGTACATGGTTCGACTCGACGGAGGCTGAAGAGTGGATGCTCGACAACGGCCTTCTGATCCCCCAGCGGTACATCGGTAGGGTAGAGAGATGCGAGATCAAAAAGAAGCGGGCGCTTCCGATGCCAACGATTCGGCCATCTGGCATGGTCGTGCAAGGAAGCTCCACGTTGCGGCCACTGTGGCGGCCAGCATGAAAGAGCAAGGTGTCCACACGGCATTAGAGCACGTTATCTCGACTGCAGTGGGGAGCACCCAAGGGAGGCTCATCGTGGCCGACGCCCTGAATTTTATGACCAGTGTCGTTTGCGAAGCGTATAAGAATACTACATAGATGGACCTCCAGCAAAAACTGATGTGCAAATGATTCACCGTCACTCCCGGCTGCAAGATCAAAATAACATGTCTTTGATTTGTAAAGTTTCCAAGATGGCATAACGTTCTGGCATACTCGTTCTCCATAGAGCTCGATGAGCACGGCGATTGATCACCTATGCCGACACTGACTCTATAATCTGATCCCGTGGGCAGCCAAGTTTCTCAATTGCCTTAAACAAGGCCTCTGACTCAGCCCAGTCCTCCGGGCAATAGACACCCGAGCGTGCTTCAGTCCCCTTCTCAAGCGCCAAAAGTGCGAGAGCCGCACAGGATGCTCCGATTGAAGTTGCCATACCTCCCCCTAGGAAGGAATCCTCCTGAACAGTAGGAGTTCGTCGAATGACTACGACAGGGTGTCCATTACGGGTTCCAACACCGCGCACAAGAACACCACCGCGAGGCGGTGCCTGCTTGCCGCGTGCGGAGTTGATCAAAAAGCTGATAACCTCGCCAGTTGTGCAGCCACCATTGCGTACCTGTTCGATCATACCACAGAGAGCATGGTTCCACGGTTTCAATGATGAAATACCGTGGGAAGCGAGCTCGTATAGTTGGTTGAGTGTAATTTCGCCACCCCGAAGTTGCGCCACGGCTGCTTTTAGCAAATCGCTCCAGCTCGCTGATGATTGGCTTTGCATACTTTCTAGGAAGTCGATAGCGGCATCCATAGTTAGGGCACCAGAGCTGACCGCAGCACCAAGTCCACGGGCAAAGCCGTTGAATGGCGCAGGATTGAGAGCCCCGAGAACCCGAATTCGATTCACCTTTGGGAATCGACGAGGCAAGGTAACAGGCTCCGGGTGAACGCTCTCGTAGAAAAGGTCGTTGAACCCCGGAGAAAAGGGGGCATAGGAGGTCTCGATCCAGTTCTCATGGACTGCTGCCTTACCATCCGCCCAGGTCAAGCAAGGTCCAGCAGTTATATGCATCAGATGCTCCAAAACCTCTCTACCTAATTTTCCGCTCTCGTCGCTGACTAGCCAGCAAATATCCAGAGACTCAACGGTATCAAGCTCTTGATTAATTTCAGTTGCAAGAATGTTTGTCATACCCGGCGAGATACCGCAGTTTATATAGCACGGAACTCCTTCCTTTTTGGCCCTCTCGTGGAGGCCGAGTGACTTAAGCGTGCTTTGTACATCGTCGGAATAGTCAAGGTAGGGTACCTTTGCGTCGATGCAGGCAGTGAGCACAGGTAGTGAAAACCGATAGTACGGCTGTGCACCCTGAACGACTAGGGCAGCGTCGCTGATACTGCTGCGCAGCTCATCGGGATTGGAAAGGTTCACCGTTCGGATTTCGACATTTTTGCCAGGTAGCTTGGCCGCAACTGAACGCAAGGCCTCTTCGTTGGCGTCTGCGAGTACAACTACCATTTGTGCCGGCGCCGCCGGATTCGGCGCCTCGCCCCTTGCGGTTTGGCGCCCGCCCCCACTGCCCCTTGTTCTGGTTTAGCGTGCCCTGAACAGGTTTAGCGCATTGGCCTCAATCCGCGCTATCCCCGAACGGTCCTGCCGTCCCAGACCGCCTGCCTCCGCGGCCACCCCGACTATATAAACACCCGGTGCGTCGCTCGACCACCGGCGCCCCCTTCTCGCTGCATTCTCCTCCCACCCGGCCGTCCGCTCGACGCCGTGCCCGCGAAACGATACGGTATTTCCGGATCACACGGCACAGTACCCCTGCCCAGCTGAAACCCTCGTCGCCGTCATCTGCGCGCCGCATCCCCACCGGCCTGGCCGTAGGCTGGCTGATCCTTGTCCTGGTCACCTTGGCTGCTACAATCCCATTTCTCGAGAGTTCTACGAGATGTGGTCGCCTCTGTTCTCCCTAATCTTCGCGACTTCCCTATATTTTGCCTATACGTATAGGCCACCACTCTCTTCGACCGACGCACGGGACATGACTTTCTGGGGGAATGATCAAACCTGCCATGTCGTCGAAGACCTTACGATACGACATTCTCCGAACTCGTTCTCACGCTGAGCGCCGATCTGTTCCTCTTCTCCATGGCCATACGTCACTATTCCGAGACGACGGTCAGAAATTGCCTCACAACCTCACTAGTCCACGAAATCCATTGGCCCGCAGATTGCATTGAGTGGGCTGTGGCAGCTGGATTTACGACGTGGACTGACCTCACTGGATGATTCTCCCAACGCCAAGCGCTGCCCTTGTCAGTCCCCGAGTCTCGGCCCTTTCGCAATGGCACTCATTGGGCGAGGCGCAGTACGGCGGATAGACGAAACCATCAGCGGGCCGTGTGAACCCATGGCAAGTGGAAGTCGCTTTGCCCAATCGAAAAAATGCCTCAAGGAGGGGTGCTTTGTGCTTTGTCTGTTGACCCTAGAGGCGACCAGACAGCCGCAAGGGGAAGCCGGCCGAGTATAAAGAGACCCCTCGGGCTTAGATTGATCTCAAGTGTGCCAACTTTCTAGACCAGGCCTTGAGAGATCTACTATTCTTGTGCATCTTGTTCAATTGCTTCCGAAGCCTTCCATACGATGATCGCAGCCAATCTGGACGATATCATCCACTATCGCCCGCCAGCTCCTAAAACCCGTTGCAAACCACCGCAAGCACCTAGCTTTGTTCCGTATTGCCCTTCGCCGTCGGCTTCAGAGATATTCCCCTTGACCCATCAAGTTCCCCCATGCCTTACGCCGTCCTTTTTCCACCCTCCGCACATTCCCGTGGTCTCCAAGACTATCCGCAAAGCCTTCAATTCGTGACCTCTCGCTCATCCTATGAAACGCAATATTCACCGCCATTCAATACTAGCCTTCCCAAGCAGCCGACCGTTGAGAGCCAGAACCAGTTTGACAAAGAATCATTAAGTTCCGATTGCGCAAGAAAGGATAGCTCGGTCATGACAGATATATCCACAGTGGATAGAGAATCACAAAATGGCTCTGTTGACGGTAGTGGAGGACGGGAAACACATGGCCCTTGTAATGATGGTTTGTGAGCCCGATTGATCATTTGAATCCATATTCCGAGGGTTTTCTTTACCATCGTGACAAAAGAGAAAAGACCGAAACAAGGGGGGATATTGGCTGACTATTTTTTAAAACTAGACTTTCGGGAGGATGTCCCTCACGAACCCTGTTTACAACCTATCTTCGAGGATCCAGCTCTGTGGGAAGATATTGGCGATGCGTCACACGCTGTTGGGTTCTATTCGTCCCCGGAATGTCCTGGATCTATGCCGCAGTTTCCGGGACCGGCTCAAAAGATCCTCAACCAGACAGACTTTAATTTTAATGCGGGTAAGTAGACTCGAACGGGACTAAGCAGTAGAGTTGCTCATTTATGGAAATGCAGACCAGGCCGCGGTGGACGTTGTGGCGGCCCAAGTCTCTGCTTGTGGTAACATAGAGAACAGCAGGACAGTCAATGAAAAGAATTTAACGTCTATGAGCCGAGACAACCTCATTCGCCAAGGACATTCACTATTCCGTGTCGGCTCTATACATGAAGCTGCTGAAGATAATCCTCACCCGTCGATTTGCGGTTGCCGGCGAAGCGCGGATACCGAGAATCAAAGCAGTAACCAGCCTGTCTCTGGAAATCAATATAGGGCAGAAGAGGCCACGGGCTGTGCAACCACACCGGACAACCATACGGTGCTAGAGCCCAACGATGACGGCAGCCATGCGTCGTCCTACCAGTTCGACGCAAATAAGGCATCGTCTCCCCGTGTCTCACCTACCCTGCAACCACATGACGGACCGGCATCAAGGGCCACACAGACAGGCTCGTCAGAAGCCCGGTCTAGATCCTCCCTACCTCTAGCGGTAGTCCTTAGGCCGCGCTCTCTCGAGTCACGAACGAAAGGACTACGTTTAAGTTGTCTGGGTAAGAGGAAATATCGTCCTAGGCGGCTTTGTGACGATGACAGTGATGACCCCGACGACCGTAACGACAGGGACTATATGGAAGGGAGCGGCGACGATGTTTGTGGAGGTTTTCCTCATCCAGCCAAAAAACCAAAACGGGCCACTGCTACGAGAGTCACGCCTGCACGTGTACAGCACGAAACTGCATGTCCCTCCCCTACAGTGGCGACCCAGGCCGACGTATCCGTGGATCAGGTTTGCTCCTCGACAAGTCTCCATGACATCGAAACTATTCCTATCTGAGGATTTCTCACGCGGCAGATATTCTTATCGAGGGTCGTATACTCGTTTACCATTGAAGAGCAACGGGAAAATTCATGTTCTCATAGATCAGGCGAAGTTCTAGAAATTAGATGTGAGAGCCGACATTCTAAGGCTCTCGCTTCCAAAGTGTCTCAGGCAGTTAACACAAGCAAGGGAACCCAATACCTTCCCGACGACGATAAGCTCCTGATTGAGCTAAAGGAGGAGCGGAATCTACCCTAGAGTCGGATCGTGGAGTATTTTCTACGAAGATCGAAAGGTTCTCTCCAAGTCCACTATAGTACGAAGCTCAAGGATCGAGGAAACCGTGGACGGAAGTCCAATGCGATACCTCAACCTCTAGTAACTGGTAGTGGCTCCTCCCGCAAGACGTACGACTTGAGCCAGGGTTCGCGCACGGCTGGTAGCAGGCGTGTACGTGTTGGGGCCGCCGCACCAAGACGACGATACGGCCCACTGAGAACCAGACGCGTGGCGGAGCGCTTTTCGCCTGTTTAATCCGGATGCGAGCCATATCAGAGAGGGTGAGAGTGCGGGTTTCAAGAAACGCGATATGATCCGCCAAGGTGGATTAGGTTGACTTGAAAATACAAGAGCCACGAAACCTCAAAGACATTCCAAACCGAGCACTCTTCCTATTCAAGGTACACACTTATTTCTGCAAAATCACCCACTCGTAGAGGGCCAACAATCCAAGCTCTCCACGAGACGGTGTCGGAAGCGAGAACGATGAACTGGTAGAGCAATGCCTCTGCGGTCTCAATGCGCTCTTCTAGAGCTTTTTAGATTGGTAGACATCGTGCTTGCGGAATCAGTAGAGCAATGCTAAAGAGGATAAAAGGCCCTAGGTCCTGAATTTATTATTTTCATGATGGCCCTAGGGAGTAGGGGATCAGCCCTTCTCACCCATCGGGGTGATAATTCTTTCCTCGTTCTCACCTCTTATCACCCTAGTCTTCAAATTTCTCACCTATATCACCCACACTCACCCTAGGGCACTTTCCATCGCCCTTTTAAAATGATAGGGGTATCGAGGGCACGTTGAGAATTGGCCTTGCACAATATGTGGCTTGTCTGCGGCCAGTAGTCGGGTGGGTGTCGCCCGGGTGAGCGTCGCGCGACCGGGGGTGAGAAGGGTGAGCGCGCAATAGACAGGGTGAGAAGCTGGGAGAGAGCGGGTGAGAAGTGCGACTCGTCGCACTGACCTTCTCAGCTGAACTAGGGTATAACCTCATTGGACCAAATTGCACCACTTGAAACACTCGGTATCTTGGCATCTGCACATAGCCACAAACAGCTTTCTGGGCTGATATAAACTAATGTATCATAAGAGATCGTAGAGGGTACTTGTGCCACTCAGAAATTGACAAAACAGGCGCTGAATGAAACTCAGTCCCAGGCAGCTAACCTTCACTCGGCGCTAACTTATCACTCTAATGAATAAATATCAGACTGATCTGATTTCTGGTCTTTAAATCACTTGATATTCGTTTCCATCGCATTTATCCAAGTGTCAAAAATCACTGAAGCGTACATGGCCGATCCATTTTCTGTGACTGGGGGTGCTGTAGGCGTCATCTCACTTGGCCTCACTGTCTGCCAAGGCCTACTCGCTTACTATGGGCCATTCAAAGCATTCCATGAGCAAATCAATGAGGTCGCTTGTCGAATAACAACTTTTGATAACACTTTGAAGGCGTTACAGCATGTGCTCACCAATGCGCATGTATTGTCTACCTCTCCAACGGCGCAATCTGCAGCAGTTGCAGCAGATTCCATTTTGCGTTGCCAAGAAGGATTGGACAGACTAAGAAAGACGCTCGAAAAATGCAGAAACACCAAATCAGCCAACAAAACTCTCGGATCCAAAATCCAGATTAATCGGATGTTATATCCTTTCAGACGCGAGACAATTACCACACTTTTGGAAACAATGAGCTGGCTGCAGGCCCATCTCAATACTTCACTACAAATACTGAACATGTAAGTAAAAAAGAGAGGGAGAAATTTATGTTTCCCTTGCTAATGGAAGGCATTAAGCGCTATGATGGCCGTCAATCAAAACCAGGCAGACTTGGTCCTCACATATTCAGCATCGAATGCGTTCAACATGAGGTTGATTCTAGATGCGGCCAATCAGTTTGATCAACGCAACATTAGCATCGACGACAGACTGGAAATTCTCGAACAGCATCTAAATCAGATGGTATGACTCTCATTCTGAGCCTTTAACTGCTCTTCTTGCCTAAACAGCTACTCACAATTCCCACAAAGCAATATGATCTTGTTCGCTTTGGAGCTCGGCCAATCCTAACACCAAGCCTTTTAAAATCGGCTTTAGAAAGCCAACAAAACTTGGACGAAACCGCAGGTGTTTTCATGACAAATCTTCTGTTTCAGCAAAATCCACCCCGAATAAGATGTTCATGCAGTCATCGCAGTCAATTTGCAGACTCCGAGAGAGCTCGCATCAACACTATAGCTTACAATGGTGGATGTCAGGTTCACAAGAAAAGAAAAACCACCGTACTTTTGCTCAAGCGACGAATATTCTGGAGGTGGGTCCTCGGGCTCTCCCTTGAGGCATCTTTCTCAAGCACAAACGGAGCGGGAGGCTTCTCTATCAGCCCCAAAATTGAGTTTCGTGCAATTGTACCTGTAAATTCGCGCATATTTGGTCCACTTTTGGGTGCAAAGGAGGCTCTCAGGTCGCAAGAGGTCAGCCTTGTCATCAAAGATATCGAGAAAAAGCTTTTTGAAATATTTCGTGAAGGCAAAGCATCACCATCAGATGCTCTGTCAAACGGTGATACCATCCTCCATGTGGGTCGTTTACTTTCTCCTGAAGATCTCAGTCTTTTTCTCGTGAAAGGCGATTAATCTTGAAGAGTATAAGCGCTTTAGGTTAACTATCTTTTACTGACTACCATTCCAGGTGGTAACTAGCTGGCAGAGGCATAGTTCTCTTTGGGATGCGCATTCATGGCTCACCTGGCGTTCGTTCATCAACAGCCTTTTACAAACGGGGCTATCTCCAGACCGGATCAATGACCGTGGTGAGACTCCTGCAGATCAGATGATAGATCTTTTTGGCTATGAATGTAGCAATCCGAACAAGCAGCAGGTAACTATTGATATCTGTTCAGACTTGCTGAAAGCTGGGGGTTATATGACCTGGATGGCCCTTGATTGGAGGCATCGTGAAAATGTGTTTAACCCCACTTACCATGCCTTTCGGGTCGATGGCCGCAAAAACGATGAGATATTCGAAGACTACAGCTTTAGACTCATTTGGAAGATAGCTGATGAAAAGGGGCTTCAAGGCAAACATTCCTCGATGAGAGATTGGAAGAAACACGCACTAATTAGACCAAAGACATCGATCTTCCGGAAGAGCTACAGCCTCTCGTCTACAAATCAAAGAATCTTCTAGTCTCACAGCTGAGAAGAGGAAAAGATCTTCAGCGATGGATCGAATCGTATACACGGTGGCCTGCTGGTTTGGCCTTGCTCCTCCAATCCGGTCATACGCCGATTGACGGCACCCTTATAGCAGCGTGCGAAGCGAACTGCGAGGAGAGTGTCAAAATATTGGTCAACGACGAAAGATGTTATATTGGAAGCAAGGAGCTTGAGATTGCCAGCTTTCATCACAATCTGGCACTTGTTGATTTAATAGTCCATGCATTAATTGAGCGCAGAAAGCGACTACAGGCTCTAGCAGTGACGTGCTTACCGAAAAGAGTGACAGACCAACTACGCATCGGGCCCAATACCCTCCTGAACCTCCAGGCCTATGAAGCCTATACACTCCTTGAGGCGAGTTCTGTGAATGTGGGAGGCCTTCTAGAACGTCACAGCTGGTCAGTTTTCGACTGTATAGGTATAAATCTCGACTTGGCAGACCAGCTATGGGATGCTGGCTTCCGAGGCGTGGATGAGCTAGATGGGAAAAACGAAACTTGCCTAGCAAGATTGTGGAGAACTTCACCACCATGCAGCCTGGAGACCTTCTTGCGAAAGGCTCACTGGCTGATTCGCAAAGGTGCGGATATCAATCACCGAGAGTCATCTTCACCGGGCCTACACGTCGTAGGACATGCCGTGGGAAGAATCATTCATTTAATGGATAATTCTAAAAACGTTGCTTTGGAAATGCATTCTTTGAGCGGAAATTCTAAGGAGTTGATGCTGAAAATATTTTTCGACAATATTCGAGATGATTGCTGCTGTGCCTGTTCTTTGGATGGATGCTCTGCACTTACTACATTTTTACATGGGCTTTTTCCCTACACGCTCTTACCGAGACACGGAAGAGCTAGTTCAAGCGATTGCGATAACCTTGGAAATTCTCGCGGGCCCGCTAGGTTCAGAGTCTCGAGAATACTTCAAAAGTCAGCTGGGCCCTTCTATCCTCCGCTTCATCACATTTCGGAGCTTAGATATCACCCACACCTGCTTGCATGAGTATAGAGAAATAGAGACAGATGAAATTCAAGAGATCCACGATGAAGAGAAACTCTCCATACTGGAACTTGAAGACCTCCTTGCTCTATTTCTCGAAGAATCAGAAAGAAGTGCAGTGCCTTTTCCGGAATTTATGACGGGCGTTTGGTGGACGCATCTTAATGCTATCCTAACATCCCCCGAGACTCTCAGTGCTGAAGAGTTCAGCCAAGTTCTTGAGACGGGGGTCGTTCTTTATAGATAGAAAAGATGTACGAGAGGAACTTACCTCACATCGCCTGCACTTACTTGTGCAACTACATCCTCTTCTTGGTTCTTCGAATTTGCTGATGATCAGCCCTATTAGCGGTTGAGCATGAAGTCATTGAATTCGAGGGCTAGGACATAGCCGGCGTAAACAGTCGGAAATTTAGTCACTTGATCGGATCGGCGGAAGGTGATGATGAAGAGGAGGAGTTGTTCTGAAGCCTTCATACCACGCACACACCCTGTCTGTAGTCTTGGTCGAAATGTTTATTGCCACTATCGCGAAGGGCATCATGAAGGCATGTCTCCTACCATGAGTACAATATGGAGCCAGGAGGCTGTGGACGCGTATATGCAGACTATAGTGGTATGGAAAGACCAGGGCCCGCCGGTGTGGGTTCTAAAGGAGCAGCTTTACGAGCTGATTTGTGAGCATAGATGGTACTGGCCGCCTACAACCACGTCCCGTTGAGAAGGTGGCATTAGCACGTCTTCCTGTACACAGTCTACATTTTACTAGCCCTGGCCGTCATATTGGCAGAAAGAGTCTTTCGATTGGTTTTTCCTGTGGCACGTATGAATAGCAACTCTGCGCTATCAACCGTCTGCCGTATTTCTAAAAACAGACTGGACTGATCCTGATTGATCACACTCATCAATACTGCGGTCAATAACTAGTTAGCACTTGCCTTGTAATCAAGCCTTAGGCTAACTAGAGATTCATTTAACGCCTTAAGTACTAGAAAGTCGAACAGACGATATCAAAACTATGACTCGTCGGGCTCCAGAATCTGCTCTATTCAGCCAAGTAAGGAATGCACGCGTTATCGGTGCACCGCTTGTGGAGTTTTGTCCCCTTTCCACTTATGCCGGCCATCTCGATGGAGGAAATTGACCTAGAATAAAATTACCTGAAGAGAAACGTGAACGCATTGTCTAGAGCAGACTGAAAGGAGGATTTTCGATTGGAAAGTTCTCTAGAAATTATGATATGTAAGAAATCGGGTAAAAACTAACGTTAATAGGGGCACGCACCCTACGAGTGGATACTCTGCCTCGGCCCCATCAGCCGCGGGGAAGGCCATGGAAGGGATTGATTCCTTGGGCGAGATTGGTACCCTTGATCTCTGTAGTCAATTGCCACCTAAGGCTATGACCATCTTAGATCCTTCCGTTTCCACAAGAGCGAAGCATGGAGACTGGTACACGCCACTGTGTGCATGGTGATCTACATAATCCAACGCGGCCAGGGCGCATATCCTTGAAGGGGCAAAGGAACCATTGGGGGCTTGAATAATCCTGTAGGGCTCCTGGGCGTACGTATGTACTGCCCGATTGACAGTAGCATCTAGTCTCGCCCCTCGAGTCAGGAGGCTAATGTATATCAAACGTAGCTTTTGCGCATCTAGAGAAAGGCATTATCCCATCGAAGCCCTTGAACACAAAGCTACGCCTTACTGGAATTAATCAATATGATCACCCTGAGTCCAAAAGCTTTGGCCGTAGCTGCCATCACTATGGGTCTCTCATCTTCTGTTATGGCATGTCTCGATATCACTGCCTACGTGGGCAATGGGAATTACTTCTCCGACGGCGCTTATGGCAATATCACAACAGTCGATAACGACGTTCAAACATGCAGTGGCAGTATAGGGACTGGAGACCAGGACATTGGAGGTATGTTTCTTTGCTATGACTTTCTATTCCTTATTATGTGCTAACTCTGTGCTCGGTATAAAGATGGCTGCATCAGCGGCTTCTCGCTGAACTACGACTATTCCGATAACAATGGATGGGGGCCCCTACCAATCACTTACTGCAACCCGGCGGGAAATTGGTATGTAACTCATGAATTGATTGTAATGGGGCAGCTTCAAAGCTAACATCGTATAGTTACCAAATTAATATTCCGTGCACCGAGGTGGAAAACCAGAACAATGGCAAAGAGCTCCTCTACTCTTGCAGCCTCTCTCAATTCTGCTAGTGAAGAGAATCTTAGGGGAGTTAGTGCCGAAATGCATTGAACCTACTCACCTGTGGGCTTTATTGAAGTTGGAGAGGAGCTGCTTGGCATAGTCTTGGGAAGAAGTGAGGCATTGGTCTCAGGTTTCGCAATACATATTCCATATTGTCTTGAGACGTATACGAATGCCCCAGGTTTGAGACTTGCATTCGTATATCTGTAGAAGTCAGGTATACTCCCAAGGCATCCCACCCGTAATTCTCATTGCATACATAGCTACTCCTTACATCAAGCGAAAGGTGCCCAGCCATCCTTATCGCGGGAAATACCTACACAACCACCTTGGTCACCTGGAGTTTAGTCCCCATTCCCTGCCAACCTTCCAACTAACTACCAAGACACAACTATTAAGGCAGGATGCCGTCCCTGCAATCTCATTCGCATCACTGCTTCAGGAGGACTCCAGTCAGCGCATCCACATCCTCCAGCTCGCCCACCCACCCAATATACTGATCGGGACGCACCACGACCAAGGCCCCGCGCGTTCGGTCGGCCGCCCGTTTTGCATACACCTGGCCATCACGTTCCCGGTCCCAAATGCAGACATCGTCGCACCAGGTTCGACTGTAGTTCCCCCATCAAGGGATCCAAGGGACGCAACACATCCGGGAACTGAAAGAACTCCGCCTCTCGCCAGGGAGCACTGTGGATAGTGACCGCACAAATTGGACTGTGGAAGCGGCCGGGATGGGTGCATAGCGAGTCAGAGGAGAGTCTTGTCCAGCCAGGAAACAGCCCAGCCGTTCGGCCCGCTGCCTCTGGGCTTCGACGCAAACATCCCCCGCCAGGAAGACCACGTGGAAGCGCCCATCACTCTCAACGATCCGGGTTGTCCACTCGGTCCGCCCTTCGGCCTGGTTGCGCAGTGTGGCGGGCGGGAAGCGCTCGCCAGGGACCAAGCGGCCAGCGACGGGCCGTTCCGTCCTCGCCGTCGTTCTTCCAGACCAACAAGCTCGCCCCATAGAAGACCCTTGAGACCATCGGCAAATGGCTAGACATTTCTCGCCCGACATACTTTTTTGTGCTGTACTTGGCCTCTCCTGGGTAACCCCATACGTCTGGAATATCGGAGTAAATGGACTTGATGATCACACGCATGGAAAATCAACTGACTATACAATTTTTGCGATATATGAACCGAAACAAATTCATCTAATACTTGCTATCATTCAAGAACAACCTTATCCATCTCGCTTACGCAGAGGGAACCATCTTGTCCGTGACGTATAAGTCGACATACTGGTCAACATCATAGTTCTCCAGCTGCTTGCGGTCATTGCCCAGGTTCACAAGCTGATCGATGCGGGCCTGGTCAAAGTGTGCCTGCAGGTGGCGCTTGTACTTAGCGAGGATCTCGGGCTTGGCCTCCTCACGGCGCAGGCGGTGGCCCAGCGGAGCCTCGACAACGACTTCCTCAAGCACGGTACCGTCGTTCAGGATGACGGTCAGCGCGTTGGGGATGGTGCGCTTGCTAGGGTCATGGTAGTCCTTGGTGAACTGCTCATCCTCAACGCAGCGGATGCGCTTGCGCAGATCCTCGACCAGAGGCGAGGTCGCCGCCTCAGAACCATCAGCGTAGTCGTTGGCCGTCAGGCGGTTGAAAGCGAGCATCGTGGCCACCATGTACTGCGCGACGATTAGCAAATTTCCGTAAAAGGGTCCACGGCACTTACCTGAACACAGTGATCGCGGTCAGCAAAGTTGTCCATTGCCTTGAACTGCTTGTCGATGATACGGATGCACGCTTCGTGAGTGCGGTTGATAATTTCCTTGATGTCCTTGGCACTCTTGCCCATGGCGGCCAGCTTCTTATTGATCTTCTGGGCCGCTTCAATCGCAGTCTGAGAGTGGAATTCGGCTGTTCACGAGAATCAGCACAGTTCAATTGATTTTGGGTGGGGCCGCCGGGGGGGGGGGGGTTGCAAACTTACCAGGATAGGACACCTTGAACAGAACGTTCTCCATAACGTAGCTGCCATACGGACGCTGGTACTGGAACTTCTTGCCCTTGAACAGGACATCATAGAAACCCCAGACGGGAGCAGACAGCACAGTGTGCAAACCACCCTCACCCTTCTGCACCTTCAAAACCAAGTTGACAGCACGCTGGCAGGCATCACCGGCAGCCCACGACTTGCGGGACATGGTGTTGGGCGAGTGACGGTAAGTGCGGAGGCTCTGGCCGTCCACCCAGGCCTGGGTGATAGCATCGGCGGTCTGCTTCTCGCTCAATCCGAGCATCTTGGCGACAACAGCCGTAGTCGCGACCTTGACCAGCACCACGTGGTCCAGGCCGACCTTGTTGAACGAGTTCTCCAGCGCCAGCACACCCTGGATCTCGTGGGCCTTGATCATGGCCTCCAGAACCTCGTGGACCTTGACTATCTTGCCCTGGCCTACGTTGCCGCCCGCACGGTTTGTGCGTGAAATCCAGTCCGCCACGGCCAGAATACCACCCAGATTATCGGAGGGGTGGCCCCACTCCGCGGCCAGCCAGCAGTCATTGTAGTCCAGCCAGCGGATCATCGCACCAATGTTGAAGGCACCGTTCACGGGGTCCAACTGGTAGGGCGTTCCCGGCACACGGGTGCCGTTGGGGACGACGGTGCCATCCACCACGGGGCCGAGCAACTTCGCACATTCCTTGAACTTCAAAGCCTCCAATCCACAGCCGAGGGTATCGAGGAAGACCAGACGAGCAGTGTCGAACTGTGCCGCATGGTCAGCGTGTGCAAGGTAGCGATCCAGCGAGGTAACTCACCGCCAGGTCGGAATCCACGTTGTATTGGTGGATGTAGCTTGCCATGTCCTGGATCTCAGGGTCGTATGGCCTGTCGGTGGAGGCCGGCGGAGCGGCAGATTGGCGAGCGGCCATGTTGGAAAAGTGCGAGGCACGGGGAGCAGCGGTGGTCGGGATGGATGCAGTGCGAAGAGGAAATCTGGAGACGACGGGGATGCGGGCCAACGTGCGGGGGGTCGTGTGGGTCAGTCGTCGCAGGGCAGGAAGGGACATGGTGAGAGGAACAGTGAAGGGAATGGGAATGGGAATAATTGGGAAGAGGGAGAGGGGAGAGAAGAACAATTGAGGAAGATATGTGGAGAGAGGTGTGTTTTTGTTGGTGAGGGAAGAAAGGGTGAGTGAGCTCAAGTTGACTTCACTGGGCCGAGGGTCGGTTAGTGACGGTCGGAAGGTCCATATATCCCAACTACTATGTACAGTCCTATGTGCTGCTTAGACTATTATTCGCCGGAACTATGTAACTAACAGGTAGTACTGATGAATCAATCCTACAGTGCTTTTTCGAATGATCAACTATGATTGTGTGAAGAACATTGTCAATAATGGATTTGTTGAGCAGCCCCGAAGATCGCCCAGCCGAGCGAAAATCGGAAGCCGAAAGACCCGGGGGCGCTTAGTCTCTCTTTTCACGTGTGTCGATCACGATTCAAGAAGAATCCCCGGCAGTAGTACATGTTGGCTAGCATCAAGCACAATATTAGGTCCACAGACATCATCCATCAGCCCTACGTCTCACCACCACCCTTCTTAGTGTCCCCTAGTTGTCACCTATTCGGTCAGTGGTACTAGTAGATCAGCACTGTGAGCATCTGCCGCTGTCTGATCTGATCTGAACGCAGAATGAAGTTGAGTCCGGCAAGTTCATTGTGGCATGCGACAAACCGGATTCCTCCCAACCGCTGGAGCTCAGGCCAACGGATCGATGAGAACCGTTGTCCACATGAAGCCGACCCGGTGGCTTAACCTAACTATGGGGGCTAGGATGCTCCTATCCTGGTGCTATGTTGTATAGGTAGGGCTCAGTACGTAAAAGTCTCCGCGGGTTACAGTAAGGCACCATAGATTGAGTCTCGTCTCATTCTTACGATCATGAGCCTCCATGGTTATCATTGTTGCAATCATCCTTCCTGTTCTCTGATTACAGGGGCCCCGCGCCCCCTCTTCCCCTGACCCTATATCGGAAACACGAGCCCAGAACAAACCGCGGGTTTAGGCTCATCCCGTGAATCCTTCGGTAGATGATACTACGCTATTATTGCATCTACGTGGGTTTGACTTTCTTGGCCGCATCCTGCGCCCCTTCTCTACGAACAGAGGAGTCGGTTTCGAAACAAATCATCCTCATCGGCTCGCCCCCATTCCCGCTAGGTTCCAGGTGAAACGAACTCGATTCGCGGTCGTGTTAGATTTTTGATGATCATTGGATTGACACCGTAAAGGCCCTACCGGTCTGCTTTTGACACTTAGATGGATTCTCCTCGTGGTGTTCAGTATAAAGTGTTACGACGGCCTTAGAGTCCGCGTGCACAGTCCAATCATCGTCGTATCTGGGCTTATTCTTTTCGCTGCGTCATTCTTTACCCTTTACATTCCTTTACATTCTCCATCCACGAGGAGGACTGTAATCGCCATGCGTCCTCTGTCCTTCATTATCGGCTCAGCTCTTACCTGGGCCTGCACAGTGTCATCGACAGCAATCCTGCTGCCGCTGTATATCTGGCCTAGCGGAGATGTGTGGAATCCGGTCTATGATGCCATTGCATCTCACCCTAACATTCCTTTCTACGTGATCATCAACCCAAGTAGTGGACCCGGCGACTCAGGTAGGTCTCTCGTGATCTCTATCTCGGCTTCCTCTCCGATCTAGCTCCGAAGATATTCTTGTCTGCTAACCAGTATAGAATATCCGGCATCTGACTATATCACTGGTGTCTCCAAGTTGAACAGCTTCGACAACGTCCGCGTCCTCGGCTACATTCCTACCGGATACACCGCACGTAACATGTCAGAGGTGCGCAACTACATCTTCAAGTACGGCAAGTGGTCCTCCTATACGGCGAGCAACATCTCTATCTCAGGGATTTTCTTCGACGAGGCTCCCAACGAAAACGACCCGACCAAGATCGCATACATGCGAACGGCTGCCAACTACGTCAAGTCTTCCAAATTCGTGACATCAGGCAACGCTCCTAAGACGGTCGTCTTCAATCCGGGCACTATCGCTGCGCAAGGATATCTGGATTCCGCTACTTTTGTTGTCCAGTTCGAGGACACATATGCGAACTGGGAATCTCAGAATGCCTTGAAGTCTTTGCCTTGGAGTCAGAGGAATCAGACCGCGGCTATTCTGAACGAGACGCCTCTCACTGCATCCTTCACCGATACTGCTCTCTCGGTGCATAAAATGGGACTGGGTGCTATGTACATGGCTAGCGGCTGCTGTTACAACAATGTCAATACTGTGGAGAAGGTTGCAGACGCTATGGCAGAGGCCTATGCAGATGGTGCTGTTCGATAGCTATTGAAACTATGTACTGAAACGATCAGCAGATAATAGCCTCCGATGTATCCTGTATACCTGTGAAACAATGCTTACAGCCACTTCCCTTCCCCTCTTGTGTTTTGCTGCACGCTGTAAATATTTAAAGTACACACTAACAGTAGTGGTATGTTTTGTGGATATCCTGTGGCGCTCTCCGGTCCCTTCATCATTGTTTTTCGTATCCAAGTCCAAGGATGTTATCCTCGCAGCAGCATTTACATATATTTTGTGACGAGTTCAGAACGAGGTAAATGTATGGTTTATCATTTATCATATTATGCCACCTTTAGATCCTCTAGTCCAGGCCCTTCGCTCCATCTTTATAGGGTCTCAGATCGTACTCATCGGGATAAGTCTCCAAGATGCGCTTGAGCTCCTTCATCTGTTCTTGAGCCTCCTCCGTAATGTTCTCATAGACATCCTCAAAGGCCTCCCGAAGCGGGGGTTTTTTCACGCGCTCAGCATCACCGAATTCCTTCAGCACTGCCTTGCGCAGGGCGTCGCGTGTCTCTTTCTCCTGATCCTCACTCCACAGTCCCTGCTTTTCGAGCCATTTGCGCAATCTGATAATTGGATTATCGCGGCGTTTCCAGTCTTCAACTTCGACGCGAGCACGGTATGCAAAGCTGTCGTCACTGGTGCTGTGGTGCGAGACCCGATAGCTCATCGCTTCAATCAAAACAGGCCGCCCGCCGTCACTCAGAGCTAGTCTCCGTGCCTCCTTCATGGCTTCGTTCACTGCAAATACATCGTTGCCGTCCACCCTAATTGTGTCAATTCCATATCCAACGCCACGGCTGGCGATGCCATCCCCGCGATACTGCTCCAGGGTCGGTGTGGAAATCGCATAGCCGTTGTTCCGGCACAGGAACACTACTGGGCAGGACCGTGTGGCGGCGATATTCAGCGCTGCATGGAAGTCACCCTCGCTGGCCGCGCCCTCTCCAAAGTAGCAAGTCACTATCCGCGGGGGCCGACTTGGGTTCTGCAAATCTTGGAGTTTGAGGGCATAGGCGGCACCAGCAGCCTGGGGGATTTGAGTGGCGAGTGGTGAGGAAATTGTGTGCTATATGGGTCAAATCAGCGAAGTTTTGGGTAGATTCCCGGTCGAAATGCTGACCGTTCGGGGGTAGTTCTGTCCATAGTGCACTGGCATGTTCCGGCCCTTGCCTGTATCATTGTGATTCGCGAAAAGCTGGCTCATGAAATCCTTGAGGGTAAATCCGCGTTGTTGAAAGACACCTGCCTCGCGATATTGGGCAAACACGACATCGTCCGGGGTCAATGCCGCGGCGGAGCCGATAGTAATGCCCTCTTCTCCGGCCGAAACCTAGCCCGCGTCCCTCATCAGCAAACCCCGCGACAGATCATACATCTTTCCGGGGATCATACCATGTAAAAACTCAATCGACCCTGCCGTTGTGCCTCGAACATGACCACATCCATGATGCTCACTACGCCTCTGGTCAGCGCCTGACTCTCCAGATACCCCAGTAAGCCACCCACCGGTCAGCATATTCTTATACCACGTCAGAACCTCTTCATCCGTAACGTCGGGAGGCCCCCGTGTTCCGTCCACTAGCTCGCCGTTGGAGTCCATCACGCGGTAGGTGGGAATGGCAGGCAAGTCGGAAGCCTTGAGGAAGGACATTTGGGTGGTGAACTTGCTATTCACAGCACCGGGGAATTGGACACTGGCAAAAATGTCCCCAAATTAGTTACTCTCTTCACTGCGATGGGCATCACGGCCTGCGCTCACCTGTCCGAACCCGGCCGTTGCGAGATGGAGCTGCTCCATCGCGGGGTACGAAATGCACCGGTCGGCGCAGCAATGGCTCGGCACGCCAGGGGACTGCGTCGGGCGAGGAGCTGTGACAGCATGGTGCGAGGTGTGTTTCCCATCACTTTTGTGGGCAAGAGCGAAGTTATGAATGTTGCGGTGTTGAGCGGCCTCGGTTGTCCACGGTTGGCCGCGGAGGTCCCTTGTATCCGAGAACCATTCCTGAATCATCCCTTAATAATAATCTCTGTCTCTACCATCCCGGATTCAGCCCGGACCGAACAGATCTTGTGGCGGCTGTCCCAACTTGCACCTTTTCAATACTTCATAGTCATCAGGCATGACTCTGAGCTACTCTCGATCGGTTCCACTTTTCACTCAGGGCAATGACATGGTGGTGGAGCGTCACTCGTTCCCTGCTTGGGGCCAGATGGGCCGATGACATAGCCCTCGGGTACCTGGAGTGTCTATCGGCGATTTCAATCGGTTTTGTTTGGAAACTCCAACGATCATGATGGACACGGAGAACCTCTACCAAGTGCTGAGCACTGATATCTGCACCCCGATACCTGAAACAACAGTGTCCAAGATCATTTCCCGGCCGCCCTTCGTCACCGTGCCCGGAGTCTCCAATATCCGAGATCTCAGCCATGGCAACCGAGTACGCCCGGCTTTCGTCTACCGGTCCGGGAACTTATCTGATATCACAGACGAGGGGAAATCAGTTCTAGTCGGTCGGATCGGGGTCAGCACGATCTTCGATCTGCGGAATCAATCGGAGAGAGAAAGGGCCCCGAGTCCCGAAATCGAGGGCATCGAAACAATATGGATGCCGTACGGTGTTCGCCCTGCATCATTGAGCCTGCGGGAATTTGCTGGAAAGGATCATAGCGCGATTGGCTTCGTGAAGATGTACATGGGGATTTTGGACTCTGCCGCTCCGGCCTTCAGGCAGGTTTTCCAACACGTTCAGAACCGTCCCAATGACCGGTTTATCTTTCATTGCTCAGGTAAGTCCATGAGCCCCATGCATCAGTATTAGTATTCTCAAATGCTTCCTTTGATGGTTCCATACACACTCCCTCCCACCGGTGTTAATCCACAAATGTTTTCTTCCTATAGCCGGCAAAGACCGCACAGGGGTATTAGCGAGCCTCATTCTTCTTCTCGTCGGGTGTTCCCACAACCAAATTATCATCGACTATATCCTCACCCGCGTCGGACTGGAAAGTGTTCGAGAGAATTTCCAGCAAGTGCTTGATCTCCACCTGGGAACCGACCAAATGCGGCCCGAAGTGGCTGGGTTGTTGGAATTGAGTGGCGTTCGGCCCAGCGCCATGGCGGCCTTTCTCAAAACCTTTGAGGAGACTTACGCCGGTGGCGTCGAGGGATATTTGACCGAGAAACTTGGCTTCTCGCGTGTTGATGTGCAAACGATGCGGCGAAACTTGGCGGATTAGGGATTCCTGTAATAGTACCATCACTCTAGAAATAGACTATACGATTGAGCTTCTGTACATATGTGGTTGTCTGGGCAAATAGTAGAGGATATCCACTTAGAGTGACACGAATGATGCATTGACCTTCATGCTAAACTATGCTTGGTTGAAGCTAGGGATCCATTCCCAAGGTTTCAACTACATACACACGAAAGTACCTGGGTTTCTTTTTTCTTTCCCGAGCAACGCCCTGGTCACGACTTCTTTCTACACAATTGAAACGAAAACTTTGTCCTGAATTGAGAATCTGGTCTTCTGTTTTCCAAGGCCTCCCGCTGCTCCCCACACCTGGGCCTCTTGGACTCCACAATCAGGCGCAGATCGTCGCTTTCTCCCGCCAGTCACTCCAGAATCGGGGATTGTTCACGTTAGAGCCGGGGAATCTTTGCACCAGTCGCATCTGAGCGCTGCTACCGTTGCTTCCCCCCGCTCGTGTGGACCCCACTGGCGCCGCTAGGATATTGTTTGTTTGATTATGCTCATGCGGCCGGTACGGGGAACAGCCGAGCTAGAACGCGACCCGTCTCCTCACGCACTGACCAGACGGAGGGGGAGCTAATGCTTAACATTCCCTGTATCAATGCCGATGTTCCTCCGACAGTACTAATAGCGCGACAGGGGCTGGCGATCGGAGAATAGGATAAATCGGACACTCGCCCCCGACGAGATTATGTTCTTTTCGCATGAGCTCTACACGTTATAGCATTTTTCTCTGTCGGTGCCAACATGCATCTCTGGAAGAAGCTCTCGCTGGCCACACTGTCGTCAGGTATTCCGACCCTGGCACAGCAGGTCCATAACCTCGGTGGTGACGGCTGGACGGTCAGCAGTAAGGCGCTTAACATCAGTGTCCCTGGCCATTTGCCTTCTCAGGTGCACTTGGATCTATTGGCGGCCGGAAAGATCGGTGAGACTTCCAATGACTTCTCCTTCCCGAACTCTACTAACGACATCGGAAGATGAACCGTCAGTAGATTTTCTAACCTTCAAATGTGGTTTGTATAAGCTAATACTAGCTAAAGATACTGGGGCCTCGGTGATTTTAACGACCGCTGGATTGTTACCAATAATTGGACCTATACAAGCAAGCCAATCCGTGGATTGTACGTGATCCAATTCTTGTTTACTTGGTTGATTCACTAACCATCCTAGATCGCCCAAAGCGAAATCTTCTTGGCTTATTTTCGACGGACTCGACACCTTCACCACAATTGAATTCTGTGGACAGTACATTGGTACAACTGATAATCAATTCCGCCAGTATACTTTCGACATTTCGCAAGCATTGAGCGGTTGCCAGGGTGAACCCGTGGTGTCAATCGATTTTGGAAGCGCGCCCAAGATTGCGGGTGCTATCGCTGCTGACCCATCTTCGGAGAGTATGATTCCTTTTTTCCTTCGAGATGCCCACTTCTTCTAACAGTATCTTTCCAGAGTGGCCTTATGGTCCTCAGCAGGTCTACGAGTATACGAACCGCTGGTACATTCGGAAAGAACAGTCAGACTTTGGATGGGACTGGGGCCCTGCCTTTGCACCCGCTGGTCCATGGAGAGATGCATACTTGGTCCAGTTTGACCACGAAGAAAGTGTCTATATTCTCAACACGGATTTGGACATTCACCGGCAGGGGCAGATCAATCATATTACTCCAGACCAAAGCGCACCTTGGGTTGTGAATGCCAGTCTCGACTTTATTGGAACCCTTCCCAGCCGCCCGTCCATGACCATTGACATCAAGGACGTCGAGTCAGGAGAGTCTCTGAAACAAGGGACCTTGGAAAATATCTCCGTGTCTGGGAAGGCCATCAGTGGCAGCATCGTCCTTGACGCCAATGCGCCTAAACTGTGGTGGCCTAACGGCCTGGGCAAGCAGAATTTGTACTATGCTACTGTTACCGTTCACGATGGTCAGGAGGAATTGGCTAGTGTGACGAAGCGTACTGGTTTCCGCACGATTTTCCTCAACCGCAACAACATCACAGAGGCACAACTTGCTCAGGGAATCGCCCCTGGAGCAAACTGGCATTTTGAAGTCAACGGACAAGAGTTCTACGCCAAGGGGTCAAACCTGATTCCACCCGACGCTTTCTGGCCCCGTGTCACCGAGGCCAGGATGCAGCGGCTGTTTGGCGCCGTTGTGGCTGGACGCCAAAATATGCTCCGGGTCTGGGCCTCCGGTGCCTACCTCCCTGACTTCATGTACGATCTTGCGGATGAGAATGGTGTTTTGCTGTGGAGTGAATTTCAATTCAGCGATGCCATGTATCCTGTTGATCAGCCCTTCCTGGAGAACGTTGCCGCAGAAGTTGAGTACAATGTGAGACGTGTCAACCACCACCCTTCTTTGGCCTTATGGGCGGGTGGGAATGAGATCGAGAGCCTGGAGCTGCCTCTCACCCAGGAAGCTGACCCAGACCATTATTCCTACTACGTTGGTCAGTATGAGGAACTGTTCATCAGTCTCATTCTGCCCATCGTTTATGACAACTCGCGATCCATCTCATACATGCCCAGCAGCACAAACAATGGCTTTCTTTGGGTCAACATGTCCGCTCCGGTTCCCATGGCCGAACGCTATAACAACATCACGGCAGGATCCTACTACGGAGATACGGACCACTACAATTATGACAGCAGCGTGGCCTTTGACTTCGATAGCTATCCTGTGGGCCGCTTCGCGAATGAATTCGGCTTCCATAGTATGCCCAGCTTGCAAACCTGGCAACAAGCCGTGCCTCCCGACATGTTGCACTTTAACAGCAGCACTGTTATGCTCCGAAACCACCACTATCCGTCCGGCGACTTGAGCACGCACAACTTCAAAAATTCCTCCATGGGAATGGGAGAGATGACTATGGCCGTCGAACGGTACTACCCTATCCCAAACAAGGAGGACAGTGTTGCCAACTTTAGTGCCTGGTGCCATGCGACTCAGTTGTTCCAGGCTGATATGTACAAATCTGAGATCCAATTCTATCGCCGCGGCAGCGGAATGCCAAATCGCCAGCTTGGGTCACTTTACTGGCAGCTCGAAGATATTTGGCAGGCTCCCACATGGGCGGGCATTGAGTATGACGGACGCTGGAAGGTTCTTCATTATATGGCGCGTGATATCTATCAGCCAGTCATTGTCTCTCCTTTCTGGAATTATTCGACTGGCGCGCTTTCAGTTTATGTGACTTCCGATCTCTGGGAGACAGCGACTGGGTCTGTCAGCCTCAAATGGCTGGATCTGTCCGGCAAGCCTCTTGCAGGCAATGCAGGCATACCGGAGACCAAGCACTTTACCGTCGGTGGTCTCAATACCACCCAGATTGTCGCAACAAACATTGCGGACCTCTCTATTCCAGACAAGAAGAATTCAGTCTTGGTGATGTCTGTCACTGCTCAAGGCCACCTTCCAAATGCCGAGAATAATTCACCCAGCACTTTCACCCACCAGAATTTCTTCACACCCACCTGGCCCAAGGACCTTGCTCTTGAGGACCCGAAAATTGAACTCTCTCACGATGCCCGAACTGGCACTTTTACTGTGGAGGCCAAGAACGCCGTTTCCCTTTATACCTGGCTTGACTACCCGGCCGGTGTGGTCGGGTACTTTGAGGATAACTCATTTACCTTGGTTCCAGGCGAGAAACGTACGCTCAAGTTCACTGTTCAGACCGATGGAACGGATGGGAAGTGGATGCAGGGTGTTACAGTGACCAGCTTGTGGGATCAGACCACCAGTTGAGTTCAGCCAGCCGTCTTGAGGATTTGGGTATGTGGTGGCTGCCGTGTATGTAGATACTCCATGAGTCTGCATCAGCCATCTCTTCAGCCTGCAAAAACATTACCTCGTCCATAATCACAATGAATATGATTCATTACTCTATCGGGTTCTATGTTTTTCATTCAGACACTTAGCTTGCATTTTGTGGTTGATAAGAGATACAACCTCACTAGGATCGTGACTCGTAACCATCACCTGTCATTAGCAATGTTAATGTAGAAGCAAACAAATTTTCTCAGGACTATTGAAAGCTTATTATAATATTTGGTTGTAATTCTTGGAATGATAGGTCTTGGGCCGTCTCGAATATATAGCAGGAAACCTTATATAATCGCCCCCTAAAGTCGGACCCCCAACGCTGCGCGGTTGTGGGTCCTCCCCAGTCTAATGAAATTTCAGTCTAATGATAATTTTTACCCTACCTACCAAATTTTGATGCTATTTACAAATACCCCCCACGTCTATCAATAGTATAAAGTGGCTGGCCGTCATCTCCATTGACCCATTCAAGCTCTGCCTCTCTTCTCTGATTTTCCTGATCCCTAATTTCGCCCTGGCGGCAGATTTCAGCGCGCTTCTGTTTAGCCTCACGTTCCCACTTCCGTCTTTGTTTCTCGGCCTCCTGGATATCCCGCGACTGTATGAGGGTATTCGAGTCCCTAACACTAAGAACACCCCCTTTACCTACCTGGCGCTTAGATTTGGGGGCATTGGCCGCCTCCTGGTTGGTAAGGAGGCGTGACATGTCGGCGGAGGTCTGGGCAGCAAATTCCGCTTGGGTAATGCTCCCTTCATATATTGCCTCCAAATAGCGCTGGATTTTCGCTAAATCAGGGGTAGCACTAGCTGAGAAGCTCTTCCTGACTTTGGAAATATTTTTTCGTAATTTTGTGACCGTTGTTGGTGGAGAATTTATAGTAGAACTTGACGCTGGTGGTGGTTGAGTCTGTGGTTGGGATGCATTTTCGACTTCCCCTTCGATTTCCCCTTCGATTTCCCCTCGGACGAACTTATTAAGTTCGTATTCTTTCCCTCTATCATAGACTACTAGATCTAGTCTAGTATCTCCACGAAGTTCTTCACAAATAACCTCTGGATTAAATGGCCAAATCCCGCAGTCTTTGAATGAGTGCCGGATAGCAGATCCTGTGAAGGTCTGCATCCGGATTTTATGGATAGAGCGTAGAAAATCTGGCTTCTCTGCAACTGAACCACCCCATTTCTTCGTCTGATTATTATGTTTTCGATAATAGTGCTTGTATGCGAGGGGTGCGAATCGAGTGGTTGAAGCCGGTGTGTAAGCTTTGATGGGAAACAGAGTGCAATAATTCTGTTTTGTTGGCAAAAATTGATGAAATCGTGCGCTTTATGGGATTTGTGGCCGTCAAAAATTAGAAGCCTATAGTCCGTACGATGTAGAAGTCGGGGTTTGGTATGCTGGTCAAAATATTGTAACCATTGATACGCGCGCACCTATTAATTAATTAATTAATTAATCAATTAATCAATTAATAGAGTAGTATGCGCTTACCTCATTATTCCATCCTGTCTCTGACGTACCAATAATATAATTATCTGGTAAATCTGGCTGGTTGCGGAACCAACTCTCAAGATGAACTGTGCCCGCAAATATGATCATTGGAGGCATTAACCATCCGTCTGCTGCAATGCATTCGACTGCGGTCACTAATTCTGCAATTCCACCTGTTGATATAGGTCTAATACTATCCCTCTGCTGACTAGCGACGCGCTGGGATTTTCCCTGGCCAAGTTGGAAGCCGGTTTCGTCAAAATTGTAGATATTCTTTGGCCCAATTTGGTACTGTTGTAGCACCACATCTAGGCGATGGAAAAAATCCTCAATAAGGGGTAATCGCTCTGCATCCATTCGCTCTGCCTCCATGATTTTTTGGTTACTAGGAACGTAGTCGTTGGGGTGGCGTTTTAGAAATCTGTAGGCCCAATTATTGCCAACGCGTCGCGTAGAGCCACTTCGCTCTAGAATTTGATTTGCTGTAGACTCAACCTCTCCTGGAGTTGGTGGAAGATTTGCATGATATAGTAGATCCACCCAGTTAATCAATGCCTGCTCTTGGGATTTATCTAGGCATTTGTTAGGGCCCTGGCGCGCTGAACGAGATGTGTGCCCATGAACGCGTCGTACAAGTCGTTGGTAATCAACGCCAAATTCCCGTGCGACCGCTCCGATTTTAGGCTTCCCGCGATCATGGTAGGCGTGTAAGGCCTCCTGGATGCGATTCTCGGCTTCGTCTGATTTTTTGGGCATTGTGGTGGTGGGTAATAGTAGGAAGAAGTTGGTGGGTGGAAGAAAAATTATCATTAGACTGAAATTTCATTAGACTGGGGAGGACCCACAACCGCGCAGCGTTGGGGGTCCGACTTTAGGGGGCGATTATCCCTAACTTGCTAACCCCAAGTGTTCCTCTGAGAAATCATATTTAAGCCATCACTGATTGATCGGAGGGCGACACAGGAGAAGCCTATCCAAACGGTGAACACCTCATGCACCACGACATCAAGTTAGTACCAGACTCAGGCGTATTTTTTAGCTGCAATTGACTCTGGAGGCCATTTCCGCATACATGTCTGTTTACAAGTGAATTATATCAGGGAACCAGATGTCATTGGCTGGAATAGTATTCCATAGTGGCTACCCCATAGACGCTGAGGGTATTTGTTGCGATATGCCCTACTGATTGCTGTTCATACTGACGTATGATTTGCCATTTCTACCTAGCCAGGCAATAAAGGGTCCAAGTCTCCATAGTGTTATTCTTACGCGAGTTGTCATTAATTATCAGTATCAGCGAGAATATACGAACAGAGATACCTTAAATTGTCCCAGCACGCCATACAACATGAGCTCTATGAATGAATCTAAGCGCAAGCTTGTCATTGTTTCGAATAGGCTTCCCCTCTCGATTAAGCGCGTGGATGGATCATTTCAGTCCTCCCTCTCGAGTGGAGGTTTGGTCACCTCTTTGTCCGGGCTGACAAAGTCGACAGAGTTCCGGTGGTTTGGGTGGCCTGGAATTGAGGTAAAAGACGCAAAGGATAGGGAGCTGGTATCACAGAGCTTGGAAGAGCAGAATGCTATTCCGATATTCCTTGATAGCGATCTGGCACATGAGCACTACAATGGATTCTCAAGTCAGTCTGTATCCGCCTTGTGATTGAGAATCTGCTGATATCTGTAGATCGGATCCTATGGCCAATCTTGCATTACCAGTCAGGCGTAACGTTCGATGATGGTCCATGGCAGGCGTACAAACGAGTCAACGAGCTCTTCGCCAACGCCATCGCGGATGCGACTGAAAGTGGGAACCTGATATGGGTGCATGACTATCATCTCATGTTGCTCCCGGAGCTGCTACGCAACCGACTGCTGCAACAAGGCAAATCCTGTGCCATTGGGTTTTCATTGCATACTCCATTCCCCGCGGGCGATTTCTGGAGAAATCTCCCGGTACGCAGGCATCTAATCGACGGGATGCTGTCAAGTGACTTGATTGGGTTTCATACAGAGGAATACAAGCAGAACTTCAGCGACACGTGTGCTAGTCTTCTGTAAGTCCCATCAGCTCTTCTGAGACTATTTGCCCTAACACGGTCCAAAATAGTGGAGCGCATACCGAGATCCCCAATCAGATTCAGTATAAGAACAGATTGATCTGTATCGACAGGTTCATCGTCGGAATCGACCCGCAAAAGTTCGCAGATGCATTGCAAAAGCCCGAAGTACAAGAACGGATCAATACGCTCGAAGAGCGATACAAGGGGGTCAAGGTTATTGTCGGGGTGGACCGGCTCGATCACATCAAGGGCTTGACACAGAAACTGAAAGGCTTTGATGCTTTCCTCGATGATCACCCCGAACTCCAAAATAAAGTTGTGTTGATTCAGGTTGCCGTGCCTAGCCGGGAGGATGTCAAGGAGTACCAAGAGCTCGAGACCGAATTGAGTACGCTAGCGGGAAAAATCAACGGAAAGCACGGTGAGTGTGGCAACTACAACCTGGTATACGCTTCTAACGGACGAATCAGCTACCCCCGAGGGCACGCCGCTGCTCTACATGCACCGGTCGGTCCCCTTTACCGAGCTCACAGCCCTATACACCGTGGCAGATGTATGTCTGCTCACTTCTACTCGAGACGGCATGAACCTAGTATCATTCGAGTATGTGGCCTGCCAGGAGAAGCGACATGGTGTTCTGGTGCTGTCCGAATTTGCGGGCGCTGCCTCGTTTATGAGAGACGGTAGCATCCCCTTCCACCCCGCCAACACGACCGAACTGTCCGAGGCCATCTTCCGTGCTCTGAATCTGGACCCGAGCGAGCGGAAGAATAAATACAAATATTTGCGCGACTTTGTCAATTTCAATACGAGGTCAGTGGTGCTTGTCAATGTGCAGAGCCTTGTTCACTGATAGGCGTGTACCTATAGTGCTCGATGGGGACAGACCTTCACGGATAAGCTGTCCCAGCGTTGTCATGGCCCTGGTGATCCGTGTTAATTGACCCAGTATATTACGTATTCTATCCAATTGTGCCCTCTGCGATCCAACCCATCTATTTTTGCCGTGCTGTTGGGGGATCATCCATATGGGCGTGTAGTTCCTGGGCTCTCTTCAAGGCTTCATTATTGGTGGATCTAGGGTGAACCAGCTACCACTTCGTCTCCACCATGAACATCGTCACAACTCCACGGGATCGGTCATGACATGCTGCATCGGTCCCGAAATCTAGTTGATGACCCTTGCGAATCCATCATTAGGTCATCCCGGGCTTCCGAATCCCACGCGTCACCGAGTTTTGGTCCTCCTGTCGAATGCGGCCATGATGCAATGGCTCAACTCTGGATCACGACGTCACGGACTGACAGCTTTCCGGACTTCCATCCCATCCACCTCCCCTAAAGAACGAGGCAATGCGGCTTATGAGCTCTGTCGCTCTTCATCATCACCACCACCATCTGCAGCAGCTGCAGCATTTCCCTGACTATGGCGACTGCTCAACTCCCCGCGAGCTCCCGGTCTTCCCGGCTTGCGGATGACGGTAAGCCAAAACCTTCCCCAGCATTCCTCCTGGCTCGGACCCTGACTGACTGGCCCTGCCAGCTGCGACCGCTGCGCTCTACGTGACACACCCCGAACGCAAGGCGCCGATCCGTAACTCGACCGCAACCGAGGAATTCAGTGAGTAACAATGCCCCGAAAACCCTCGATACCAACTGACGCGAGCTTCCCCAGATCCCCGTGTCACGGGCAGCTCGCCTAATCTTAGCCGCGCCTCCGCCAGCGCCGCCCTCCTTGCGCACGCGAGGTCCAAGCCCGTTGAAATATGGCGACCTGGACGACTGCCGGCCGCGGAGAAGGCCGCCTTATGCGTGAAGGACTACACTCCCCCGGAGATACCGATGCCAAAACCCAGCACCGAGTACAGCGCCGAGGGGCTTGAAGCTGCCGTGCTGGCTGTCCGCGACCAGAAGAGCGTGGCCAGTCTGCCACCGACAGCCACGGGCCCCGAGCAAGATATTTCGGTCAGGGCCGCGGTCGGCGGCCACCCGCAAGAAAAAGCGCGTCTGGCGGCGACGGGGGCTTACGCAAGGGCGCGAGCTGACTCTGGACTGGGTGAGTCTGAAGCGTCGCATGCGCGATCCGCTGCGGAGCGAGCGCGTGTCGAGGACGAAGACCAGCTGGCTCACACCGACCGCGCCAATGAAGCTAGTCGTATCCAGCATGCTCATACGAATGCTCGACTTTACACTTCGTCACCTCCTGTCGCGACGGAGGTAAAGGAGCGCAATCACAGGAACTCGCTTCGCGCTGCTGCGATCGTCATGGCTAAGGATATGCACGATGTCCCCGATACTGTTAACACGGGAGTAACGGATACTGCTCTCTCCGCAGCGCAGAAAGGGCAGTACCAGGCGCGTTCGAGGAAGGCCGTTAGTGGTGAGGCAGATAGAACGACCACCCTACGCCAAGCAATCGCGTTGCAAGACGCTGCCCAAAAGCGTGCTGCCGAGAAGCTCGCTCAGATGAAGGACCCGAACGCCGAGTACCTCGAGTACTATGGGACCACGCCGCAGCCACAACAGTCCCGCTGGGCGACCCGCCGCAAAAGAACCTCGAGCGATGCGGATTCTGCAGAGGTGGACGTGGAGCGGTCGAGACACATCCGCAGCCAGATGTTCAGTCTGCAGAAGAAGATGAACCGGGTCGATAACCAGAGAGAAAAAGATCGCGAGCTGCTCATGAAGGCGGCGCAGCGTAATGTTGATGCCACCATGCAGGACCTCGAGATGAAAGTCTATGCCGATACGGGGCGTCCTACGCCTTCTGTGCTGAAGGAATGGGATAAGGTTGCTCAGGGACGTGCGCGGAAAGAAATCGAGACCGCTGAAGCTACTGGTGGTGTTCAAGGGGAGCAAGTCAATATCGGTACCCACCAGTACATGGATATGGCAGATGTTGAAGCTGTTGCGCGCTCTCGCCTTCAACCTGCGCTTGATGAGATCACGGACCAGGCGGAGACGCAGAGGGCTCATGATGTGGAGGCCCGCCTGGATGAAGAGGAGCAGAAGAGACATGCGGCTGTGGAGCGTCAGCGGGAGGCTGATCTGAGGGCTGAAGAGAAGCGTCAGAAGAAAGGTACGTTTAAGTTACTGGTCAGGATTTAAGGAACACACACTAATTCAAATAGGTGCTGCAAAAGAGGTGACGAAACCTGAAGCCAAAGGCAAGAAGCTCTTTCCTGCCGGACTCTTTAGAATGAGGACCAAGCGAGGTCGCATTGGGAAACCTATCGCACAAGAGGCCCCGACACAGGAGGGTGTAGCGGCGGTTCAGGAAGTGCCTGCTGCACAAGAGGCTGGTCCCGAACAAGAGGCTTCCACTGCGGAGGGTGGTCTCTCCAGAGAGGCCCATGGCCAGATAGCTGCTGACGAGCCGGAAGGCGCTGCATCTGCGATTGCTGCCGCGGCTCAGCCAAAGACTCCTGCCGCTGAGGGCGAAGGTGGTTTCTCCGGAGAAGCCTATGGTCAGAAGGCTGCTGATGAGCCGGAAGGCGCTGCATCTGCGATTGCTGCCGCGGCTCAGACAAAGACTCCTGCTGCTGATGGCGAAGGTGGTTTCTCAAGAGAATCACAAGGCCGGACAGGTGCTGACGAGCCGGAGGGCGCAGCAACAATGCAGGTCGCCGCGATGGCTCCGATTGCGAAACCCACCACGCTGCCCACCAGTGAAGATATGCAGCGTGACACAAGCCTTCCCGAGATTGAGGACTATGATAATACAGCCATCACTGCGTCGGGCGCTGCTGATATGCGCAATAGCCATCCTATAACAAGCCCGCGAGCAGACCGCAAACTGACCACCTGGTTTCGCGATCGACTTATTCGTCGGTCTAGTGATGGCCCAGTCGCTGTGTACCCTCACCAGCCGGGCCCTGAGTTCGCGACGGACAGTGAGTCCGGGTTCACGGGAGGTGCTGCTCTGACAAGAAAAGACGAGCCCCGTGGTGCAGCACTGAGCTCACACCCTGTTACCGGGGCGGATCTGGAGCCACATGACACTCGACACTCTGGAAATAACGTCGGCAATGTCGAGGGGAGAGCCATGTCTCCGACTGAGGAAGAGACCGTTGAGCCTCCTCCGGCCCAGCAGAATGGTGGTGGCAAGAGGAACCGCCTGCGTCGGAGTTTCATGAAGTCCGTGTCGCGCACTACTCAAGAATCCAAGACGGATGGTGTCACAAAGGATAGCGGCGAGGGATCTCAGACGCTCTCTGACTCTAAGAGCCGGGATGTTCAGGGTCTTCGGAACAGCGCCGTTGAACAGGGCTTGCCTGTTCCGCCAGCCCTCGGTGAAGCTCCCAGCACCGGCCGCGAATCAAGATTTTCTGAGGATCTGTGATTCATTTGTTCTTTTGTGTCTATTATGTTGACTGATATGTTTTCGTGTACTATCTTCTTTGGCCGGGTCTCTGGGAAAGGGTTTAATTTGGCGTTGGGGGACAGCCTTGATGGGGAGGATGGCCTGGTGCGTTTCCGGTTCCTGGAGTTTGTTTTGTGGATCTTATTGGAAATGAACACGAATGTAATGTTTTCTCTACGAAGCCCCAGGCGACGCTACCAAGGTATTCGGCGTCTTCAACACCTCTACAGAAGACACTCATGTGACCGCCGACAGATTTCTTCCAGGAGATTACTCTTCATTCGACTAATGACTACTAGATTTGATAGTGATTGATGTCTGTGTAAATGATTTATATTAGCTTCGGGAATATGGTAACCCTTGTCAGGCCTCAACATGGCACGGTCTCCGACGTTGTAATGTATGGCCGCGTACTTGAGGTACTCCTCGGCGTTCTGCCGGGCGGCCTGGTCCCTGTTCGGGGAGGCGTTCATCATCAGTTGCCAAGGCATCCTCCTTCCATCGATGACACCTTGGATACACTCGTATTCTCTCTGATGCTGAGAAGGTTGATCGGACAGCGCATTCCGCGCCGCCCAATCGCCACAGCTAAGACACGCCCTCCGTCAACACCTTGCCACTACTCCATCTGCACTCGTTCGAGAACAAGGCCTACAAGCTCGTATAAATATATCAAGCTCCAAAACTCACATCAAAACTCACGCCCATTATGGACCACGTCCATCCCACCAATCTTAACTCCGCCGATCATCTTTCTCGGTCTTCTTCTGGGTCTGTGGACCTGGAAATGCTTCTGGATTATCGTCTTGCAAAACAAACTCCTCTATCTATCCTGGCTTCCACCCTTTTCCCGCTCTGACCAAATATCCGAATACGAATCCAAATGTAGGCCCGTTCAATGGGAAGAGAAACGCATTCGCAGTCTGGATGGCACGAAGTTGGCTGTCTGTCAAGGACGGATCCCGGTTGCCCATCAGGTCAGGAAGAGGGTTCTCATTTGTTATTTCCAAGGAAACGGAGGGTCGACGCCTCTTCGATTACCGCTTCTTTCTCAGGTCATGAGGACTATCTCCACAGAAGCCAAGGATCAGGACACGGAATATATCATCGTTGCTCTCTCCTACCGCGGCTACTGGACCTCTTCAGGTCGTGCAACACAATCCGGTATTGAACGCGATTCCCAGGCATTCCTGGACTGGGTATCAGACGCTTACACGACGCCCGACACGGACCTCCGAGTTATCCTCTGGGGACATAGTCTCGGATCCGCCGTTGCGAGCACCGCCCTTTCGACATATCTGTCACGGCAATCCAGCACAACAAGGCTGGTTCCGATCTCCGGGTTGATCATGGAAGCGCCCACCTCTAATATCAAGGATATGCTCATTAGCTTGTATCCTCAGAGATGGCTCCCATATCGCTATCTATGGCCCTTTTCCTGGAATACATGGTGCAACAGGACTGCCCTCGAACGACTAGCCGACTGTCGAGACCAATGCGAGGGTTCAACTATCCCCCCCATCTTGATCCTGTCTGCTGAACATGACGAAGTAATCCCCCCGCATGTGGCAGGTCAGTTGGAGAGGAGAGGTCATGAGTTGGGTTTGGATATTGCGAGGATCGATGTCCCGAGGGCGATGCATATTGAGGCACCGATGAAACCGGAGGGAAGGGAGGCATTGGTGAGATTTATTTTCAAGAATACGCTGTAAATAATAATATCAGACACCATCTCTCTCTCCGAGATTGGCGTGAACCATAACGCCGTTCATCGAACCCGTACTGGAGTCCCATCATCCAGCGTAGAATCAATCGAAAACAGGCCCCAGACTGACCAAACTGAACCGCAAATCCGGATTCCCACCCTCGGCCTCGGTCTTCAAGAACCTCCTCGCCCCCAGATCCAGCGCCGCGTCACTCAGCGCATCTTCCCCTTCCTTCAGCACCCCTCTCGCCAACGGCCCCTTTCGACGCCCGTCGAGCTCCCAAAGCGTCCCGTCATCGCCCTTCACAAACGCCACAAAATGCAAGTCGACACTATCCTCCGCCTGCGGCGCAGCTGTATCACCTAGCTTAGCCGCATCGGCATGCGCGCTCTCTAGTGCTTTGCTATCATATAGCAGATCCGCGCGCTGCACGGGGGCTAGGGTCTCCGCGGCGCGGAGGAGGTCGTCTAGATCCGACCCCGGAATTACCTGGCGGCGGGGTTCCCCGTTCGATACGGCGTGGAGCAGCCCGATGAGCCCGCATGCGTTGCGGATGGTCTGCTTGAACCACATGACGGGCTCGGTGGGACCGGAGCCGCTGTATTCGGGGAGGGTGCTGTCTTCTGCTGTGCGGGAAGCTTCGTAGGTTGCTGAGACGGGGAAGACCAGGAGAAGGGCGTGTGCGGGACGGGGGACGAAGGCGAGAAGGTCGGGCTCGTCGATTGAGAAGACGTCGGTGAAGCCGAGGGTGGGTGGCAGGCCAAGCTGGTGCACCAGGTGGCTCATAACCTCGGGGTTGTTCTCTGTCGGACCGTTGGGTGAGTACGAGGGTCTGTGGGTATGGATCGAGATGCTGCCTTACCTAGAGGCACAAAGGCCTTTTGCGTGGCTGGCACGTCAGGGTCGGTCATGTTGCTGAGAGAGATGGGGAAGGAAGAAGGTGGGTGTTTAGCAGGAGTTACGTAGTAGTAGTGGGGAAAGAGAAGCCCATCGTTATCGCTCGCTAGTTGACTATCGATCTAGATCTATGAACCATCCAACCAACTACCCATTATTCTTCAACGGCGCAAAAACCTCCGTCCATAGCTCACTGGCTTCCCCCAGATAATACGTCAGGCTCACCTCCGCCATACTGGCCTCATCATCGCCTGCCATCGTCTCCAGTTGCGAAATCAGATTCTCCAGGCCAAACGCCTTGCCGGTCGCTTGGGTCGCCCCGGCCTCCAACATGACATTCACAACATGGATATGGAAATGGTAGTAGGTTGGTTGATCTGTCACGTCAGTTAATAAATAAGGCCCGCGAGACGGGATTTCCAACAGACACTCACAGTGCACGTAGAGCTTCAGCTGATCCGCCTCCAGTCCGGGATACATCTTCACCGTCGCCTCCAACACCCGCTGCCGCAGATACCGGAGCCAGGGCACATGGCTCTTTTTCAAATCCCGCAAGCTCCAGATATCACGCCGGTGCACCAACGCCAGCAGGTGCAGGGAGCCCAGCGTCTTGCGATCCCAGTTCAGGTCCGGCAGCATGAGAAACGCGTCCTCGGGACCATGGCCTGTATCGCGCATGATGACATCCTCCTGTTCAGTCCGGCCTTCCAGGATATTGAATACCCAGTTCAGTCGGCCTTCCTCTCGCTTCGCGCGCATGTAGGGGTGGACGTGGTCGCGGTAGATGGCTGGGGTCTCGGTAACCATGCGCAGCTGCTGGTCGGAGTATTTCTTGATGTGGGAATTGGTGCATGGCCAGATGAGGTTGATTTTGAGGTCGGGCTGAGGTTCGAAGGAAGAGGAGGAGGAGGAGGAGGAGGAGGAGGAGGCCAGGTACCACCGGTAGATGTCGTTGTCGCCTAGGTTCTTGACTTGGCCAATGGCTGCGTGGAAGGCTTGTAGGACCTCTAGTGATTCCGTTGCAAAGGCTGCACGCTCAGCGATAAGAATCCCTTGTTGGCTGTCGATGGTTCCGAGGAGGGCAATTCGTCGTCCATTCTGGTCTGGGGTGGACCTGTTAGGGAATAGTGGTTCGCAGGACGAAGGGTATTACTCGTACCTTGTTTGAGTAATTTGTCCACCTGGAACTGGGGGATCAGCGCCTCGGGGGCCACTTTTGTGAGGTCGGATGGAGGCATTTCGAGGATCTGGCGGCAGAGACGAGGAAAGAATGTGAGAGTGAGAGATCAGTTGGGGCGGGCGGTGAGATGTATAAGCTTGATCGCGTTAACTATAGGTTCATGATTGTTACTGTTTTGTTGTCGAAGAATGCATCTATCCAGTCCAACCATGAGTGATGAGAACCGCGAACAGCAAAAGACACGAACACCTACCGTTTCGGCCAACTGCAGCCACTCCTGCACGCCCTTCACATACGCATCGTCCGCCGCCGGCGCCATCTCATGGCCCCAGACCATCAAGTTCGCGAAAGTCCCCCTCGTCTCCAGGATTTTGACCGGCTGCTCTGGTTCCGCGTTGGGGTCCTCCGCCTCGGCGTCGTGGTGATCGGGTCGTTGCGTCGCCGACGCCATCACTCGGTCGGTCGGTGTTGCAATCACCCCTGTTTCACCACAAAGACTAAGTCAGCTTCTTTCTCCCACTGAGAGAATTGCATTCGTCCATACCGCGATATCCATCAGGCAGCGGCACGCGTCGACCGCGGAGTCTGCGCCCGCGGAAATGGGCTGTTTGGGTGCCGTCCTCCTCGGGCCGGGGAGTCCAGAAGCGCTCGGTGGACTCGATCGGGCCGTCGTGATGAATGCGGCAGGGGAGGACGTGGGGGGTGTAGCGCGTGGGAGAGTCCTTGGCTGAGTGGAAGGCGTACATCATGAATAACTCCCGTGGTGGTCGGTGAGTGAGCAGGAGAAGAATGATAGTTGGGTTAACCGCGAGGGAGCGAGTCATCAAAGGCGGTCGAGGCGCGTCCGGAACACGCGTCGGACGGATTCAGAATATCAGCTCCGAGTAGCCCGAGGTCCTGAGATAATACTTTTTTTTTTTTTTTTTTTTTTTGTTTACAATTTTCACACTGGGAAACGGAGCCGATCATACCACCCCCTGTTCGAGGAGATGTTTGGGGGTCATGTCAAGCTCATCATTCTGCTAACTACTACATATTCCTCGAGGGTGAGGAGGAAAGGAAAAAGAAACAAACCCAAGAGCTGATATGAAGCATAGTATGGCATTCGAATTTTGTCGCCGTTGTGGCTTAGAGTGTATTATATGCAATAGTTTCATCAAATAATGGAGACATCGCGGGATCGTACAAAGCCAAGGGGGTATCTGGATGAATATACAACAGAGCATTATGAGCTGCCATTATTGCAGTGGCATTATAGGCAGGCCAAAAATGGTATATGTGAAGTCGAGAAGGGCTTTTTACAGCGCGGTATTGCCGGGCTTCGGGGTCTTTTCATCACCGGGCGTAACGGTCTCAGTCACAGACGAGACAAATCGTCCACTCCACTCATGCGGCTTTGCACACCAGCGAAGATACCACGGCCCATCGAAGAGGTCCCCCATGCGTTCGATGGGGACACCCTTGGTCTCGGGCATCCAGATGCCGAGAATGATCAGGCCCAGGGCGCAAATAATGGCCCAGAAGAGATAAGCGCCCCAGACATCGAGGGAAACAAACATGTTCCCGGTGACACGAACAACGGCAAACTGGAAGAACCAATGCAGGGCCATGCTGACGGCGTAGCTCACGTTGCGGATGCGGGTTGGGAAGATCTCCGTGCCGTACAGGTAGGGAATAGTGCAGAGGCCAATCGACCATCCGACGGCATAGACAAAGACGGAGGCGATGGCGGCATCGGAGGCGGAGGTGTTCCTGGCTGAGCCAGGTCGCAAGCCCATGTATGCGCCCATGTAAATGTGGGCTGCGAGCTGCAGGGCCAGCCCTGCGAGCGCGCACCGTCGGCGGCCCAGGAAGTCGATCAGACCCCAGGTGAACGCCATGGTGAAGACGAGTTTGACGATTCCGTACGCGCCGGACGAGATCAGGGACTCGGCATTGCCCGTGATGCCGGCGTATCTATCCATACCAAGAATGTTAGCTTCGTGAACGATCCTGGCCATGCGAATCTCTGACTTGAAGATGTTGGTCACATAGTAGGTGATCCCGTTTCCGCCAGTCCATTGCGCAATCGTCTGCATTGTCATGAGCAGCCAGAACCGCTGGCGGTAGTTGGGATTCGTTTGCGTTTCCTTGAACGCGGACCAGTGCGTGACAGAAGCGAGGTCGGTCACTCGTTCTTGCATCTGCGCGTCAATCATCTCAAACTCCTTCTCCAAGGCCGGGTCGTCAACGGCCAAGCCGCGCAAGCGCGCCAGAACCTCCCGCCCTTCCTTGTGACGCTGTTTCGAGACAAGGTACCGGGGGGTCTCGGGGCAGAGGAAGGACAAGCCGAACGCGATCCCGACCGGGATGAGAGGGATCGCCTGGACTAAACGGTATTGGGCGCGAGTGGCGGCCATGTGGACACTGGCGCCGTAATTGATGAAGAACCCTGCAAGAGAAGGAGAAGGCATTGGTCAGAAAGAGAGTCGATCATCGAGCGGAACGGGTAGCAGCACGAACCCATGGCCAGCACGGCCAGTAGAATCACCATGTACACGCTAACGACCAGGCCCCTGGTCCTTGCAGGTGCGATCTCGGATAGGTACATAGGTGCTGTGACCGTCAGCATGCCGGTACCCAAGCCACTCCAGATCCGGGCAAAGAGCAGCAAGCCATAGATGCCCGACGAAAACACCTGGATGAACATCCCCGACGCCCACAGCACGCATGCCAGTTGCCACGCCACGAGCCGCCCCAGACGATCGTTCAGATCCAGCGCGAACAGTGCCCCGAAGGCCGCGCCCAGCACATTGAAGGAGATGATGTTAGCCGAGCGGTTGGCCAGTCCGGTCGGATCGTTCGTCCAGTGGGATTTGATCAGATTGAAGTCGGCCTTGAAGGAAGGAAGATTGACGCTGGCGCTGTAGCCACCCTCATCATAACCTGGGCCCCAGGGAACTTGTTAGATAATTAGAAAAAGGGATGTATGAATCCCGTTATGTACCTTTGGGAATGCTGCCACATGCGACGACGAACACTACTAGGGCATAGTAGGGGTTCGTTGCCCAGCGTGAGCCGGACCATTTCATGGTGGCACGAGGAAGCAGGCAAAATGTGGAGAGGAACCCCAACAGGGCCCAGAACGAACTAATCCGGGGAAGCTGGACGGACAAGTCGGGTGGTGGAGATGATAGGCATGCAATAATCACGTCATGGCGGGTGGTGGGTTGTCGTGAAGCAAGAGAGAGAGAGAGAGGGCGGGAGGGAACCTTCGGCATCCCGTCGGAAAAAGAGTAAATTCGGGCAACTTCCGAACCAAACCGAACCGGCTGAACAACACCTGGCACACTACCACAAGTCAAATAATGGATGTCAGTATGTACTGCTCTTCCAGCTGGAGCCACAGGAATATGTAGTAGCACACGCTGGAAATTATTACTGTTGTTGTTCATCGTGCTACATGGTGCCACTTTCGACACCCACTTGGCCGAGCTGATGCCTTCGCCAAGGGGGGGCTGCCGGACGACTTCCGTTCTGCAACCCGCCCTGGCCTGAAGCGCCGAGGGTGGGTCTATGGAGAGGGGCGATCTGAGCGGACCTGAGCCAGCATCAAACATGCTAGGCGGCAGATTTTTCTTAAAATGGGGGTTGTCCTGTCCTGGTTTGTCCCCCAATCAAGGCAGTCGTGACGGACAGCAGCCGATGAACGTGGCATGCTATCGGTCAGGAAGGTTTTGAGGGTCTCCAACCATCACAATGTTTGGTCTCCGGTCAGTAGATACTCAGGCGCTCCCCTTGTAGACGATACAAGCCAACCTTCCCCCATGTCTGTGCGCCATATCCTTGGGGTTCGCCATGCTCACATCGGTCCAGACGAAACCTACCTTGTTGACCGGCCATCCTTGCATATCGCTCGTCGCACCTTCGCTCAACCAACATGAGCAACGGCGGCCCACTCATCCTTCGACTGCACCTCTAAGACAACGGATCCCACCGCACTCATGGGATAGCCATATGCATGTCGTGGAGCCACAGCGGTTTCCAGTCTCGCCAGCCGCTGTGTATCAGCCCTCAGCGTACACGCTGACGGACGCCCTGGCATTTGAATCCGCTCTGGGGATCCAGAATATGGTCTTGGTGCAGCCGTCAATTTACGGAACCGACAATTCCTGTCTTATGGATGCACTCATGAAAATCGGCCCTGAGGGCGGCCGCGGCATCGTGGTGGTTGATCCAACTATTGTTCCGGCAGAGACACTGGACGAGTGGCATACTCTGGGCGTGCGCGGACTCCGGGTCAATCTCCAGTCCATTGGGAGAGTGATGGACAAGGTGGAGTTGGAGAGGACGTTAACCCAGCATGCTGATATTGCTCGGCCACGGAACTGGATTGTCGAGGTGTACCTTCCACTGAACATGATTCCGTTTCTCGAACAGATTGTGCCTTGCCTCGGTATCCGCATCTGCATCGATCACTTTGGCAGCCCCGAGCTGTCTTCTGTATTGCGGTACCAAGATAGCACACCCTTTGACCCATACACCCTACCTGGTTTCGCATCTTTGATTTCTCTGCTGCGTGCAGGCCACACATATATCAAAGTGTCCGCGCCGTATCGTCTCAGCAAAGACCGACGCCTACACGATCTCCTGGTAATGGCACGAGAGTTCTTGCATGTGGCCCCTGGCCGTGTCATCTATGCAACAGACTGGCCGCATACACGCTTTACTGGGGTTGACATCGGCCCCTTTACGGAATGCTGCCTGCAGTTATGCGCCGGCAAGCCAGGGTTGGCAGAGATGCTTTTTCGCAGGAATACAGAAGAGATGCTTGGTATGGTCACTGTGTGACTGCGGTTTGGTGGTCGATGATTTTGCACTATACGTTTGTCTCGGCGTTTGAGCGTTGTTATGGAGCGCGATTTTGCATCGGAAGCGCATCTGTGCCCGATACGATCTATCATCATTGGCCTTGGTGGATATGTCTAGCATGGATGCTGCTGTCATTAATATTAGGAATACAAACAAGTTTCCTTGATCTGTCGATTTAGAAGGTGACCGCCTCCAATCCTCTCCGACACTCTCCGGCCGATCTCTACTCTTCTCGCCCTAGATGGCACTGGTATAGGATACGGTTATATCCCGCGATGTCTGCCGATGGCACGTTATGAACGAATAAGTACGCTGGCCCTCAAGCCATTTTTCAGTTCCTTAGAATTTCGACAAGTCAAGTCACCAACCACGGCATCCGAGGACTACCCATTTGCTTCCATCCCCCAGTAACCCATGTATTCGCCTATTCAAACATCCGCCGCATCCTGGAACACAACGTGCGAAGTGCAAATGTACTCCGGGCCCTATCCCGATCCCATGGTTAGCATGTATTAACGGTATATACACTGATGGAATGGCCAACTCACAATTGTATAGCAGCATGCAGGCCGAGACTGATCCTCACACAGCTGAGGCTGCTTCAATTCATCACCTATGCCGATATTCCACTATTAGCATCCGCGACACGACACTAGGTAGACCGCCGAGTTGGAACATACAGTCGGTAGCCTGGTTGGCCTTGGGATTGTGCTCCGCTGGCTTGAAGCCTCGGCAGCAGTAGGGCTGCTGGAGCATCCCCGTGTGGTCTGCAGCGAATTCGCAGTGCATGTTGATCTTCTTCGACTCCGCGCCTAGGGCGAGAGTTGAGACGAAGGCGACGAGGATGGTTGATACTCGCATGTTGGTTGGTATTTTAATGATCGGATAAGGTAGTAAGTACGATTTGGTAGGCACGGAGGATCTCGATGTAATTTCTTGAAGAATAATCTTTAGGTCCTGCAGTCTATTTGGACACTCGTGGGACAGGGCCGATTATGTTCGTTCCTGCATACGCCCTCATTCGTCCCCTTGCATGTTTTGCATTCTTGCGCGCGTGTTGTTAGATTCCTGCGGTGGGGGTGAACTAGCTCCTGTCGTCATCCCATTACATGCTTGTTCTCCTGGCTGCCATCAAGGGATACTACATAATAGGCGGAGAGCTCAGCCTCTATACACAATACATAGTATCATAAATAAGTAGTGCAGTGAATTGATAACGATCCAGGAAATTAATGTTCTGAGGCACTAATGGTTCTTACGTTAGGGTTGGAAAATCAATTCAAGAGCGTAGGTTGTCGTACCGTTTCGAGACGTACCGTAGAGTGACCGACTCATGGGTAATTTCTTTCCTGCCACAGTCAGCCCCTTCGCTTTGAGAATACACATGATGGCCTCGCGGTTTCGACCATAGCAGGCCTCAGACTTACAATCAGAGAAAGAAGGAGCAAAGAAATGGATGATGAGAGGGACCGCTAGTGCCACAAGGAAAGAAAGACAGAGGAGGGCGTTCTCCCTAGCTTTTCGGAACCGCTCTTTGTCCACAATCATCAATTTGGGGCCAAATTCTGACGCAAGGTTGCTTATTGGAAATGCCGTGCTCGGCGTGGGTAGGTTGAGAAACCTGGATAAGGGTGCCCTGTTTCCTGCAAGTTAATGTACCGCGCAAAGCACTGCTGGAAAGGGGGAGGTCTGACCAGCCATCGTCGACAGACCAATCGAGGTACTCCCGTCCATTGGCTTTCAAAATCAGTTCTAAGCTTTCATAATGATCCGAAAATGCTTTCTCAGCATTCTTCTCGAAATCGCCTTTGAAAAGAAACGTTTGATGTCCGAGGCTGGTCAGCCAGACCCCCCAAAACAATTCCGCATTAAACCAGCTAGCAATCCAGTACTGCGAGCTTTGCATCATTGGCAACACCGATGCGCGGAAACTTTTTTTCCAAGCCTGTATATCACGGCGCCGGTTTAGAACAATTTTGGCGTCGGGGTATGCTTGCAAAAGCTCGGTCGCAAACCAAACCGTGGGAACATCAGTAGAGGCCTCCATGTCACCTAGAAGGCGATCGAAATAGCGTTCTCGAAGAACCACTGGACTTGGCATGCGGTTTTGCAACTTCAGTAGTAAGAGTTCGCAATAGAGCATGCTATGATTCGGGTGACGAAGCCACCACTCGAAGCCATGTGCCACTCCGTCGAACCCAAGAATTTCAAGAGCGCTTTTAAGCGACTCTGTCCCAGTTCGTGGGAGGCCAAGACAGATCACTCGTAACGGCCTCGATCGCTTCTCTGGTGGTTCAGGCACTCGGTATATATACTTGAGGATAGATAGCATCTTGGAATAGTCCATCGTCTCTTGTTGCATGCGCTTTTAGGTCCTGAGCATAGAGCAAAAGAACGTTGCCCAACAGCGGTTATCTAGTCACCTCTCAAGAGATGAACAAATTCTAAAACTGACCGTTAAGGCGTTCGATCGCATTTTGAGCTGATATGGGGTGGACGGTGCGTGCGATCAGGCGTCCCATGTGGCGTCCAATGCTGCTCATTTTGTGCGGGTGAATTGGTAGACGTCATCAAAGACCCACCGATCCGTACCTTCACCTCCTTTTTTTCTTGTGCCCTATTGTCTCCTACATTCTGTACGTGAGGGTCCGGTTTCAACGAAGAAGAAGGGAAAACAAGTAGGAAAACAGACAAAGTATAGGAAGAGGCAAACAGTGCAAACGGCATCATGTGATCCTGGCCTTTTCAGAGGCCAGGTGGGCTGACAAAGTGTTGTCCACCGCTTCCCCGATTTATCGGGATGCGTTCTGATCAGCATCCTTTTGTTGAGGCCCCAACGCTGACATAAGTGAACCCCATCAACACGGTGACAAGGCCCCCTCGTCCCCCTCACTCTCACTCCCTCTCTCCCTCTCTCTCTTTCAAAACAAGTCATGAAGCGCACCTCTTATAATTCCGCCGAAATGGACCGCAATGCTTACATCCCTCTCTGCTTCTGCCTCATCTCTTTCGCCGTCATCGCATACACGCACTAGTCTCCTAGTTGCCCGTCTAGTACGCTACCGACAGCGCAGCTGGGCCGAGATGCGAGATGGTCCCGTCACAGCTTCTCCGGCGAATTTCCCACGATAACCTTGCAAATACCTGCAAACCGTCCCCTCGAAGCCATGGTCCTTCCTTACCGCGAACTGCTTCCTTTCCAGATAGGATGGCTGCGTATGCGCAACTCTCCGTGAACTTCTAAAGAGACTCATTTCCCTGGTCCTATATCTCTGGGACGCTCTTCCGAAAACCGACCATAAAGCTGAAGGCACCTACGAGAGAAGCGCGACATCAGGCTAGTGAAACTCCACACCCAAGTGTGGTCTGCCGGGGCAGTGTGACGCTGCCCTGGATCATAGATACGCACCACAAATCTGTCGTGTCGATTTAGTGAAGCGAACGATACAGCTGAGGAAGTGACTTGTGTGGTGGATTCCGTAGAGGAGGTGATTTCGGTGGATGAAGACCTAGTGCGTCGTGATGACAGTCCGGAAATGCAAGGCCTCAGTGAGCCGGGAGAACCAGTGGATAAAGTGTGAGAGACCTGTCTGCAGGTTATTGGCTTGTGGAACCCATGGGCCGAGGCGAAGACGGTCATCTTTCCTTTCCCCTTTTTCCTTTGTTTGCTTGATCTGTTATTATTGTCTCCAGTCTGTCACGACTCAGATTTGTGATCTAGACTGGCTGGACCGCCTGTTGATATCTTGAAACATACAACGATATAGGCCAGATGCAGCTAGCAATGTTTCTGCCCAATGGTGTGAATTTAGTGTTCGTGATCGGTGGAAGCGGTTCCGCTGTCGTGTGGCCGCCGCTTTCCTTCGTAGGGCCATTGCGGCCATACCGGACTAGAAAAAGGGAAAAAAAGTAGAGGAAGATGTTCTGAGGAATATGATTATTAATTTTGCTGAACGCGTTTATCCATGTCTCTGTGATTTACTCGACCGACCATACAACTCAAATATGCTCCCAGTGGCCAGCCTATTGTTCGGGCGGAACAACCCTGCAGCCGGGGGATCCAACAATCCACCGGAGTCTTTGCCAAATAACACACCTTCAGCGTCCCTCGTTCTCCGAGGCTTACCTCCACCAGTCTCAGGAGATGAGCAGCGCAGTGTGTGCCACATGGCGAATTCCGTGCTCGGGGCTCCAAGCCTCGAGAACGCTGCCCTTAGTGACGCTGGGCCCTGCCAGTCGCGATCTCCGCATTGCTCCGCCTTTGCGCCTATCCTCAAACATATCTAGACGTCCCTTTGGCTCACTATACCATTTATTCCGCACAGAGTATCGACCGACACGACCCTCAATTTACCCACCATGTCGTATCCGGACAACCGTCCCTAGCAGGACGCAGACGACCTCGACCTCTCTTGACCCCAAACCGAAGAAACTGCGTGACGACAACAGCTGGGAGGATCCGTTCACCAATACCGAGATCAAGAAAATATTCGGACATACAAGGAAGATCTCGCCGAAATTGGGCAACCGGGTTCTGGCGCTCCTGCACTCTCGTCGCTTGTCTGGCACGCTCGACATCAACCTACCTGCCGAAGTTACCCGCACAGTCCCCCAATCCCAGATCGATAAGGCTTTGGAATGGCTTCGTGAAAACTATCCCGTTGACGAGGATGCATGTATCATGCAGCGGATCGAGAGGGAAGAGCGTGAGGATGAAGAAAAATTCAACTACCACCCGCAAAGCGGTTCATATGGAGCCCAGCTTGGTGAGCAGAATGATGCTTACGGGAGGAGTGTCTTTCAGAAAATGCGGGAGAAAAATGAGAAGCAGTACCTTGAAGAAGAAGAGCGCAAGCGCAAGGCATGGCTGGAAGGCGAAGGCCAGGAGTATGAGCAGATGCGACGTCTAGTGAAGGGGAACACGAAATTGCAGAAGTTTGAAGAGGCAGCTGTTGTAGAGGGTAAGAGGCCCTTTCCCTATTGGCTGATCACGACTGACGCTCGCAGCTCGCCCGCGCGCGGATCCCAGTGTGAATCCATATCTGGCCTGGCGCCAACGACTTCACATCGAGTCTGTACCCAACCAGGTCGGGGCTGTCGATTTGACCACGGTAAGGATCACTTGAAATGCTCTACTCTGTATGTGGTTGCTCATTGCTTTGCAACCACAGTCTCAACGCCTTCTCATGCCTCTGCTCTTTTCTTTTCTCACCCTCGGCCTCTGTTACGTCTTCGCTCAAAACTACGAGCCTCCCCAGCGGCAGGACCGTCTCTGGCCGGATGTACCTCCAGCCCTGGCGACTGTTGGGACCATCGTTGCAGCCAATATCGCTGTGACCGTTATGTGGAGACACATCCCCCCTTCATGGAAGTTGCTCAACCGATTCTTTGTCATTGTTCCCTTCTACCCCCATTCCGTCAGCTTGATTGGAAGCATGTTTAGCCATCAGACCTTCAAGCATCTCTTCACGAATATGCTTGTTTTGACATTTATGGGAACCCGAGGTAGGCTACCAAGTCCCCCTTTTTGGAGATATCAACCGACGCTAATTATCTTCTCAAAGTTCACGATGAACTCGGCCGCGGAAACTTCCTGGCCATCTATCTGGCCTCCGGAGTGGTGGGCTCGATGATGTCGCTAACGAATTTTGTCTTGTTGGGCCAGCTGGGCATGTCCTCCCTCGGAGCGAGCGCAGGGACTAGCGGTATTGTTGCTGCATGGTGCATGTTCCATTCCAAGTTCGTTTTTTTTTTGCATACCTTGTCTCCCTTTCTTCGTAACTGACCTCATGAAACAGCGACAAAGTTACCCTGTGGATTTTACCCCGCGAGTGGAGAGATGCCATCTGGACCCACGGCTGGATATTTCTTTCTGGCCTAATTGCAGTTGAGGTTCTCAGCATGGCAGCCCCTGCCCGTCTCTTGTCGTTCTATCCCTTGTCGCGGCTACTGAAGATGGACCACGTCGCTCATTTGGGTGGTTACCTTACCGGTGCGGGGTGTGGGTATGCCTTGTCTAAGACCCATCCTCCGCGGAAATTTGTTTCCAGAGCTTTGCCGGCAACAAGGTCAGCAGAAAATCGAAGTTCGACTTGAACATGGTGGATATGCTCGATGGAGCGAATTTCGAATTTCTTTTGATTCGGGTGAATAGTAGCGTCTTGGGTTTCTGATGAGGCGTGTTTGGCTCAAGGTCACTACAATGAAAATGTACCACAGGGCTATTCTCAGTTCCAACAACATCATTCACTGAACGAGTGAAACCCATCTCCAGTAAGAAGTTCTGAGAGCCGCATTGTGTGAAGAAAGGAACGAAGCTAGGTGGGTAGATGGTCAGTTTGTGGTGGATACAATGACGTTTCGTGTCTTCTTCAAAATTTTCAATCGTGACAAACCTTCTTTTTGTACTCAAGTCTATGGTCTCATGGGCCATTCTGTTCGTTCGTTGCCGAGACCTTCATTGGTTCGTGGATGGCGTGGTCCTTTGCTGATCCTAAAGGACCAAGCCCGCTTTGTTCAAGGGAAAGTAAGCATTACAATGCACCGAGACTCGGTGGATCAAACCCTGCCACAATGATTGTCCAGACCTATAAAAAGATCTCGGTGTTTCCAACGATTTGGGGTTAAAGACAACCCACAATGGAACAAAGCCACAGACGTGCTGGAACGCTCTACAAAGACCCTGTACAAGCGGGAACTCTTCTCTTCACAGAGACACGCTTCCAATTTCACTTAAGATGACTGTCGGTATACTCCATCAATATTGTCCCAGGGATGAATATTTAAGCCGCCCAATTCCCGACTTTGTGGGATATCACTGCATCACGGTCCCTCAGAAGTCAAATCCACAGCAATTCCAGCTTTTTGTCATTTCCACTGCAAATCCACCAGTGAACCAATACAAGACCACCATCTACCAAGGAACGTCAAGTAAACAGCCTCGCTACCCACACAAAGCCAACAGTATAAACCCTCATTCGGTTCAACTCCAGCAGATCGTTTTCTCCAAGACTGCAGGTCCCACTTCGTCATTTCAGCAAACTCCAAGGTAAACACCCAAAATGTTTGGACGATTCTATGCCGGAACTCACTCTCAGCAGCGCCACCACCGCCGCCGCGGCCCCGATGCTCGACAGTTCCAGGACGCCGACATCCACTGGGTGAACGTCTCCTTCAGCGCCGGCGATGTCATGATGCCTGACTGGGACCTTTTCGAAGTCTCCAAACTAGCCATCCGTGGCGGCCGCGCCAGCATCAGCAGCTGGCCGACCATGCATGGATGCAGTCTCGTGTATTCTATCAAGGTCGAGGGTACCTTCACCCACCGGGACGACATCCTTACCGCGGCCGACGCTCTTATTTGTGGATATCAGAGAGAGATTGACCAGGGTCAGGGACCAGGTCTGTTCCCTCGCAAGCGGGTGTTCAGTGGCATTGCGCCTTATTAACCAGTCCCAGCTGCAGGACGGTTTGAGGGAGTGCCGGAATGCGGCCGAGGGCATCGCGCAGTGAGTTTCTGTTGTTCATTCCCTGAATTACGAGTTTTTGGAATTTGTTTCCTTGGTGAGTGATTCATTGTTCCGCCATATAGACTTAGTGAATTTGCAATAGGCTATTTTTGTTTTCATTTTGAGATCGTAGAACGGACTATGCACTGAGTTAGTACCTTATTGTTCATTTCTCAAACCCTCATCATTGGCCAGACCCAACCATGGGTTTCTGTGACTAACTGAGTTTCGCCTCCACCGTGAGATTCTTCGCCTCTTCTTAGTTCCAATTAATGATTACCCCGGATGCCGCCCACCTACTTCTTCCCCCGCCGAACATGGAGGATACAATGGCCCCAATCTTCACAGACACGGGGACAATCACAGAACCCTTCAACGGCGCGACTCTGCCCGTGGACGAAGAAGCGTTCCTCTCCCCAGGGACCTTCTCCAGCGCGGATGAGTACGCCGCCAACCCCCGATTCCTGGAATTACAGGAAGAATTGCGAGGCGTGCTCTTTTCAGCTGTTGCTAGTCTCGAACCCAACAGCTACACGTCGCCTGCCCCCTCTTCGCCGACCGAGGGACTGGGCTCAAGGGCACCGCGACAAAGCCTCGACTTTACGCGCGTGTCCATCCCCAAGATCCGATTAATCTATTATCTCAAAAATTGGATTACCGAATGTGCACCATACCTCGATAAGTTTGACGAGGAACGCCACTTTGGTGTGCACATTCCCATTCTCGCACAGCGATCGCCGGCGCTGTTCTACGCCATCCTTGCTTTCTCCGCTCGCCAAACCGAGCGAAAGGCGTGTCTCGACACGGCGTATGATAGCCTCGAACTGTATCAGGAGTCTATTCGGCTACTCGCGCCATGCCTGCAAGCCAAGGACCCAAATGTACTCGTGACCGTGTGCATTCTGGCAGTCATGGAGCTGATGTCAGTCAGTCCACGGGACTGGCGTCGCCATGTGGAGGGATGCGCGGCACTATTTGACTCATTCAATGTCAATGGGCTCTCGGGTGGCCATCTACAGGCGGTGTTTTGGTGTTACGCACGCATGGAACTGTGTGGAGCGATCATCTCTAACGGCGCGGAGAGTACGGTGCTCCCGCTGGAGAAATGGGTGCCTGCAATGCCTCAAGCATCAGGGTCCAAGGAGAAAGACGGTATCATTCGAGATCTGTTCTGTCATAAAGGCCGCTCGTCACCAGATATGCATGCCAATTGGGCTGTATATCTCTGCGCGAAGACATGCGACCTCGCCTGTCGTAGAACAAGACAGTTGGAACTGGGTGAAGATTTAGACCAGCATGCTGGTCCTTTTATTGACCAATGGAGCCGGCTCTGGGACGATCTTCAGTACTGGCTTGAGCAGCGTCCCCCAGCCATGCTTCCCATCAAAACAACGGGGATAGGCGGTGGCCAGATCTTTCCCGAGGTCCTCTTTGCACACTGGGCGGCCATTTCGGGGAACCAGATGTACCATGCCGCTTGCATTATGATGCTGGAGATGAGACCAGGCGGGGAGGCATTGCCCTCGTCAAGGCCCCACCACTGGGCAATCTGGCATGCCCGCAGAGTATGTGGTATTTCGTTAACGAATCCTCACAGTGGCAATCTCATAAATGCTATCCAGCCACTTTATATTGCAGGGAAGCTCCTCAGCCATCACAGTGAGCATGTCGAGGTCGCGAAGCTCTTTAAAACTGTAGAGAAGACGACTGGATGGGGTGCCTTGTGGCGACTCAAGGATCTCGAGCGAGCTTGGGGATACGAGCCAGGGGAAATTTTATCTGTCATTTGAAACGCAATGATGGATTCGCTGCATATTTCTGGAGTCAAACATAGAGTTTATTACCAACGATTGGTTACCTAGCCGAAGCAATAAAGCCTGGTGTGATAGAGATGACAGTCTCCCAAATCCCTCTTTTACCTCATGCGTGGGACTTACTGGCATCCGAGTACCGAGTTCTTGTTCTTTCCGGAAGAAGCACCTACATAAATCTTACGAAACCAGTTATGCTTTACCAGGTTTATACAGCTTTGATAGGTTGATTAAATTGTTTAGTCGGAAGCATATTCCGGGGAGATTACATCAAGCGCGTAGTTGGTGGGTCATTAGTGGCTACTTTAAACTGCGAGCATTAAGAAAGGACGATTAATAGAAATAATCAAGAAGAACTTGACGGTTTTCTAAGATTAATTTTTGCTAGGAGTGCCTGTCAATTAATATCAAATAAGAGATAATCAAAGTAATATAAGGAAGTGCAAGAAGGCAATTTCAGTCTGGGTGACCGACGCCACCGCAAAATGGCGAGCGTAAAGGTAGACGAACAAAGGATGGCATAACTTTTCCGTCACCCTCGACTCATAAGCTATCTGTCACTCCTTTTGGTGCCTGGAATCAGCATTCAGCGGCAAGAGAAGAAAGAGATTCAGAACACAACTCCCAGCCTAGCCCGCCCCGGAGCGGCCCGAGTTCCCTGAGTTGCCGGACAAATACCGCTGCACAGGATCTTGGTCACCGGAGCCGCACTGGGAGACCTTGCGTCCAGCTTCCTTCCGGTCGGCGGCCAAGGTCTGCGCAAATGGAGACCACTCCCGGATCTTCGGGCCCTTCCAATAGAATATATATATCGGAATGATGAAGACGATGGACATAAATGCCAGGAAGGTGGACGCCCACTCTAAGGGATGTGAGTGCCCCATATTCTTATACACTGTCATAATATGTAAGCTCAATATTGAGAACAATACTGCGTGTATCAACTCACTGGGCGTGGAGTACATTGCTGCAATACCTGCAAGAAAATCGCGCGCCAGAGCATTTCCTCCTGTGGCTGAAGCCGAATAGGGTCCGTACGAGGCAATCATATAGTCAATGGTCGCCATGTAGATTGAGTACTAGAGTATGGTTAGCGTGATATTTGATAATTTAGCTGGATTCACTTACATTAGCAATGGCAATCAGAGTTGAAAATATCATAGGGGCAATCCAATGGACATGAGGAGGCCCAAGGCTGGTCCATGCAAACCCAAACAGACCTATGGTCAAGAGCGGTGCGACTGTAGCTCAAAATCAGTAATGGATCACAAGAAGCCACAAAGGATGAATGGCCGCGAACCATATAATAGCCAGTACAGACGAGCCTCTGGCTGGAGTGCATTAGGATCTCGTTCACTGACTCGGCAATGACGGTGAATCCATGGCAAGAACGAGAAGTATGCAATGAGATAGCCAATAATGATTCTGACACAGTCAGTATCTCAGCTAAAATGGTCCCACGTAGTACTCACGGGATGAATGCAAGCCCAATATCAATTGTTGAGAAACCCCATTGCTTGTATACCAAAGTATATGACTGCAAGAAAGTAAAAATCAAGGCGTCGCTGAAACCGCTCAGAAGTGACAACCATAGGACAATGGGCTCTCGAAGGAACATAACGAATGGACGCGCCCAGACCATTGATAGAAATCGAAAGGTGAGACGATTTCCCTTGATTTCGTCGCCACTCCAGACCATGTCACCTGCTTTCCGTCTTCGTCGCGCCTCTCGGGTGACCAAAATGCTGCATCTGGTCTCGGGTACCCAGAAATGCACAAGCTGCGCAAAGCCTCCGAGAATAAGCTGGATCCAAAAGTTCCAGTGCCAGTCAAGAAAGGTCGCGACAAAACCACCGACGATAGGAGCAATCACTGAGCCGGCCACCGAAGAGAGTACAACATAGGCCACGGCCCATTGCTGATGCTCTGGCTCCCACATGTCCGCCACCATACCAAGAGTTACCGATCCACCCGCAGACGAGAGGCCGCCCAAGGTACGGCATACCACAATGGTGCCAAAGTTGGGCGCCAGGGCGCAGGGTAGCTGCCAGATGTTGACGAAAAACAAGCTCAGCTGCATGATAGGCCACCGGCCGAATTCTTCGCTGAATGGTGCCCAAAGCTCACTGCCAAAGGCATAGGCAACGAGGAAGGTCATCTGCCCTACACGGGCAGCTTGCTCGGAGATATGAAAGTGTTTCGCATATAGGGTAATGCCGCTGGCGTAGAAGCTCGCGTTCCAGTTCATCGAGGTTTGCACCAGGAAAATGACGGAGATAATCCCCCATTTCTTCCACCACGAGAAAGTGTAGCCTAATTTATTATAGCATTCAAACTCTTTCAGCTCTCTTTTTTCTCCTTGGCCGTCAGCCGCTCCGTCGACTCCCTCCTTCTCCTCGTGGGTTGGTCGGGAGGTGCCTCCGGGGGAGCGGACTCTTCCATCGGGACGTTCTTGCTTCTCCAAGTCCACATGTCCATCCGCAGCATTATCATCAACATGGGGGTAAGGATGCTGCTCGTTGCTCATGGCTGGTAGTGTTCTGGTGTCTGTAATGCTTCGTGGTACCGGAGACCCGACGAGGAACGCCCATGATCCGTGTTCCCCTCCACGATATGGAAGGGAACCCCTTTGTTAAATACAAGAGGAAGGAGGGAGCAGCAGACAATTCACACCAGCGTCACTATGAGACGCGTCTGGGCTTGGTGGACTAACTTGCCAATGGGGACTGAATCTAGGGAGCTTGACCAAGCTTCTCGCGTGGTGTGGAGGAGACATCCGGGGACCATGACCCGCCCAATCGTCAGAAAGCTCTCTCCGCGTCCGCGTCCGCAGCTTGGGGGCGAGCTATAGTGATAGGCCGCAACTACAATCCGAGCAGGAAGAGACCTGGCTTGGCCCAGATTTGCTGCTGAGCAGATTTTTGGCAGCCCGGATCTCGTCTCCCGGCACGAGGAGAACCATTTTCGTGAGCCACAACGGTTAAATTATTTGGCAATTCGTCTGACGGAAAACCAGCTATAACAGGGGGAGCCAGAGAGCAGATCTACAACTTGCTCTCTACTTTGCAAGGGAGTGGGGAGAAGGCAGTTGCAATTTCGGCCTTTATAAAGTATGGTTGACTGAATAGCATCATGTCTTCAGTCTCACTCCATGGAGCTACCCTCGCACATCTTTCTTCCTTTTCATCGTGTCTCGTGTCAATGTGAAAATCGTCGTTCAGAGCTGAAATCGACCCTTCTTTTCCCTAGCGGTAAAGTGGACGCACACTTTATGGTCGACATCTCACATTGGATAAGTACAGGCTCGATGAGACCAGCAGATAATTTCCCCACGCTATAATCATAAAAAAAAATTGCCGTCTGGGCTCTACGTACTTCGAATGTTAGGGTTTCCCCAGACCGGTCATAGTTCGCAGATTGGACCTATTTTGGAAAAGCGCATCGCCAAGCCCAAGCTAGGCGTGGTGGCGTATACTTCAGCTGGGCAGTGCTGGACAGTGTCTCATCCAGGATTACGTAAGGACATGGATGCCCAACTCGCTCGTCATTTTCATCTTCCAACAGCATCCGCCATGGCCAGTGACGAGAAATCAAAGATCCCGTTCGAGGACTGGGACCACCATTCCTCCGAGCGAGAGACCTCCCTGTCTCCAGCTACGGATACTTCAACTGAGATCGGGGAACCGCCCCAATACGAGCCCCCGCAGACCAGAGCCGAAGGGAGCTCATCAGGAGCGAGAGCTGCACAAGCATTATCTCCTGACCGTGACAAACCCATTGCAATCCCGGCCATTGATGCGGCCAATGAGTCGCCGTTTCTCCGCGCCTATGCGCCCATCTTGAGCAAGCACAAGCTCCCCAAGGACTCATTTCTTACCTTCCTGGATCAACTCAATGATGCTGTTGCCACCAGCCCACCGATGCAGGTGCTCGATGCAACAGGTGGCGTGCTCCAATCCGTTCCAATCCTATTTCCCATTAGATGGATTGGCTCCGCTGTCAGCGAATTGGCAAATCTTGGCGGGCACGGTATTTCCAAGGGCCGTTCTGATTCAGCGATTCGGCGAGCAAACAAAGACATTTTTGGGCCGCGCGGGCTGAAGGTCGAGATTGCTAAGCTCGATGCCGTTGCCCATATTGCTCAGATTCCTATTCTCGATTCCCAGGGCAAAGTAAACCGGCAAGCACCTCTTTTTCAACAACTAGAGAAGCTATCCAATACTCCCACGGACCGGCGCAAGAGCTTGACCTGCAGCAGCAACGCATCAGACTCTTGGAGCCGTGGATCGCGGAACTCGAGCTGGAGATTTTGCCTTGGACTTCCAAATCTAGATTGACTCGCTTTAATGCGACACTGAAGAAGAGACTCAACCAACAGGATAGGGAACAGAGGGGTAGGCAGAATACTGATGTGCTGGAAGAGCAGACTGAGTTCCGGAAATGTCTTTGGCTTGTCATTCGGGAAGTGGAGGGTGCAGACGGGGCAGCGTAACCTGTATCAACATATAAGCCAAAATTAAAGACAACTATGAGCCACGTATGGGGTACTTCATGCTCGAAAGGCGGAACTTGATATACTAGCATTCGACATATGGCAACAAATTTGGTTTCTCGAGACCCTGCTGCCGAGTTATTCAGAAATGCTCATAAAGTCCACGGAGATGAATCGAATCTCAAAAGATAGCATCGGAAAGAAGTGTACATAAAATTTGTAAGGCAGGAAATAACAATAAATAACATGAAATTCTTGGTCCGCACAGGATATTCGACAAGAAAAGTCCTGCAGACCCTGGGCCCTCTCCGCCAGGGCTTAGCCACTGTCATGTCCAGTGAGCCAGTTCCAGGTCCTACCGTTTTCCGCACAGCTATAGAGAAATGGCTTTTTCATGTCCCCTTTGAAATTGGCCTTCTTGTAGAAGTCGGCTGTCATGTTCTTGTTCCCACCACAGATGGGGCCACACCAGACAGGACGATTGTCATATCCGTAAGGTTGGAGTATATACTCCTTCTGAGCATAGGGGTAGTTATTAACGGTCGCGCTGATGTCGCAGACGGGTATAGTCCAGAGGCCTTCCATGCTTGCGCCGTCTTTGAAGGCATTCGAGCCAGAGGCGAATATCTTGCCCATTCGAGAAGTGAAAGTATGAGGGTTGTAATTGTTTCCAGCAGCTTCATACGATTTGACGGAGGACTTGATAGCGTCCTGGATACAAGATGAATCAGTTGGTATTCCTGTGGGGAAAATGAAGAATATGGACTCACTAGGGGATCGAGATCTTTCCAGAAAGGACCTGAGTTACCCTCTTGCTCCCAGAGCGGTGACTTGCCCATCCTGTCGGAGCCCCAAGGCCGAGCAACCCAGCCCCATGCCTTGTCAGAGAAGGGTCCTGGCTTGTCTTGCCAATAATATAAGTACCAGGCACGATTTTGGTCGTCACAGATGTAGTTCTCTCCCTGGTTGCTCTTCGGGCCGTTGCCAATGCCCTGATTCTCGTCACAAGAAGCGCCACCGAGGATGAAGACCCGCTGCATACGCCAAAGGGAGTTGATCATCATGGACTGAAGCATAGAGATCATGCTATTTTTGGCTGCATCTTTTGACAGACCCGGGTAGTTCACCCACGCACCTTTCTGGAGATACTTTCGAATGTCACCAGTGCCTTGGTAGTTATCACCACGCATGAGGGCATTATTGATATCTATAAATGCACTCTTGGCGTTTGACACAGCTTGAGCCATGGTATGACCGAGTTCCGCGTTGGTTATATCGGTAGAGTCCCTTTTCAGGTCGTTAGTCTGGCATAATTAGATCTGGCCTAGAGATGGACTGACTGTGGGGAAATAGCAATATTAGCAGCACCTCCAGCACCAGCTACCATTGTGGCAGCTACTCCAAGGACTTCGGATCCCAACCCAGCAGCAGCAACCCCAAAGAGGGTTCCAATCATGTTGAACATTTCCTTCAAGATAAGGGCGTTCCAATAGCCTTCATCCCACCAGAAATTCTGGACAATCTCATCGTTGTCTAGGGCGGCAACAATAGCGGCAATATCGAAAGTCTCGTCCAGACCTTCGAAGAACCCATTCAGTTGGTTGATAGACTCCAAAACGTAGAATGCCTGCTGGGTACTGTTTCCAAGGCTATTTATTTTCGGATTCCCACAAACATTCACATCGCAGTTGCCATTATTTCCGTCATCCTTGCAGGACCAGTCCGGCTGGCCTATGGCATACTCACCGAAGGCACCAGCAAAGCCATTGTGGTTGCTGGTCCGCTTCTGGGCCATAATAGTCCACCAATGGTTTAGCCAGGCATCGGTATTGGCTGCATCCCACTTTTCCGGCGTAGGGTTATAGTACTGAGCCACAGGGCCGCATTCGCCCTTTTTGTGGGCACCGGATCGAACAAGCGAATCATGCAACGGCGATGCAATGGCAGGTAGGGCGATCGTAGCCAAACTCAGGGATATGAGAACAGAAAGGGGAGGCATCATGACTGAGAAATCCAAGGTTGCAATTCAATGATGTCGGTTGAAGCGTTGATTCTCGGCGTCCATGGGACAATATTTATAGATAAATGCTTTGACTGGCAGTGCATGCTAATCACCAAGCCCATTAATGGTACACTGGATAATCTCCGTCCAATTCCCCGCGATTGATCCAGCTGAAGTTTTTAGTTAGGCTAAGATTGACAGCCGATCTTGCATGGGGCATGCCGTGCAAGGAACACCTGTGCACTGCTGGTCAGGGAGGATGGTGATCCTCAGGTCTTGGATATGATTCATTGCGATTGCCACCCGTGAATCTTGAGGCTGTGCAGTCTATCATTAATAATAATACCTGTTAGATTTCTGGGGAAGCGACGCAAGCGAGCTCGTATTCCGCCTATTTTCTGGTAGATCAAGGGGTTGGGGGCAATATTCAACAGGCAAACGTAGTGATTTTCCAACCCATTGACTCAATGGGAATAGCGGGCTCTGTTTAGAAGACGGCCATATCCAGTGAACCGAATCGGGTCAGTGGAGGAGGAAAGGGACCACGGTGACGAGTGACGACAAGTGAAGAAGCATAATGCTTGCGCTGGTTGGTCAACGGGAGATTTTCCGGCTTTGGCCCCCAGTGGCGCTTGTTTATCCTCGACAAGCCCGGCCGGTCACGCCCTGTAGATCCAATTCTTGGTAGTATTGAGGGACCGGTGCCTTCTCCGAGTTCACCGGACATTGCTCTTGCTGTGTGAAAGTGGTTACATACAGTTCCTGATGAACGAGCCCAAGTAGGCAACCGAGACAAACAACATGCAGCTACGCGACGGTCGGCACAAGGTGCAGGGAAACCAGGGAGATCCGGCAGACCAGAAGGGACAGACAGCAGATAACAATAATCATGGAAACAAAGTACTGACGAAGTGATCTCCCAAACAGGAAGGCCTCGTTATCGACCCTTTATCTGTCGGGGCGGTGAACACTACACTGACGCCTCAGGCACCTCTCCGCGTCAACGCGTCTTCCTTCCGACTCAATTCCCTCCTTCCTCTGCTGTATATCCGTCGAGCGCTCTTGATCACTTCCTTCCTGGTAGGGGTCGCGTTGGCGGCTTCCTACCGCTGCTGATTGTCATGCCTGCGACCCGGTTCCGTCATTGCAAAGACGCCGACGCGACGGTCGCCCAACTATGGAAGCAGTTCCAGAGCTCCAAATCCCGCACCACCACACCCATCCCAACCAGACAACGCCGGGTGGGTGTCAATGATACGGCAGCCCACAGAAGGACAGAATTTGCGATTCATGTCCCATCGATCGACAATCCAGAGGACTATGAGTTCCTGCCCGGCCATTTTACTATTGACCGTATCCTGGACGTGCACTCAGATGAGCCGCAGGGACCTACCTATACAGTCAAACTCCAGAGTGGCGAGCTGGAGAAATTTTCATACTCACGGCTGTCGAACCTGGAATACGGACTGGAGTCGCTGGCCGAGTTCAAGGAGACACCCGAATTCATCGACGCCCGAGAGTCGAGCGAGGATGAAATCCAAGTCGTTAGAGGACGGCATCCGATGCCATCCACCTTTCTATCTATCGATGGCCCATCATCTGAGGAGATATCCGAAGTGGAGTCGTCCAGATCATCCAGCGCTCGGGGTTTACGCCTCCGCGCAGCTTCAAAAAGAAGCGGATACGCTCGGTTCTTTCATCCTGTGGATAGCGATCTCGAAGATTCAGCTAGCGATGCTAGGCCCACGCGTGTTCGGCGCCGCTTGAGGAGGGGGTCGCCAGAAACAATCGCACCTCTGATGAGTCGGACATGACTTTGTCCAGGGTCACTCGCACCTCAACTCGGCAAAGGAAACCCCTGCGAGCCAATCTGCGAGAAAGATTGGAGGATGATATCTCCGAGGCTAAAGCTGTTGCCAAAAGACAACCGAAATTCACTGGGGCAAAAGAAGTGTTCTACCAGCGTCCGCTTCATGACGAATTCAGGCAACAGCACTGCCCTTATTGCTCCGTGTGCAATATTCGCGATGATCATCCTGAGAGAGGGCCTTTGGTATTTTGCCAAGGATGTACTTCTTCGTACCATCAATTCTGTCTGGGTAGTCGAGCCAATCGAGATCATTTGGTCACGAAGATCAATCAGAATGATTTCATTCTTCAATGCCATCGCTGCTTGGGAGACTCCCACACAAGGCACGATTTGTCTCCCCATCTGGGCTGCTGTGCAGAATGCAAAGAGGAAGGCCCTATGTCCAAGCCTCTCCGACAGCGTCTAACAGCACGCGAGGAGCAGCAGTTACGAGTTGAAAATGGGGGCACAGACCCAGTTACTGTGCTTGATACGTCTCAAGTCAACAACGTAAACAATGTGCTTTTCCGCTGTGTCGGTTGTCAACGGGCTTTTCATATACGACATCTGCCAGTGGAAGAAGGTATTGTCGTAAGATCTGATATAAATGCAGTTTTTGCCCAGTACAGCCTGAACTGGCAGTGCAGGGATTGTTCTGATGCCCCCGGAGATGTCGAGGGCATCGTCGCATGGCGCCCCGCCAACCTCGAAGCCAAGGCTTCCGCACAACTAGTGGAGGCTGTCCCCGAGACCGATAAGGAGTATCTCGTCAAATGGAAGAAACTGTCCTATTTCCGCGCTACGTGGAAACGTGGTGACTGGCTCTGGGGTGTGAGCAGAACGAGCATGCGTCGATCATTCTTCAACTCACCCAAGGCCCGCAAGCCCATTTGGACTTCCGAGGAGGCCATTCCTGAGGACTTTCTACGAGTTGATATTGTTTTTGATGTCGTTTACTCGGACGCTGCGACTATGCCGGATGACAAGGCAAATCCTGAGATGGTTGAACGCGCCTATATCAAGTACAAAGGGTTGACATATGAAGATTCAGTGTGGGAACTCCCTCCGCTCCCCTTTGAGGCTGCTCGATGGAGCGATTTCAAGCTCGCTTTTGAGGATTGGATATATCGGGATGCCATCCGTCCTCCCTCTCACGCTGCTCTCGAAACCCATCTCTCACGGGTTCGAGCCCGGAATTTTGAGACAAAGCTGGTGTTGCGCTCGCAGCCGGAGCTGATGACTGGGGGCGAACTTATGGAATACCAGCTAGATGGTGTCAATTGGCTGTATTATATGTTTATAAAGCAGACAAACTGCATCCTTGCTGACGACATGGGCCTTGGCAAGACCATCCAGGTCATCGGGTTATTCGCGACTTTGATTCAAAAGCATGGTTGCTGGCCGTTTTTGGTTGTTGCTCCCAATTCGACGTGTCAGAATTGGCGACGCGAGATCAAGATGTGGGCGCCCAAACTTCGGGTGGTCACGTATTATGGCTCTTCTTTTACTCGCCAAATGGCTCGGAATTACGAGATGTTCACTGAAGACAGCAAAGACCTTCGGTGCCACGTGGTGATCGCGTCCTATGAGAGTATGGTCGACGGAGGAACTAAGCAGGTCCTAGCTAAGATCAAATGGGCAGGCTTGGTGGTTGACGAAGGACAACGTCTCAAGAACGATAAGAGCCAGCTCTATGAATGCCTTCAACGCATGAAATTCAGTTTCCGCGCCCTACTCACAGGGACCCCTCTTCAGAACAACATTCGGGAGTTGTTCAACTTGATCCAATTCCTTGACCCACAACGACATGCGGAACAATTGGAAGAGGAATATGGGGACCTCACTTCGGACAATATCCGGGCCTTGCATGAGATGATCCGACCGTTCTTCTTGCGGCGCACCAAGGCTGAAGTTCTACCGTTCCTACCGCCGATGGTGCAGATCATCGTTCCCGTTTCGATGTCTGTTGTGCAGAAGAAACTCTACAAGTCAATCCTCGGCAAAAACCCAGACCTAATTAAGGCGATCTTCCAGAAGCAAACGAGCCATCTCAAAAAATCCGAGCGTTACAATTTGAATAACATCTTGATGCAGCTAAGGAAGTGTCTTTGTCACCCCTTTGTTTACAACCGGAATATCGAAGAAAAGAGCCCTGATCCTGTTGTTTCTCACCAGCACTTGGTCGAGGCATCTGGAAAGCTGCGTTTGCTGGGCTTGATGCTCCCCAATTTGCGCGAGCGCGGGCACCGAGTCTTGATTTTCAGTCAGTTCTTACCAAATTTGGACATCGTCGAGGATTTCCTTGATGGTCTTGGGCTCAAGTATCGTCGTCTGGACGGAAGCTTGTCATCTTTGCAGAAACAGATCCAGATTGATGATTTTAATGCGCCCGATTCCCCATACTTTGCATTCCTCCTGTCGACCCGGTCTGGTGGTGTCGGCATCAATCTTGCTAGTGCAGACACCGTCATCATCATGGATCCAGACTTCAACCCGAAGCAAGACCTGCAGGCACTATCGCGCGCTCACCGAATTGGCCAGAAGAATACTGTTCTTGTGTTCCAGCTCATAACACGAGCTACCGTGGAAGAAAGGATTATGCAAAAGGGCAAGAAGAAATTGGCATTGGACCATGTGCTCATCCAGCGCATGGAGGATGATGAAGTCGAGGAGGATCTGGAATCTATTCTTCGGCATGGTGCTGATGCACTATTTAACGACGATAACTCTGCAGACGTTACCTACACCTCCGAGTCTATTGACAGGCTTCTGGATCGAAGCCAAGCGGAACATGCCGAGAAAATCGCTCACGACACGGCCAGTACCTCGACCGAGCAGCCACAGTTCAGCTTTGCTCGTGTCTGGCAGAATGACCGTGGCACCCTCGAAGAAGTGACCGAAGGGGAAGACACACCTGTGGATACCACTCTTTGGGATCAGATCCTCCAAGAGCGTGAACGCGCAGCAGCCGAGGAGGCTTATCGGAAATCCGAGGGGCTTGGCCGTGGCAAGCGAAAGAGAACGACAGTCAACTACCGAACGAAAGGGGAGGAGAATGATGGCGAGCCCACGCCCGTGAAAAAGAAGACGGGCGACCTTGATCGAGAATTTGAACCGGCAGACCATGAAGGTGACGAAACAGACTCTCTCGGGGATGCCGAAGAAGATGCCATGGATATGGCGGGCGAGCAGCCTCCGCCACAGGTTAGACACCGTCCTTTTATTCGAGTCCGGTCGCCTCCTCCAGTACGACCAATGAGTACAGATGACACCGGAGATCTCCGCTTGGCCTGCGCCGCATGCAAGAAGCACCATGGTCGTGGCAGTTGTCCACTGAAACTCGCCGGGGTCGAGTATTGCCCACTCTGTGGTTTGGCGCATTTCGGCCGAAATCGTTCTTGCCCGCATCTGCAGTCCGAATCCCAGGTACGTCGGATGCTAGTCGCCCTGTCAAAGAGCACAGAGCATCCTGAACATGTCACCTTGGCCAGACAGTATTTACGCGGCATTCTCGGCCATTTGAATGCACGTGCACGGCAGGTGGCTATGCAACAGAGTCAACATCCAAGTCTTCAGGGTCCCATTCCAGCTCAGGAACCTGGGGCGCCGATTGCGTCTGTGAGGCACTGCCATAAAGCACCAACCTCGGAACCTTACAGCTCGGTTGGTCCCACCCTTGCGCAAGTGGACCCTAATCATCTCTCCTGAGCTTCTGAGTAAACTAGTTTAAAATAGAGCTTATCTTTATTTGACTCTTGGTACTTTCATCAATTATATTTATTTCTGAGCTGGTCTTCAGTTTGTGAGGATGTGCATGTAATATTAAATGTTACACGGCACTTGAGGACATGCCTCGACGGGAGCCAGGGCCATTCGCCACAGGAATAATTAGGCGATTGACACACCTTTATAATGGGTGGAAATATTGTAGGCCAGTCAGTAGGGTATCAACCGCGAATATTAGAGACGTTAGAAACATTATGATTGATCACCGGTGGAGAATAAGTACCTCCCCAGGATACCGCTTCAATCTAGCGGTAAGCTCACGCTCGCTGATCTCCAGCTCAGTGCAGATTTGGTCAAAACAATGCGTCCCATCAAGATATTTTGACAGTGTCCGATCATCGATGGGATCATCGTTATCATCATCAAACAGGCCAGACGAACCCACCACGACGCTGCGGCTCCCGTGCTGGAGTGAACCGGCACGTTCGCGGCTCAGGTCACCCCGGGACAGCACAGCAGAGTCATCACCCACGCTGGACGCGGCATAGGGAGTGTTATTTCCCGTCGTGGCGCGTGAGGATGGGCCAGTAGACGTGAAGGTGGGTATGGTGGAGGAGCGCGGCGCTGGTGCCGGCTGGCCCGTTGCGCAGGCGTATTTGTGAACACGGTATAGGAACCCCTTGATCACGCCGAAGGTGATGAAGCGGCGGATATCAATATTGGCCAGCTCGCGGCTATGCTGGGAGTACCATTGTTTGACGCTCTGACCTTGTTTCAGGCTGGCGTATAGCTCGACGATCTTAACGCCATCGACTATCCCGGGGCCTTGTTCTAAGGCGGGTGGATCGCCTTCTGAGCTGCTCGGTGCTTCAATATGCTCAGGACTGTATCTGTCTTCGGGCTCCCCGAGCAGAGGCCAAATTTCTTCGGCATCGAAGCGCGAGTCGCCGTGGGACATGCTTGGCGCGTTGTCGGTGAGAGGGCTTGCCAGAGGGCCCGCGCTTCCGGGACCTCTGCCAGGGCTTGCTGTAGTGGGGGCCTGTGGTGGCATTGAAGGCCCTATTCGCGGGTGTGGTGCGAAACGGGTGTTTACATATCGTGCACATTCGAGTTGCATTGCCTCGTCTGCGGCGATGGTGGAGCTAAACTGTGCTGTCGGAGCATAAATGGCGGAGAAAGAAAAGATGTCCAAGAGGAATAGACAGCCATAGTATAGGAGATGTCGAATGGCGCGGCAGGTTAAGGAGAAGTCAGTATCCGCGAGGACAGATATGATGCGGATGCTGTTGACGCCATTGATGTGTGGGACAATCTGCAAGAAAGGTCAGCCGGGAATCTCACAGATCTGGGAGTTGGTATCATAGAATCATACTCGTTGCATCGTCAAATCCCAATTTTCATCCATGAATGCTTGATATCGGACTGTAAAAAGAGGGACCTGCCAGGCCTTGACAGAGGGAGGTGACGGGTAAACAGGGAAGAGCTTGATGTTTAGCGTATTGAGATCATCTGGGAAGGCCCGTCAGCAAGAATCCATATCAGGTCAAAACGAGAACAATATACCGATCGGGATCATGCACTCGCAGTAATTGTTCAGATCCTCCATCAACATCTCGCACAGGCTGTACACCTTGCCCTCGCCGCTTTTAGAAAAATCGCGGGACAAGAATCCGCTCTGCTCCTCAAGGCCGTGCATCAAATCGGCTAGCTTCTGAACCACGCTCTTGTACGTGCTGAAGTCCTCCTCCTCGGCCAGCACCAGACAGAAGTTGAAGATGAATTCATTGCGGTCGTATCGCGGCGATTTCATGCAGATCGGATAGCCCAGGATGCGATAACCGTTGGTGCACACCTGTAGAAGGTTGCCACAGAGCTCTTGGCGAGGGATCACGAAGAAGGACACGTCGGCAAAGGTGAGGAAGAGCGGCTGCGAGGGCGCGGTGGTTGAGGGGACGATAGCTCCGTCGGGGACTTGGTGAACGACTTTGGGACCTGGTCGCTGCAATGTCAGCAATGTGATTTGATCAATTGAGAGGTTGACGGACCCTCCTGCGTATCGAACTTGCTGTAGAAGATTGCCTTGATCATCGTGGAAGGGACGATGTTGTTGGGGCCGACAGGGCCAAAGCCAGAGGCATGGGGAAGCTGAGGCAGCGATAAAAGCTGAGAGAAGACTAGAAACTCAGTATTTGAAAATGGGCAGGAGGAGTCAAGCAGGCCTAAGGGCCATGGCGGCAGGGAAGTTGGGCGGGAGGAAACGCGACACGGGCCGAGAGGTGCTTATCGATGTCCCTCTCACGTGCTGCTTCATTCTTAGACTCCGCTGTATGGGCCTTGCGTCCACGTCTTTCTACATTTGTGGGCTTCACAGTCCCCGAGTGATTTCTCATAGTTGGTAGAGACCCAATACTGCGGTTGGAGATCTATAAGGGGACTTTCATGTAGAGTGGCCAAGACAACAACAGGTAAATAGTTAACAAAAGCCTCCACACTCTGCTGTCATCATGTCTTCTTTGGCAGTCAGTTCGCAAGCTGCCTTGATTGTATGCTCGACACTTTTATCTCCGCTTTGCTCGGCCCTTCGCCTCCAGCGCGCAACTTGTCCCAAAAAAGTCCCTTTGAGCACCGAGAACGTCCAATTACACTTCTCTATGAAAAATTTACTCAGACCGCAATGGCTGTCCACCTGCTTGCCACCACCCGCCTGACTGAGGCTGTTCGCCAGCTGATCCTGAGCCAGCACTTCCCACGCCACAATCAGCACCTCACTGAGCAGGAGTATGGCGGCCTACTCGCCGTCCCGCCCATCTGGCCAGCGTCACCCGTTTTCTCCCCATACGCAGTGACGCATGGGGGTTATTCGCAGGTCCGCATCGACGGTATCAAGTACGTGGATCACTTTCGCGGCTCATCATGGCGAGTTGCACGCCGACCAAGACGTCAGCCACACCGTGTACCTCGGGGCCAGGACGGCCTGGAACATCAATCCCCGACATCTGGTGCAAGAGACGAACGAAGTGAACCAGGGTCGTAAGCTCTGCTTCCAGTATATGGAAACATTGCTGTGGCGGTGGTCGATCGGGGGGTTTGGGGCTCCGGGTTGGGGCGACGACGACTTGCGCCGATTCCTTCTGGAGTCGAACGGCGCCTGTAAATTGCTGCACGAGGTACGCTGTGACTGTATTGTGGCTTTCTGGGAGTAGGTATGTATTTACCGGGTTTGTATTGCATATATCAACTTTGCAGATTCCTCATCTCCGCGCGTCTTCGAACTCCACTCCGTCTGATGGATACGTACCGAATATTTGCCGGACCCTTTTGTCAAGCTCTTCTCAGAGGCTATGTTTACCTCCCAGTCATCTCCTGACGTAGCTGAAGCTGGAGATGGAGATGTCAAAGCTAAAGAAGAACGATATGCTAAACGTATATACATGTTTTTGGTTTCTATTTTTTGGTTCAGATGCTGATTCCCTCGCAGAACAAGTGGCCATGCTGGAGAACAGACACAGGAGACGAGCGCATCCAATGACCTCGGGACTATTCGTCTAATTGGTAGAACCAGCGCCATTATCTTCTATTCAATAAAGACAAGATACAAGGCACTGGCAGCCAATCTGACTGCTCATGCAGGGAGAAACAAAAATACACTGTACTATATATTCTTGACAGTCACAGGGCTGCCAACTTGCGCTTCTTCGGGTTCTCTTCCCGGCCTGGTCCAGGTGAACCAGAGCACTCATCCAGAACACCATCTGGATTTAACAAAAAGATCGCACTGACGGATGGAAAAGACCAACCCTGGCCCCTCTCCCCTTTCTTGAAATGCTCCGAATCAATATGATCAAGTCTCTCATCCCAAGCTGCCTGGCTGTCATTTCGAAGCGAGATGGCGTGGTTACAGAATCCGCACCAGAACTCTGACTGGCTGGCCATGTCAAGGCGGGTTGAGCACACCGAGGTCCTGATGCCGGCTTCGGGAACGCCATGCTGCTGGCGCAGGTGCTGCATGTAAGAATCCTGCTGTTAAAACAGTTTCTCGCAACAGGAGTCTGTTTGTGAGTCGTGAAACGTGCAGAACCAGCTTGGGATATGGAGATGCTGAGAGTTTTCATGGCGTTTCCAATCGGCTTTGCTGCCGAAAGCCTTGGGGCAGTGAGGGAATGTACAGCCGTACGGACGTTCATGGCGTTTTTGATGTTTTCTGTCGATGGTTGACTATCAGGCACAGCTTTCAAGCAACTTGAGAGACACTCTTACTTCATCTCGCAACGCAGGCGCGTGCGTTTGGGACAAGTATCGCACTGGAACCAGCCTCGCGTTTTCTCCGAATCATCCGAAGCGGTGTGCTCGTCCGAGAGCCTTTCCAGCGCTGCTGCCAGCACACTCTGTAGCATATGACGCTGAAGTTTGGATATCTGGGTGCTATCGTTCTCCAAATTTATTCCTTGATGGGATTCTTGAGCTTCCTTGAGGGCGCGGCTGCTTATAATCCTGGCCATAGCCCTGATCAGATTGTCGGCTGCGCCGGCCAAAAATGCTTCTGGGGCTGCATTGATGAGATTGATTTTATCTTCACTATCCCTGTCGAGTGGTGAAGCCCGGGCCGGGGTTATCTCTGGGTTTGTACAGTTCTGTGTACCCCCAATTGGTTTTGGGGTCCATTCCCTGCAATCAAGGAGGTCCACACTTTTACAATCATAATCAGGCTGAATTTTCGGTATGGATGGAGCCAGTGCCAGATTCTTCGGTGTGTCAAACATGGGTTCATCCTGTGAGCCGGTTACATCGACAGACTGCGTATCCGAGCAAGCGGCGGCAGACTCATACCAATCCATAGACCTGGAATTTAGAGCATTAATCAGTGAAGCACCATCGAACAAGACATTTATTTCAGGTACCTCTTCAGTAATAAATCTGCGTCCTCGTCGCCGTGCATTCGTGTAAGATGTTGCCTAAAATTATCCAAGCGCGGCCACGTCTTGTCCCGACGAGAACATTGCTTCCCAAAACACATGTACACCATTTTGGGCCCCCGCTCAGGCTTCTTGTTGTGGACGCATTTCTTATGGCGAGCCAGGTCGTTGATGGTGGCCGAACCCTTCTTTACGGGTACAGTTAGACTCATCACACTTGAAGAGCTTGCGGTGCCGAGCCTCGTGTTTTCTGCCGCGAGTCAGCTTGAGAGCTCAGAAGCAGAAGAGACCACACCTTTTGTCCGCTGGACACTTGCCCACCCACGAGCAGTACGGATGGCCACATCGTCGTAGTAGAGGGCTGTGATCGTCACATTGTAAGGCGCCGTGAAAACAGAGTCGACGATGTTGTCCATCGACATGATGACCTTTTGCTCCGATCGGAAGAGCGTGTCAAAACTAGTCATATCTTTCTGGAAATTCCAGAATATTCCCGTTCGGCCACGTAAAATTACACGAATCGAACCAGATTAATTCTCGAATCCATCCACTTAGCCAGGACGATGTTCGCCAGGCTGCAAATAGACCCTACTTTCACAGAGCGACAGCAGCCATAGCCACAGCCATTCCACCGAAGGCGAGCCCAGCATTCCCAGTTATTTGCGCAATACCACCGATACTATTTCCAGTGGACATGGTAGAGGCAGCTGTGCCCGAAGCTCCCGACGTATTGCTGCCAGTGCTAACACTCGACATGGATGGCGACTCGGTCGATTGAGCTGTGGTCGTCATTGCCGAGGCTCCGTTCGAAGGACCAGCAGTGATCGTGACTGGAAGAAGAGTGATATCGTCTTTCCCCAGAGAAGTAGTCGACTTTCCAGGGAAGTTGGCCTCGCTGCCGCCAAATGACTCGGTGCACACGGCGGCTGTGGTGCCGCCCATAGAACAGCCAACACTGCCGTAGCTATTTGGGAAACAAGTTTAGATAAGCTTACTTCGCGATAACCTCGGATGAAACTGAGATTCAACATACAATGCAGGCGATTCATTCATCGACCAAACGGCGGTACTGGGACCCCAGATCATAGTCACACCGGGACCCATGCCACACTCATCGCTGGGTGTTCCAGACTTGCATTGAACGAGATAGGTGGTTTGTTCAGCACTCTGGGTGTTGACTTATTAGTCTGATATCTCTGAAGGGGTCACATCGCACGAACCTCGCCGATCACTGAACCGACCAAAGGTTGCGGGTCAGTATCGATAATAAACATCGACACGACGGATGACTGAGCGGCAGCAAGGCCAGCGGCTCCGAGGAGAAAGAGGCTTCGGGAAACCATGTCGTAATGATCTAATTGATTAAAATTGCTGCAAGAATGCAATTGATACCACTTTGCTAGGGTCAGACTCGACTTTAAGAAGGGAACAACTGTTTAGAGAAGAGTTTGGGGAACACGCCTATGTCCAGATCATCCGCGTGAGACCCTGGAAAATTTGGGTCAACTAGCCGAGACCCTGGAAAATCGCCGTAAGCTAGACCGTAAGCTAGACCATAAGCGGATTAGTTAACGTATTCCGTAAGCGAGTGGGCCAGCGAACCAACTACCACTATTTTAAATCGATTTATTAGACCACCAACGCCATTAATTTCAAATATCTACCTACTAGACCTATAAGGGCAATGCGTTCTTTTATGCCCAACATAAGCTCTTTCAGGTCTGTCGCAGCTGGAGAAGCCTGTTGCTCGCCAAGGTCTACTCAAAGGTTACGCTCGACAATGATGAAACCCTGGTCCCTCTGGCACACGCTGCTCGCCTTAACCGGTCGTTAGGAGCCACTGTCCGAGAACTGAGAATTCCAAACCTCGGCAACAAGGATGACAAGAATGGCATCTATGATCCTAAGCTCTCCCGAGAACTCATCAAACCCTTCACGGTGACACGTGAAGATCTCACCGAATGGGAAGATGCTTTGGAAGGCGGAGATGAACAAGTGTGGCTTGTTCTAGTCCTGATATCTCTCGAGAACCTCCACTATCTTGAGATGCGTCACTATTCGTATGTCTGGGATCTTACACTACGAACACTCGCACAATTAGCGTCCAATTCGATCTGTGTTTGGGGTTATAGACCTTTATCGCTTCTCGAAGAGGTCAGCATTATGTCGGAGACAGTTTATCAAAACTTTCTAGCCGCACGATTTGCATCCACTAGATTAGAACTTCCCGATAGAGGCCGGCGCACAACGGAGGCACAGTACCCGCACCCTAGTAATTAGTCGGGCCCTCACCAACGGAGAGCGGTGAGGGCCCGACTACTAGGGGGCGGGTATGTTGAACATTAAGTTTTCGATGCTAGTGGAACCGATACCTCAGAGAGGGCTTGCATAGAATCAACTCAGTCAATACTGAAAAGAACTAAATTTCTCCGTTTAGACATGTTTATGGTCGTGTCATACTGTAAAGGCTGCAGCGGCATCGCAGCAGATGAAGGTAATTTCTAACGGCTGAGGCTTCATGTTGGTTTTATGATACCAGTTACCGCATTGCGCTGCACACGGTGAACAGTAGGGAGAAGACGTCCATGCATCCACTGCAATTCTGCAAATTTCATACGACAGATGGAATTTTCATCTTATATCACCTAGGAGAGGCAATTTAAAAATGCCGTATTTGATATACTTTGTTTAAGGCTATTCGACAGACATTTTTAAAAGCTGGCAGGTACGAGGGGATCGTCTGCAAGACAGTAAATGCCAGCTGATATCTTGCCCAGGCTCACCCTCTAGAGTCTATACCAGAGCTTCAAGGTCAACACGAGTGCTGGATGACCCTAGATTTTCGTCCATGTCCCCAGATACTTCAACACAGTACGATCTCTAATAATCAAAGATCCATCAGCCACCGCTTGTCGGTGAAAAGACGCACGTCCGCCAAACCGCCATAAAGTACGATTTAAATGGAGGACCTGTCGCCACTAGGCAACACGGCGCTGCCCTGTGACAACATGGACTACCAAGAGCAGATGCCCACCTTTGACTACCTCCAGAGAGATGAGGAGGAAAGTCTCCTTAAGAATGAAACCGATTTACCCTTCCAGACGCTTATTCCGCAGTACGATCAGTCTGCTCCAAACCACTTCTGTTCCCACCAGCCGGACTATCTACCTGAGTATAACTCTATTTTTCGCATTGTCCGACCAAACTTTTGCCAGCTGGAACAGATGCCCAACTCGTTGTCTGTGTCTAAAATACTCCCTGAGATCCCTGCGAAAGAGTCCTTACAGTATTGCGGCTCTCCCTGAAAAGGCGATCTGGGATTTCGGTCGCCCAGTGGCATTCAATTCCATATACTGGGGACTGGCGCTTTCCTGGGACCGGGACGATGAAACCTCTTTCTGTCCGAATGACGGGTCCTTCATCTCCAGTGCCTCCCACTAGCGACACAGGACCCCACAATTCTTGAAGATCTTGAACGGTGAAGGAAACTTTCATTCCCAGTTGGCTCAGCTCTTGTTGCTCCTTCAATGCCATGGGATGCTCGCCAGCATGTGTTTTTTGCGTCTCCCGTAGCGCCTGGCCATAACCTCCATTTGGCCTACGGGGCTGCTGAAGCACCTCGGCTGGGGTGCGAGTTTTGCTTAGAACCCATGCAGGGCCTCCAATGAAGTCTTCCAGACAAGCCAGCTTTCGAGGCTTGAAGGCATACTCATTGAAACTGATAGGGATCTCTTCCATCTGTTGATCCCATAAGTTGTCATCAAATCGGCACACATGTGAGCCAGAGAAAGACACGAGTCCAATTGACAGAATCTCACAAAGGATGCGTACAGATCCCATCAAATCAACATCGGCAAAAGCTCCATCCTGGACAATGAGAATCTGTTTGATCCATTTCTTCATTAACTCCATGATTGCTTCTTCATCGAGTGGGTCCATAAAGCTCTGGAGCCGGTTTATCAAAGAATCAATCTGGCCCAATGATATATGGAAGGCATTTGCGATATCATTCTGGTCTTGATCTTCGACCAAAAGACTCATGATGGATCCGCAAAAGCCTTGAGACTGGAGATACCCAAGCACTGGTTTTGTGAGGTCCACAGATATAACAAGGTCCTGTTCCGAGTGCTGCAAGCGCTATACATGAGCTGCGTGTGGGATATTCTGTGTACACCACTGTAGACAGAGATCCCTGCCCTGAGCCAAGCCCGGAGCTACCATGTGTAGGATTAATCAGCGTGAGCTTATGTTCATTCTACGGGAAGGCATACCGAAGGATGTTAGGACGAGAAGGGCGAGGACGAGTTGGGCCATTGGATATGCTGCTTTATTAATCTGCTAGTGTGGCAACGATAGGGTAGGGCACGGAAAAATTACGCGAAAAAAATCGAAAGTAGAAAAAGTAAACAGTTAGACAGGTTCGAGGCTTTTATTTGACGTAAGGCTTGTGCATGTGTCGCTGGTATGGTGGCTTACAACTCGACAAATATCTGCCGCGTCTAGAGACCCACTAAGAATTTGGTTGTCAACACAAGAGGCATCACATTTAACGAAAATAAGCGTGGCTGATGCTACAGCGCGGAATAGCTCATAGTCATATCCATGTTAGCTAGCAAGGCTTAAGGGTTTAATCTACCGTATTTTGCTTTCATCTCTCTTTGACGACCCCTTTTATTAGCCGTTCGAGATCTTTCTTTCTCTCTTAGTGTAAATTCAGAGGAAGATTGCTTAATTTCTTCAGATAGAAAACTTGGGGATTTATATACATATCTAGCATCCAGATTGATTGGAAATCAATTTTGGTAATTCCGTAGAGGATAGGAATTTATTCCGTAGTCTCCGCCGTCCTCTGCTCTAGAGTCTGGCGCTGCCGCTGGGATGACCGGGTGACACGGCCTAGGTTTGCTACTAGAACGCTGTCGGTATGCCCTAAGGTAGGCGCACCGCTATTCTTCGACTTATTCTTAGAGCCTTTCGGTCGGCCCCGCTTTGGCTTAATGAATTGTTCGAGAGATGGACTATTAGAACCGGCTAGTTCAGGAGCATCTCCGGTGGCCGTTGGTGCCTCTAGCACATGAATAGATGCGTCTAGCCTAGGCTCGGCAGCCGGAGCCGCGCAGTTTGGCCTATTCTGGGACATAGTATTTTGGCCGCGGTTCGCGGAGTCCTGGGAGTGCAGCGGGATACGGTGCCATGCTGGACAGTTGAGTAGAGCCTGCCGGGCTATAGCTACCGCTTCCTGCTTCACCGGGCAACTGTCACTAACTGGACGATGCCCATCGCCACAATTGGCGCATTTGATAGTAACGTTTTGGCCTTTGGTTGCCGCACACTCCCAGGTCGAGTGGTCGGCAGCGCAGTAGCCACATTTGGTATCGTTGGGGCAATGAAACTGTATGTGCCCAGGTTTTTGGCACTTCTTGCATAGCTTGGATTGACCCTCACGGTAGAATTGGACAGCTTGGAGAACCTGGTTCTCCCAGATAACCCCCGCGGTAATGGCATGGTTGGCCACTATTGGGCTTGTGAATTCAATCACGATAGACCCTTCCCGTTGCTTCGACGGAGGACGTCTCAACCAGCTCACATGCGAGATATCTGCCTTCCCACCCCAGGTATGGCCGTTGACACGCTGTAGTTCCGCCGTAACACTAGCCATCGTCTCCGAAGAGAGCTTCATTCGGCGTACAGGTATACTGTGGGCCACAACTCCCCAACTCACTTGCTGAATGACAGCATCCGCTCCAAATGCTTTTATCCAGCCGGTGTGCTTACGGAGGAGTTCCGTACCAGCCGCGCTGTTGGCCACCATCGTAATATCCCCAGAGGGCAGCTTTCGAGCTGCGACGAAGAATGCCCCACCAGCTTGGGCTGCAGAATTCCTCTGTCTCGCTACGGCCTCACGCTGCCGCTCCGCCTGCTCAACGAGCTCTCTCGGGGTCTTCATCCGGAGTTGGGTGCGGTTACTCATCACCTTAATAGTGACCTCACGGTCTTCCTGAAGCTCAAGTTCCGACACTCCTGGAGATGACGTGCCGTTGCTGGCCGCTTAGACAAGTCCTCGCAGCCAATCCTTGGTGTTCCGGAAGCCGGTCCAGTTCGCCGCCGCTTGGGTCGAACTAATCGTTGTATTCGTGCTTGACGACATGGCAGTCGCCGCTTTCTCGATAATAGTCATACGTTCGCTTAGGCGCGTGAAGGCCTGGGAAGTGTCATTGGACAGCTTCTCCAGCGTTCGGGTGACCTTCGCCATTGCGAGCGCGTCGCCCTGCTGGGCGTTGAGTGCGTACTGGCGGACCTGGTTAACGAAGCCAGTAATATGGTCATCAACCCGGATTTCGCGCGTCATTCTGATGTGCTGGAGCACCACCTGCGCGGCCTGGGCGACTTTGTCCATGTTGGCGAGGGGCGCTGTTGATTTTGGTGTTCTCCCCCCGACCCTCTTTCGGGGGGCAGTTTGTGTGCATTTGCACCCGTGGCGACGATCGCAGCCATTCTTCCCAATCAATTTGGTATCGAACGATAGCGGTCGCCCTCACTTAAAATTTGAACAATTTCTCAGAGCCGTAGGGCCCTTGGCTGTCGAGATATTTCAAGAATACGTTTTTTCCTAGAAAGAGTTGTTTTGGGGGTTGTTACTTAACATTACACGCAGACAACGCTGATGACAGAAGATCTACAGACGTCAAAATAATTCCCATCGTTTATATAGATCCGGTTGGCTATATCCTGCGGTCAGTTTATATGGCAAGCCTCATCCAGTGAAGGATTTTAGTTATCTAATAGTGCTTATTACACCCCCTTGTCCAGAGTTTTGAGCAACTCTGCTATTTGCCGTGGATGCCGTGGGATCTTCTTTAGTCGAGCCCGGGGTTCCTCTACTTCAGTATGCGAGCCGGTATTCCTGAATGCAGCGGTCGTCAAGGTCAGTATGGACATGAGCAAAGTAAACGCCACGCTACTGCACCGTTACCGAATTCTCATTAAAAATCCACAAGGAATCTCTTGGGGCAAGAGCCTGGCAGGTAATGGGAAACGGATGTGTTGTAATTCTGAGTGTTGTGATCTATCGTATGCACCGGAATCAATCCCTCCACGTCACGGAATTACCAGGATTGATTAGAAATCAATCCTGAGCTGGATGCTGTATATAAACCCTCAAGTTTCCTGTCTAAAGAATCAATCTTCCTCTGAATTACAACATTCACTACTAAGGTATAGGGTATCTTCATGTTCCTTGACTGATAATATCATTGAGCATGTCAATTTCTTGTATTTTAGATAACCTGGCACGCTAGCATACAGCGGCCAGGGTCCTGATTTTAGTTCCTGGGGGCCTGAAGCCCGGAATTGAAATCCCTTTGGGTGTAGTCTTCGCCATAACCCGCAAATGGGTTGAAGGTCTCCACCGAAAACCCACAACCATTTCAAGCCACATTTTACATAGTGCCGCCTAAATAGGGAGAAATTCCTGTTAAGGTTTAGATCTACGAGATTTTACGTAAGTTATGCAGAATTGCGGGTTGAAATGCGGGTTATGGCGAAGTCTACTTGGGTGGGCGGCCTAATGTAAGATTATTGAATTTAGCCGAAAGGCCAATATTGCCCTCAAAAGTAACTTAGAACCATATGAGAAATGTAAGTAGGATGATTATATATTCTTCTACGTGGTCATCTGATTTACTTGGTACGTAATATAGATCCATACTGAGAATATACTGAATATAGTCAATTAACTTAAATTAATATAGCATTCAAGATAGCCTCTATATATGAAGGTTTTATCCTATGTTTAAATGAAGGTGGTAGGGGCGTAGAGGTAGTAAAACAGAATGTAACCTCCCGGCTAAAGTCCTATGGGATAACTTTCTGAAGCTGGGCGCCTAATAACCTTTCTCATAGCTTGGTCGATAAACTATAAATATGCCATTCTACTGATCAAATACAGTCGTTATTTCACAAGATAAAGCATTCAAACCATCTGCGTCTCTTCAGGAAACGCAGGCTCTTTCACACAAATCGTCAATCTTCCTCGCACATACTGCTTCGGTCCTCGTTCCTTCGATAAAAATCCTCATGATGATCACATTCTATAAGCTGGCGGCTTTGCTCAGTATTCTTCCTCCCGCTATCGCCGACTCCTGGACTGTCGGATTCTATGAGTCTAGTGATTGTAGTGGAACAATGCCGGCTTCATTTGGTGACTCAGTGCCTTACGGTTGCACCCCCATCGACTCTAGCGTCAGCTTGAATTCTGCTAGTGCATTGTACGACGGAAATTTTAAAGTTTATGTCTATGAAACCACCGACTGCAGTGAAGGCGGAGGAGTATGTTACCCATTGAACGGGTGTTGCGCAGGAAATTGGGTGGCTTATATGGCGGTAAATTGAGTTGTGTGAGCAACCAGGCAAAATCTTTTTTTGGGGGGGAGGTGTGTTTGGTTGATACAGGGTTGTTTTGGTGGCGGGAAAGAGAAGTCGCATCAGGAAACTTTTGTAACTTATTTACAGCGCTTTTTACTGTAACCCTACATGCATGACTACACTTGCTCTGCCACTGTAAATTGGACCCTACACGTGACTCAGAAGCCATACCATCAATTGCCAGGTGGGAATTATATTAGCAGTAGGGCTTGGCATTGGATGCCTTCACTACCTAGATTCTGAAATTCCTAGTACCGTATCTAAGGTCCCAAATACTAACATCTCTTTTGTTTCGTGGGGTTATTTAAAACCACTAAAATTTAGGGTATGCCAGGCCCTAAGTGGGTAATGTAAATGCAGTCCAGGCAAGTACGTCTCAAAGAAGCACCTAGATAATAGGTGTACGTTAAGACTTGAGCACGATCTTAAGTAGAGAACGCAACGCCGAAGGATCGCGAGAATGGAAAGAATCCAGAGATGGCGGCCACCTTCGTAAGATCGACATCACACTGCCGGCCAAATACACGAGACGGCTCTACGGACCTCTGCCTCGGAATCGAGCGTACCTGCTGACGCAGTTGCGGACGGGACATTGCTGTTTATCAACGTACGTAAAGGCTTTCCGCTTTCGGGATGACGACCTATGCGTCTGTGGCGGGCGGGAAAGTGTAACCCACGTTCTGCTGGATTGCCCGGAGCTTAGGACCTGCGCCGAGAGCTCCGGGGGAAGGTCGGCGACGCGTTCAATAGCGTGTCAACCCTACTAGGAGGATCTAGAGAAAGGGGGAGAGGTAAGCAAGATAATGCTTCGCGTACCAAGACGGTGGAGGCTGTCTTGGACTTCGCGGAGGCGTCAGAACGATTCCGAAGCCGTGCGCCATGAGGGCAGCAGGGCAAGCAACGAGGGCTACTAGGCCAAGACAGGCCCGACGAGAGTCTGAGTTCGTTTAGGAAGTGGTATACGATACATGTACGTACATTGACATATATAGTTGTGGTATCCTGCATATCACTTTGCGAGGGGTCAGGGTAAATGAAATCATCCATCCATCCATCCAACTGTACAACTCTAGACATGTTGAACTGAAGAGATCATCGCAGGTACCATACATGTTTAAGCACTATAAGGGCACTAGTTATATTATATCTTTCAAATATATTAACTAGAAAGGACAGTGTGACCTTGTCAGGCCTCGGGGCGATATGATATATGTCTTCGGACCTTCGCCTAAACTAGAGCAATAGCACCAATCGCAGCTCCAGCAACAGCCATTAATGAATCAACAAGCCACCTGCAACATTGGTCGAGATCGGCTGGCTGGAACCACTCGTGGGAGCCGTGCCATTGTTAGAACTCGTTGAGCTCGTTGACTGAGTTGGAGCCTTCGTAGTCGAAGGAGCAGTGCTGCCCGAAGTACTGTGCGAGGAATTCGTCGCCGTCGCGCCAGAAGAAGGCGCGACACTAGTATCAGCCACAGAAGTGTCCGACGTAGATTTAACAGAGCTAGCCGACGCAATTGTCGAGGAGGCAGAGACGGACGAAGGCTTCCAGCAGGAGAGAGTGGTCGTGGATACACAGGGTTCCGTACCCCTGTAGGCAGCGCAGCAGGGGACTCTTCCGCTACTAGAATGGAGATTCCCGCCGCCAAAAACGCAGATGACCCGACAGATCTAGGCCAACTAGAAATCCCTAGACCCAGGGACGTAGCTGTCAAAGAGTGCGTTGAATGGCAACAGTCAAATGTCACTGATGACAATCTCAAACCTGCATTCCGACAAGCGTGCGATGTGACGCTCGAAGATGGTCTTAATCTTGAGCAGGTCTACAAAGACCAAGACCCAGAATTCTTCATCGGTAAGGGAATAAAAAAGGGCATTGCCCGTCGTTTCGTACAGGATATTCCTGGCTAGGTCCAGAATGTGAAGAAGGCAATCCCTATCTGTGAAGGGCTATAATATAGAAAGAGCAAGGTGGGTGTTACGGCGTTACGAAGTTTTGTCGGATTAGGTTGAAATCAGTAGGTACAGTGATATTCGAAATCAGATATACCAAGATCCTCACACGGATTAATTCCCGAACCCTAACCTGAAACGCGCTAATCCAAATATGCTGTAGTCGTAGATCCTCCGCTTCCCAGAATAGACGGTGTATTTTACATGACGTTGGTGAGACCTTTGAATGGTGTATTTTACACGAAAGTGCTATACACTGCTGCCTGCGTGCCATCCTTCGCTGCTGTCCACCTCCCAAGCCAACATGCGTCCTTCTTTCTGACTCTCGAGTGTCATCCAAGGTTGAGACATGCAACATGGCTCCAAGGCTCCCCCTCTCAAAGCTGTATCTCATCCGTGATGTGATAGAGAGCCAGTCCCTCACCACCTCTCAAATGGCTGAAGAAGCTGAATGCAGCAAGCTTACAATCATAAATATTCGCAGAAACTTGCGACATTTTGGAAGCGTCCACGCACCCCTTACTCGAACAGGCCGGAGACGAAGCGTAACACCGCTGATGATGGAAGCGCTCTGCGATCAGCTATATGCAAAGCCCGGTCTCTACCTGGATGAGATGGCTGTCTTCCTCTGGGATGAATTCCAGTTCTTAGTAACAGCATCCAGCATCAGAAGGGCCCTTATCGCTAAAGGATAGTCCAAAAAGACCGCTCACCAGCAAGCTAGAGAGCAAAATGCCGATTTGCGAGAATGCTATTTGCATAATTTATCGGATTTTCGATCGTATCACCTGGTTTACGTTGATGAATCTGGTTGTGATAAAAGGGTTGGGTTCAGACGCACAGGTTGGTCACCCCTTGGCAAGGCTCCTGTGCAAGTATCACAGTTCCATCGCGACCAGCGGTATCAGATACTACCTGCGTATGCCCAGGACGGGATCGTTCTATCGCGGATTTTCCGGGGTTCGACAGATTCTACTGCATTCGAGGACTTCATCGCTCAGCTTCTTCAGCATTGCGGAAGATGGCCTGAGCCTAAATCCGTTCTAGTTATGGACAATGCGTTAAGGCTTTTTCTGCCACTGTTGTCCAGCAAGTAACTGATGCTACTTGCTCTAAGAGAGTGGTCTACAAAAAGAAATACGAGGTATTGGAGTGTATGTCCCTTTTGATTGCAGCAAAATATAGTGAAAGGAGGAAAGATATTCCAATAGCGAGCCAACTTGATATGATGTGTGACTATATTTACGATCCTGGTCAACTCATCCAAATTGAACTATATGTGCTCTCTATATGCTAGTCAGCGGCCTACCAATATAGAGAGACGAGGGTTCTTCAGTTCAATTCCTTGTCATATTTAAGCTGCATTAGCAGAGTTCTCCCTGCAAGGAATTGGTTCAGCCACAGCTTTACTGCAACAATTGCTCATTATTCTGGGGTCTGATGGCTCACGATGGAGCATGCTGTTTCATTCCAACAATCAGCAACAGAAGAGCCGATGGGAAGCACTCAGCTGCCTCTCGGTTATTGATGGAAGGAGACACTACCAGCCTTTGAGACCCAGTGAACATGAGAATACTTATACCTGGCTCGACCGAGTCTCTATGACGATGGGCATGTTAATGGGCACAGCGATCTGAAGTCTTCCCTCTTGGGCGGGTATCTAGGTATGAGCTGAAAGATACCTTGTGCGAGATGGACCAGGATGATAGCATGTACCACAATGTAAAAATTGCGTATTCGGCCTAGTCAACCCCGGTGCGATATGTCAAGTGGTGCTCTATGAATTATCTTTATATCTGTTCGTCTGTTTGCCTCGGAGGTCCCAGCGGAAGCCTTTCTGATCTCTTGCATATTCTTGTTCTGAATATATGTAAGTAGTGAAATAGTCCTAATGTTGAATCACTGTGAATATAAGCCAGGGAACAACACAAAGCGTATACGAGGGACATACATACCGTAGATCAAATTCCCGACGAAGATACTTAGCTTTCAGCTAATCAAAGAATTTATTTGACACATATAATCTAACCTACATATAAATGCAATCACATACCACACGCGGTGGCACAAATACACCGATTAGGACGTATCTCGGATAGTGATACCATAGACGGGGAGGTCAGTAACCTCTGGAAGGAATATTATAAAAGACGTATATTGAAGACTGTGACTATGAATACAGTAGCAAAACCAGCATCACGGAGTACCTGCAGTATTACCAAGAAACTTGGTCCGAGTTACAGTTGCGGTCAAACCCTGAACACCAGTACCAACAAGGTAACATGCTACAAACATGGATGATCTCATATCATGAGATCCAGAAACGGGACCCAAACGCCGCGTCGCTGCTATTGCTACTTGCTCACTTTGATAATCGAGATATCTGGTATGAATTGATGAAAAACAGCCACCATAGCTCAAATGTTCCTGCTTGGCTTGAAGGGACTATATCAGGCGGACTCGCGTTTAGAACCGGCGTCAAGAATCTCGTCGGTTTCTCTCTGCTTGAGACTACGGAACAAGGGGGAAGTTATTCGATGCACCCGGTGGTACAAGACTGGTGCATTCATCTTTCCCGCACAGAGAAAAATGTGGATTCGACCCAGCTCAATGAACTGGCACTGATATCTGTTGGATACACAGTTCCAAGTTCAAGTGACAGAAATTATTCTGAGCTTCAGCACCGGCTTATTCCACAGGCGAATTATGTACGCCATGGGAATTGGTCAGGTGACAGCATTGATATCGCAGTATGGGGAGCATTTGGTTGCTTGGGAAACCTCTACTCTGATCAGGGGAAGCTAAAGGAGGCAGAGGAGATGTACCAGCGAGCACTGGCAGGCTGCGAGAAGGCCCTCGGTCCTCGTCATACGTCCACTCTCGATACAGTCAACAACCTTGGTCTTCTCTACCAAAGTCAGGGGAAGATAAAGGAGGCAGAGGAGATGTACCAGCGAGCACTGGCAGGCTGCGAGACGGCCCTCGGTCCAGATCATACGTCCACTCTCAAAACAGTCAACAGCCTTGGGAATCTCTACTCTGATCAGGGGAAGCTGAAGGAGGCAGAGGAGATGTACCAGCGAGCACTAGTAGGCTACGAGAAGGCCCTCGGTCCTCGTCATACGTCCACTCTCGATACAGTCAACAACCTTGGTCTTCTCTACCAAAGTCAGGGGAAGATAAAGGAGGCAGAGGAGATGTACCAGCGAGCACTAGCAGGCAAGGAGAAGGCCCTAGGTCCACATCACAGGAAGACGCGGTGGGTTATAAAGAGATTGAAGTGGCTAAGAATTGCAAAATGAAAATGCGCATTACCCTCCATACAGTATATTTGTACTTCATTATGATCGTATTGTTTTCAATTTATTCAAAATGATGGTCTTGGAGAAGTTGGGGGAGGTCTGACCTTGCTAAAAACGGTCGTAATTGTGTACGTAAAGAACATATATATCGTGCAGAAAAGGAAGGAGGATAGAAGTCACCCGACAGATCATCAAAGTACCCAGCGCCAGATGGCCCTCCCCCATGATTTGCAGAGAGATCCACTATAGGTTCCAGGCAATTCCACTGGATTCTTGTACCTATTATGTAATATTACATACGAAGATACAGTACCATACAAGTCGCATCTTACGGGATCACTCAATTTAACACGGCCAGGTCAATAAATGATCCGCGCTAACGCCTTGGCAGTGGGGCCAGGAAAGAGTTTCTCGGTGTATATTGGTCAAGGCGATTTCGAGAACGACTGTACCACCAGCAAATAGTATCATTGACTCAAGTTGGCCGAGAAAGTGATATAAGTGCCATAACAGACCGCAAATGACCTTCGCATATCCACATACATAAAAAAACAAATGTAACCCAATCTCTAGTGGACTTCTGGCACAGCAAAGTAGTCCAGCATCCTCAAAAGGTTGCCAGGCTGAAACATTCCTCAAACAATGGTGGAAGCAAAAGCAATGTCCAAGATACTACAAGCCCTACAGTTTCACAAAGCAAAGCTATCATGCAATAGAATACCAAGGACTATACACAGACTTGTGCGATTCTGAACAGTCTACGCAGTGCTGGATACAGTATCGTCGATGCGTCACAACGTTTTCAAACTCACACATCAAGAGGGCGTGCCAACAACGAGGAAGGCAATGAAGCAACGACTGGCCATTGCAAGACCCTCAGTTTGCTTTGAAAAAATGGTATGCTCGAAATATATGTAAAAGTCCTGCATGTCACTCGGGGATGGCACGGCATACACGAACCAACGCATACTCGCAAATTACAGACATAGCTGCGTTGGACTCGAAAATTTCTCAGATCCTAATTTATAGGAGTAATCTTGCGATTGCAGCTGCATCCTGTCTGTACTATGCCTCAATTATAAAATGTCTTCCTTGGTGGGCTAAACCTCTAAGTTCTTCTCACTTCTGTTCTGTTTTTCTTTCTAGGTCTTCTTGGAATATCTTTTGAAGAAGCGAAACCCTGTAGTGGTAGATTAAGAAGCACATTCCTGAAATGAAACTAAACAGCCCCGTCACCGATGCAGTGACTGTGGGAGTAACAGCCCAAAAGCCATTGTGGTGGGCATATACGTTGATCAACGTGTTTATGAAGCCTGTGGTAGAATTAAAAAGAACAGGCCTGGCTTCAAGTAAGAATAAACAAGTACAGATAAAAATAATAGGATCAGCAGAAAATTTCCCCCACTCACCAAAATATTTTGCCCTGTAGCCACAAGAAGTTGTTTCTCCACGTCCACCAAAGCCAGGCCTCACCACAGGTAGCAAGAAAACACAAAATTCCTGCAATAATAAGCAAAGGAGTATTCTGAAAAATGTTATATGTAGCTTGTCCAATATCAGATTTTGAAGCTGATGCTTTGACGGATGTCGAGTTCTGCAAGTTATTGAATGTATTTGACAAGACTAAATATCCCGCAAGGAGAATCCAAGAAAATGCCGCAGCATATATATTATATATTATGCCAATTTTCTGGCTATTAGCTAGCATTATTGGATAGGCAGTGGCATGTGGTGTTTGCCTGTTCTCTGGAAAAACTTCCATCAAAAAAACCCAAGCATCCCGCACTAGAGGGGAACGTCTCGTAAAAAAATCCATGTAGCTCAATCTTTTGTACATTAACTAGGGACTTCTTGGCACATTTACTGGTTGAGACGTATACCAAGGACGGTCGAATCCTATTTATAATGTGGGTCGTCCGATCGCTGTAACTTCGTTTGCGAATATCACTTTCGAGTTTTGAAAAGCAGTTATGCTAATTTTGTTCTCAACTTATTAAGAGAACTTTGACGGAAAGCTCTGTCAGCGTCTAGTGAGGAGGAAAAAAGAAAAAAGGGAGGCAAATCTTCATCAGTCTATGCGAATTGAGCTTGGAACTTTAATCTTATAATAATTTTTAGTCTGCTTAATGTTAGCCTCGAGCTACCGTGCTGAATATTAGGCTAATACTTGAAGAGTTGTTTGAGTAGTCTCATCATGCATCATGGCAACACACGCCATGAATATAAACAGCCTTCAATATCTAGGGGGTTAAATATCAGCCTTCTTCCCAATTATATTTGTATCTGGAATTTCATTTAAGTTATATAAATTGAAGCAAACACTAGAAGTTTTTGAATTCCGAATCCAGATCTTTGAATTGACATCGTTTTTTAAGTTCTCTATAGGTGTAAGCTCAGGACGATCATTCAATTAAATTGCATAAAATCTATCCAAAATAAAGCGGCTGGCGCAATATTATGGTCGTTTAGCTTACAATAGCTAAGCTAAGTAAGAAAAAGCCGGAAAATTCTGCCCTGTGACATTGTTTTGCAGTAAGGACCAAAGCATTATAAAGTAGACCCAGGACCGAAGTCTCCATAGATATCCAGCTCTTTGTCTTGAATCTCTATTTTCCTATCAATATTAAACGAAAATATCAAATGGCAAACACACGATCTTCGGTTTCGAAGGCTCAGCAAGCCACATCTCGAAACACACGATCTTCTGCGTCAAAGACCCGGCAAGCCATATCTCGACCTAAGCAATCAAAACGGACGACGAATTCTGCGACCGTTGATAAACAAGAAGCTTTTTCTCCCTTATATGTGGGCTCCAACGACGGTAAAAAGGCGTCAGTGGCCACGAGGAATGTTTGGTTTGAGAATATTGTTAAAGAATTCCTTATGGAGCAAGTAACTCTAGACCCTGTGAATTCTAGAATTAGTGGAAGAGTGAAAAAGGGATATCTCTTGCAGATAACGCTTCCGAAGGCTATGGAACAAATCGACGAGTTTGCTGAAGCGATCGCTGCATTTGACCGCCGTTCTAGCCTCAGATCTAGAATGATTGGTTGAAATATAGTGAAAGAACCAGAAGAATGGGGTGAAAATAGCTTGCCTCTTAGGTTTTAGAGAACAATAGTCTCCGGCCCTGAAATTATTTTCTTTTCGAGTTCCTTCTTATTTACGTATATGTTTTAATGTAATAATACACGAAAGTTGACAGTACTTCTGGAAAATGGTGTCACCAAAGGAACGCTGAGCCATGTCTAGCATAAAGAAAGACCTTCAACTTCCACGCCCCTGTCATGTCAAAAATACCGGATCATTGTATAAGCTTGGTTTATGTTATGTATCTCTTCACTTGTACGGCCCGTATGATATCTAAAACAAAATGTCTGCGGAAGTGACTACCTGGACGAGCGAAGGGTCTGTGAGGTGAACACTTTCCTATGCCTTGTGTAACAATCCAGGCCTTCTGGTTGGGGCCTAGTATGTGTTGGATTCTGGATGTGCGAAATTGTCAACTATTTCTCGAACCCTATTCTAAAATACCCTAATCTATCTATATTCGATAGATCTCTCCGTTCTAATAGAATTCGTTTCTTACGGGATGACTAAAATACTGTATCTTACGAGAAAAATACCTCACGCAGGCAACTATGCTCCTCCCACCCGGCTGTCCACTATCTAGGATGTAGGCTCATTGAAGTTGAAACAAAAGCACTCAGTGCCTTTACTCTCTTCCTTCTGTTTACTAGTTCTTTAAGGTTCGGCTTCTCCAGTAAATAAACAGCGTAGAGAAATGAAAAGCGCAAAATAAGTCCAATGATTGAAGATACCCCTCACTTGAGGATCTGCACAGCCCAGGCGCTAACACTGCGCCCACTGCAATGGATGCCTCGCTCGTCTACACAGCCCCTCTACCACTCGCCCATTAAGAGCCTGCATCATCGTCGTCTTCTTTCTGGTAGTTCACCGGGTGTATATTGCCGTCATGTCCGGACTTGAGGCCCTCGGTGTCGCGGCCAGTGTCATACAAGTTGCAGACTTGGGAACCAAACTATCCGTCAAACTATTCTCCTTCTACCGACATGTCAAAAATGCCAACCAGTCTATGCAGCTCTTGTCAAACGAGATTGCCCTTGTCAGCGCCATTTTTCGTGAGCTAGGTGATACTGTACGTCGTGTGCTAGTCTGTCGGTCGGTCGTCGAAGCTCCGTGCGTCTGGTTGTCCGCAATTTAATTTGCACTTAGACTACGCTTCTTCCGGAGGATTGCTCTAGAGAAGTGCGGCTTCGAGTCTGCCTTGGGGTGAGAGTGAATTATGGGGAAGATGGTGGCTGGGTGTGTGCCTTATCGGCCTGGGGTGGTCTGATTGGCTTTTTTGAGCCGCGGGTCTATCTCGACTGTGATCCGTATCGACCGATGGGTGCCTAGTATAGTCGGCAATAGCTTACGAGACGATTATAGTGGCACTTTGTTCTTCCTCAATGACTGCGAGACTTCACGAAATCACTTCGAGACTTTATAATGAAGTGCTTTAGCTCGAAAGACTTATCTCCTATTGCAGGCATAGTTTTGAAGCAGATTTGTCCCTTCCTCTGTTGAAAGCTAGTGACACGTGGGCTCTGGCCAGGCATGCCCTTAAAACATTTGTAGTAAGCCACTCGCCAGGTGGCCTCAGCTATACATTGTAGCAGAAGGGTGAACTTGGGCTATTTTATGTCTGAGTGGAAACCGCATAATACGGGTTCCATTGCCATGACCCAGGCTGAAATCACCTAGAGATAGTACTGTATGTATAAACATAATTAGTAGGCACATAAGTTGAAAATGGTGTCCCATTACCGATTATCTTATTCGGAGTAAAGCAGTATATAGATATAGTAGTAGTCATTGGAAGTCAGGTTAGTGATCGAGATTGTATCTGCTTAGTTAAAAATAAGGGAAATGGGAGCGGCGATGGGCCCTATCGGCCCAGAGCGTGGTCTCTGCGAACCTAGGATTATGGCCCTGCACCGTCCCTACCCCTTGCTGGACTCGTCGGAACATGGTCTCTGCCTCTTTGTACCGTTTCTGACGATAGAGAGAGAACCCAAGAAACCGTGCAGAATAGAGTGTGTCTGCATGATCATGGCCTAGCACTTTCTCTTGCCCTTGAAGAGCTCGTCGAAGCACGATCTCTGCCCCCTTGTGCAGTCCCTGCTCATAGAGACAGAGACCAAGAACCTGTGCAGAATAGAGTGTGTCTACATGACCATGGCCCAGCACCTTCTCTCGCCTTTCTAGAGCTCGTCGAAGCATAGTCACTGCCTCTTTGTGCCGTTTCTGCTCATAGAGACAGAGACCAAGAAAGTGCGCAGAATGGAGTGTTTCAACATGGTCGTGGCCCAGCACCTTCTCTCGCGCTTCTAGAACTCGTCGAAGCATAGTCTCTGCATCTTTGTGCTGGTTCTGCTCATAAAGACAGAGACCAAGAAAGTGCGTAGAATAGAGTGTTTCAACATTGTCGTGGCCCAGCACCTTCTCTCGCCTTTCTAGAGCTCGTTGAAGTGTGGTCTCCGCTTCTTTGTACAGTTTCCGCTCAAAGAGACAGAGGCCAAGCCAGTGTGCAGAATAAAGTGTTTCAACATGGTCATAGCCGAGCACCTGCTCCTGTCCTTGCAGAGCTCGTCGAAACATGTTCTCTGCCTCTTTGTACCGTCCCTGATGATAGCGAGAGAGACCATCCTGATATATGGATGTGAGCTCGGTATAATTGTGCTCAAGGGTATCGCCTTGACCTTGCAAAACCTGCGCTAATGTACCGCCTGGCGAAGGATACGTCTCTTCTTGCTGCGCCATGTGGGACCGATGTGCGATGCGTACTGAACGGTGATATTCAGTTTCATTAAGATCACTCCATCTTGCTGAAGGCTTCGTAGACTCCAGTGAAGCCAATGTTGCCCTGGAAGTCTTTTCCATATCTTGTGTATTATCTATATACTCTACAGTCAGTCTGTGTCCTGTTCATTGGAACTCATTGGTACTGTGGATTTCTCGTTTGTTTGTTTGTTGTGGCCTGACTCACAGAAACTTTTCAACCATTGGTGCTGTAAAGCATCACTTGCAGAGAGTCTGCTGGCAGCAGTTGCAGTCAGTAGTCCTTTCATGATGAAATCATGGCATTCTTGGCTGACGCCGCAAGAGGCTAAGGCCGAAGAGGGGAAATGACAGTCTTGTATATATCTCCGTAACTTGAACTGCTTCTCGAATGGAAGTGCTGCAGTGAGGATGTAGTGCGTTATAACACCAAGGGACCACATATCCACCTTGTCGGTGTACTGGAAATCTGACTCATCATTTTCAAGGACCTCAGGTGCGATGAAGCCAGGTGTACCAACTGCCGTTCGAAGGGATGTACTACCATCATTGACACGTTTGCTAATTCCAAAGTCGCCAATCTTGACCCACCAGTCTGGGCCTTTCCTAACCACAAATATGTTCTAATTTGATCAATATAACCTCTTGCCAATAGCATCGAGAAGTACTTACTGCTGGTTTTAAATCTCGGTGGGCAAACCCATTCATATGCAACTGCTCAAGGCCCTCTAGGAGTTGATGTGTAACTTGCTGGGCCTCCCGCTCAGGTAATGGTTGCATTAGGTGTTTTTGAAGATCGCCTAGTTCGAAGTATTCCATGGCGATGAACACATGCTTTTTGTCCTCATACCACCCAAACGATTTTGCAAAGAGTCCCTTGTACTGAGAACGTCAGCGATACGTTTCAGAACCAGCTTATAAGGAGAGCGACTGGACCTTCTCCTGAGAAAATTTCGCAATTGCTTCTAGCTCTCGCGTATAATCAATGGCTTGCGAGAAGGGTGACACTTTTGGTATCACCTTCACAGCGCGGAACTTAGTTTGGCTATCAGTTGTCAAACACTGTTCCAGCCAAACACCACCAAAGCCTCCTTCCCCAATATGTTTCTCTTTCCTCCATGTTTCTGTTTTTCGTCGTCGTCGGATCTGCTGTCCAGGTCTAGGATCTGATTCGAAAACGTCATGATGGGTGTAATCTGTCGAGAAACGAACGGGCAACTTCGAATCATTCACAAGATCAGATGTTATTGCCATAAGGAACATTCACATTGCCAGACAGGCAGTTGAGAGTGCCAATGCCTCACCAACAACGGGCTACCCCTTTTCTAGTGCGGCTGAGCCCCTAGCCTGTCAGCTGATCCAAGTGAGGGCGGTAAGAATATGGTCCAATGAGAGACTGGTTCTACCTATAGGGTTGGGAAAGCTACTAATAGTCTGAGCAGCAATGCCTAATGTTGTACTTCAGATGAAGACTGCTTGATTTCTCATTCTCTCATCAAGAAATTCGCGACTTTATATACAATATTCAGTATCCAGATTCTAAGATTATTTACCAACCAATCTTGATGATTCCGAGGAGTAGTGGTGAGGGTGTGCAGCGGTAGCACAGAAACAAGGCTGGCATTGTGACAAGACCCGAAAGTACTAATTCGCAGACAGAGGCTACAAATCTCCTGTCAACCATCAAACTGATATCTCACTGAGTTGTAGAAGGATCTGTCGCACAATCAGTTTGTCCGGTCGCGAATATTCAGATTTCGGTAAAAGCCACTTCATACCTTCTCAATATATTTGACACCAATCAAAATTCCATCCTCGTCCTCAAACTGGCTCTGATCGCCGAAGTCTTCATTGGTATCCTCCATGCAGGTCAGGCAATTAACAACAACCTGAGCGTATTTGTTACCCATCTTGATGGGCAAGATCTCCTTGGCCATGGTGGTAAAATGGTCCTTGAGGTCGCTATATCTGGCCAATGTTGGAGAAAAGAAGTTCAAGTTGACAGGCGGCAGATTTGTGTCGGCTTCACAAGTAATGAAGGATTCCCACATCCCAATTTCGAGAAGACAGACTCCGAGACTATATATATCGTGTTGCATAGCGTAATCTGCAGCGGGGTTTATCCCTTGCCGTTCAGGGTGTTGATAAATATTCTCTGTCTGATCGGTATGTCCCAGTCGCATAGTTTTGCCATCAGCTGTGCGAAATGTTTTGAACCCTAAGAGGAATAAATGAAGCAAGTAGGGCTCTTTGCTCTGGAAGATCAAGACTGTTTCAGGTCTAATACCTTTGTGGACGAAATCGAGGACATGGAGATAGCTCACAGAGGTAGCAAGCTGTTTTGCTAGATTTACTCTGCAGCTGAGAGAATAATCCTTTTTGGAAAGGTGATACCGGAGACTTTGGGGCCTTTGGCAGTCTTTTGGAATGTGGAAGACAAAGTCAAATGAAAGAGGTGTCTGGGTCACTGGGTTTTTGATGCGAACCACGCCTAAGCAACCGAGGAGATTGAATAGAAAAGGATCCACCTTCTGGAGTTTTTGTGCGAGCTTTCGAATATTTCGAGAGAATATTGATGCGTCTGTTCTTGGGTCACACTCCACAGAATCTAGAATGAAGGTGTTCAAACCTGGAACCTCAATGATTTGAAAGCTTGACCACGGAATTATTGACCGCTGGGCACTGGAAAGCTTATTTTCTGGGAGAAATACCGAGAGCTTAGGTTGCGGCTCGTCTTGTAGTGCATTTTGCACATGCCTAGCTACCGAGAGCGTATTGGTCTCTGAGGATTTGCCTAGACCTTCAATAATACTCCGATCGGCTACTCTCAGGACTAGGTACCATGTCGCATCAAATTCCCTTTGCCAAGTTTGGAGATCTTGTATGGCGTTATCGAGAGACTTCTTCACGGTCAAGGCATATTTGGAAGCCCTTCGGTTCTGTGTTCTTCCATCGCTGCTGCAGGCATGTTTCTCTAGTTTGCTGAGCTGGCGCACGGCGTCTTTGAGCTTTCTGTCCAGAATACAAAGAATGCGCTCCTGCAAATCTCGATAATTGTCATCCAGACTGCCCCACACACGTCTGAGAAATCGCAATTGCTGGGATGTCTTCGTCCAGCTCGATTCAATTAAAACAAGTCGTTCCTCAATCTCGTTTTCTGCCTCTTTGAGGCTCTTGTACTTTTCTATGAGAATTCTCCCATACCTTGAACCATGAGCACCATCCTAGCTCCACTGCTGGGTTTCTTACTTACTTGAGGCAGACGTCAAGTGTGCCAAAGACTGCGAGACCAAGTTCCACTCCGGTCATAATGGAGAAGCTGAATGCCCTCCAGATAATGGAATAGAAAAAGAAAAACAAATTTGAGACTGGAGAAGAGGAAGAGCCAAAAGCCTCAAATACCTTGTTAAATAATCGGACACGTCAAACAGGACAAGAAAGCTGCTCCTTCACGAGTGGCCATCACAAGTGGGGACCTGTTCTGTCTTAAATGGGCTGTGGCAATTAGCTAGCTTCCTTCCAGCTTTTTGCGGCGATCGGCGTTGCCACCTAGCATCATGATACGTACTATTTGTGAACTGTCGTATAAAGTGGGGGTCTATAACGGATTGCTTCCACTCTCATTGGACCGCAATTTGTCTCTTCAGATCAGCTGACAGATTAGGGGCTACTCAGCCGCACTTGATGCACCATCGGCCTATTTGGCAGAGCCTAATACCATTTCAGCCCCTGTCTGCCAATTTGAGCCCTCACGATGGCAATAATATCTGATCTTGTGAATGATTCCAAGCTGCCTGTTCGTTTTCTGGCAGAAACACCTATCACGGCATATTCGAATCGGATTTTACCGCTATGGCAAAGGACAAGCTACCGGCCAAGATGGGTGACAAATACACACGAGTGGTGGTCAATTGCCTGACTTGTATGGATGAGACCAACGAGGACTTTCGTGATCAGAGCCAATTCGAGGATGAGGATGGAATTTTCCTAGACGTCAAGTATATCGAGAAGGTATGAAAAGCGTTTTGGGACCATCAGATAGTTGCGAAAGAACAAGTCTGATGTGCGATAGATCCTTCTACAACTCAGCGATATATCACTTTAATAGCGGAAGTGGGGATCCATCTCTGAATTTTGTTGTTAATCTTTGTCCTAATGCGAGAAGAAACACCCCTGATTCCAGCTACGTCATCTTTGTGGCCAGCTAAATAGTAATTTCTGGCAAACAATTTACAACTGGGTCCATGTATCAGACTAATAAGCCATTCTTAATTTCTTAAAGTAACGTACACTACTAAATACGGACTTATGAATGGCTGGACTCGTCAATTATGGACCTGCCTGAACTAGAATGTGGGGAACACGTATTCCAGGCCCTCTCATTGGATTACGCTAGGATCAGCTGACAGGCTAGGGGTTCAGGCACAGGGGCTGAGAACACGTAAAGGACGGTCGCGTTCGCGAAGTTAGACATTTTCCAAGCATCTATTTGAGAATCTGTGTGCCCAGGATGCCTATATTATCCGATCTTGTTGATGATTTTAAGCTTATTGTTCGTTTCTCGGCAGAGTACACCTACCATGATGTTTTCGAATCAGATTCTGGAGATGGTCAATTAGTAAGGCGACGTCGGAAGGAGGAAAAATGGAGGAGAGAAAGACACCTTGGGGAAGGGAGCTTTGGTGCTGTTTGGTTAGAACGGTGTCTGTCAGGTGATAGTCAAGCCAAGTTTCGTGCTGTGAAGATGGTACCAAAAGTATCTCCCTTCTCCCAGGTTGTCGATTACACGCGCGAGTTGGAAGCAATTGCGAAATTTTCCCTTCAGAAGGTGCAACGTCCCATCAATGAAGGCTCTGGAATATGTCGCTAATGTTAGTCAGTACAACGGTTTCTTTGTAAGATCATCTGGTTGGTATGAAGATGTGGAACATGTGTTCATCGCCATGGAATACTTCGAGCAAGGCGATCTTCAGAAACACCTAGGCCGGCCACTTCCCGAACGAGAATGCAAACAAATTACTCATCAACTACTTGAGGGCCTTGAACAACTACATGTCAATGGGTTTGCCCACCGAGATCTAAAACCAGCAGTAAGTGTTTCATCATGCTACCGACTAGGAAGGTACTCATTGGCTTAGAATATATTCGTTGTTAGGAGCAGTCCTACCTGGTGGGTTAAGATTGGCGACTTCGGAATCAGCAAACGTGTCAATGACGAAAGCACATTCCTTCGAACGGCGGTTGGTACACCTGGTTTCGTCGCACCTGAGGTTCTGGAATCCGATGAGCCGGATGCTCATTACGATTACAAGGTGGATATCTGGTCGCTTGGTGTCATAGCGCACTATGCGATCACTACAACACTTCCGTTCAGGGATAAGGCCCACTTACGGAGTTATTTACAAGACTCATGTTTTCCCACGTCGGCTTTAATCTCTCGCGGTGTCAGCCTCGAGTGTCGTGACTTCATTATGAAGGGTCTACTGGCTGCAACTGTTACTAGCAGACTGTCCGCAAGTGATGCTCTACGGCATCAGTGGTTGGAAGATTTCTATGCGTCACACACAACAGACATTAATACAACAGATCTAGAAGGACATTCAAGCGATGCTTCTGCCTCACCTAAGTCTACGGACGCCTCAGCAAAATGGAGTGCACTAACTGGGACTGAATACCAAGATGCACCACCAATGATAGGTCAGACTAGCAGAATGGAGGAATTACTTTCGGCCGTCCTTTCATCTCCTAATGGTATGCAAGACCAAGACGATGCCCTTTGGCACAGTCATACAGGGCTTGAATTCTTGTACCAAGCAGGTTCCTCCTTCTATCGGCTTAAACAGTTCAAAGAAGCAGAGACCATGTTCCACCGAACCCAGCAGGGGCAAGAAAAGGTTCTGGGATATGACCACGCGGACACGATCAATTCCGCACACTGGCGTGGACACTGTTTCTATCAGCTCGAACTGTTCGAAGAAGCACACGTCATATTTCATCGTGCTCTGCAAGGGCAAAAGAAGGTGTTGGGCCACAACCATATAGACACGTTCAATTCCACACACTGGCTTGGGCGCTCTCTATATCAGCTCAAACGATACGAAGAAGCAGAGAATATACTCCACCGAGCTCTACAAGGGCAAGAGAAGGTGCTGGGCTATGACCATGCAGACACGGTTAACTCCGCGCACTGGCTTGGCTGCTCTCTCTATCAGCTCAAACGGTACGAAGAAGCTGAGAATATACTCCACCGAGCTCTACAAGGGCAAGAGAAGGTGCTGGGCCATAACCATGCGGACACGTTTAACTCCGCGCACTGGCTTGGCCGCTCTCTCTATCAGCTCAAACGGTACGAAGAAGCTGAGAATATACTCCACCGAGCTCTACAAGGGCAAGAGAAGGTGCTGGGCCATGACCATGCAGACACGGTCAACTCCGCACACTGGCTTGGCCGCGCTTTTTATCAGCTCAAACGGTTCGAAGAAGCAGAGGCCATGTTCCGCCGAGTTCTAAAAGGGCAAGAGAACACCCTGGGCCATGATCATGCAGACACAATCAATTCTGCACACTGGCTTGGTCTCTCTCTTTATTACCAGAAACAGTATGAACAGTCAGAGACCATGCTGCGGCAAGCACTACAAGGCCAAGGGAAGGTGTTTGGCCGTGATCATGCTGAAACACTTTATTCCGCGCACTGGCTTGGCCTCTCCCTCTACCATCTGGAACGATACAAAGAGGCAGAGGTCTTGCTTCGACAAGCTCTACAAGGTCAAGCGAAGGTGTTAGGCCGTGATCATGCTGAAACACTCTATACTATACACTGGCTTGGCGTCTCTCTTTATTATATAAAGCAATACAAAGAGGCAGAGGACTTTCTTCAACAAGCTTTACAAGGACAAGAGAAGGTGTTGGGTCATGACCATGCAGATACTCTCAATTCTGCACACTGGCTTGGTCAGTCTATCTTTAGGCAGAAACGGTACAAAGAAGCAGAGACCATGCTCCGACGAGCTCTACGAGGACAATCGAAAGTGTTGGGCCGTGATCATGCAGACACAATCAATTCTGCACACTGGCTTGGTCTCTCTCTTTATTACCAGAAACAGTATGAACAGTCAGAGACCATGCTGCGGCAAGCACTACAAGGCCAAGGGAAGGTGTTTGGCCGTGATCATGCTGAAACACTTTATTCCGCGCACTGGCTTGGCCTCTCCCTCTACCATCTGGAACGATACAAAGAGGCAGAGGTCTTGCTTCGACAAGCTCTACAAGGTCAAGCGAAGGTGTTAGGCCGTGATCATGCTGAAACACTTTATTCCGCGCACTGGCTTGGCCTCTCCCTCTACCATCTGGAACGATACAAAGAGGCAGATGTCTTGCTTCGACAAGCTCTACAAGGGCAAGAGAAGGTGTTGGGTCGCGACCATGCGGATACCCTCAAATCTGCACTCTGGCTTGGCCGGTCTCTTTTTAAGCAGAATAGGTATAAAGAAGCAGAGACCATGCTCCGACAAGCTCTAACAGGGCAAGAGAAAGTGCTGGGCCATGACCATGCGGACACCCTCAAATCTGCGCATTGGCTTGGCCAGTCTCTTTATGAGCAGAAACGGTACAGAGAAGCAGAGAAAATGCTCCGACAAGCTCTAACAGGACAAGAGAAGGTGCTGGGCCATGACCATGCGGACACCCTCAAGTCTGCGCATTGGCTTGGCCAGTCTCTTTATGAGCAGAAACGGTACAAAGAAGCAGAGAAAATGCTCGGTCGTTCTCTGCAAGGGCGAAAGCAGGTGCTAGGTCAGGACGACGCAAACACACTTCTCTCTGCAGAGTGGCTTGGCAAATCTCTGTATGAGCAGAAGCAATACAAAGAAGCAGAGAAAATGTTCCATCATGCCTTGCAAGGGCGAGAGAAGATCCTTGGCCAAGACCATCCGTCATCACGGCACACCAAAACCTTGACCGACAAGGCACATCGCCGAACTCGATTCCCATACATTTAATTTAGAGCACACCACTTCTATTTGATACCCGGCCAGAATGTTAGCATGTGCATCATATCAAAACGAGAGCGACTGGTTGGTCGCCTGTTGAAGACGGCGGACAGAAAGGAATAATTGTATGTAAACTACTTTGAGTGAGTCATCGTACAATCGAAACATGATAAAAAATGTTGACACTTATAAAAAAGCTAGATTTGATCTAAACAGTCAATAAAATCTCGTACAGCCTGTGTGTGTGTGTGTGTGTTTGAAATCATTTACCCCGACCCATCGCTGAGCGATATGCAGGCTACCGTAACTATATATATCCTTCGATGTACATGTAGAGCGTCCCACTACCTGAAAACGAACTTAGAGCCGCCGTGGCCTGTTGCCGTTTTCGCTGTTAGGCTGCCCTCATGGCGCGCGACTTCAAAACCGTTCTGATGCCTCCGCAAAGTCCCAGTACAGCCTCCACTGTGCTGGTTCGCGTGGCAGTGTTCTCCTTACCTACCTTACCTTCATCATGCCCCCCCAGAAGAATCGAAAAGCTGTTGAATGCGTCGCCAACCTTCGTAGTTCCTGTCGCAAGGTTCTCAGCCGCGGGCAGTCTACGAGCACGTGGACCACGGTTTCTTGTGCACCGCATACACACTTATCGTCCTCGGCGTGACCTCGGAGCTTGCGATATGTTGATAGCCACGAATGTCCCGTTCGCAGTTGTGTCAGCAGTAGGCTCGGTTCCTTGGCAGGGAGCCATATAACCGTCTTGTGTAGGGAGAGGGCAGCGTGTTGTCGATTTTGCGAAGGTGGCTTCCTTTCTCGGACGTCTCCCATTGCTGTTTCCATTGTGTACGGATGCGGTTGCGAATGAACGCTTTTTCCCTAGAGAATAGGGGACAAAATGGGTGTGCTTTTCCTGGGCAGGCTGCGTCCTTCGCAAGTCGATCCGCTGCGTCGTTCCCGGGATCACCACAGTGTCCCGGCACCCATTGTAGGCGGAGAATGTCTCCATCTGCTTGGATTTCTGAGGCTGCCTGTAGGATGGCGTGAATAATTCTTTGTCCCGATTTGTTACCATGGTTCCGGATCGCTTGCAGCGCAGACATGCTGTCGCATAAGATCGTGGCGGATCTTCGTGGCGTGTTTGTTGATCTCTGGGTTTGATGCCTTAGTTTGTAGACAAAGCTGATGGCATAGAAGATTCCGATCAGCTCGGCGACGTGGACGGACCATTGGTCCATCGGTCCGACTTGTATCTGTTGTGACTCGGCAATTTGCTGGTCCATATCAAGCGTGACCACTGCAGCACCTAGGTGGTCATGACGTCCGGATGCATCCGAGTAGACGACAATATCCGAGGTGGACTGTATGGTCTCGGCCCTCTCCATTGCTATCTCCCGATCCGGCTCAATTTGAACTTCCGTGAAAGCCTCCGGTCTCCATGGTGGCAGCGGTCTTGGGTCAATTGTTTCTAGCCTATCTAGCCTTTCAAGGTCCATGGTCTTTAAGGCTTCGGCTAGCGGGAACCGTGAATATGATCCGATGTTGTCTCTACGCTTCTGGGCTCGTAGTAGGGCGGACCATATAGGATGATCGCACGGGAGGGTATGCAGCCTCGTGATAGTACTCTGTGCACGGTGTCAGAGACGTAGGTGTTTTGGCAGTACGTGTGCTTCTACCTCTAAAGTAGAGGTAGCCACGGTTCTGAACGCGGAGAGGATGCGGATAAGTGTACTTCGTTGGATGGTGCCCAGTAGTCGCAGGTGCGTTTTGTCTTTCAGGGGGTTGTGCCACACACGGTTGACGCATAGTCTACCACTGGTGTAATACACGCATGGTAGAGCTGCCTCATTTGCTCCGGGCGGAGCTGTCTGAGTCCGCCGAGCGCAATGTTCACTTTCGTCGCTCTTTTGATTGTCTGCTGCACATGCTCTTTCCAGCGCAATTCCTGGTCGAAGATCACGCCTAGGAGCTTCGCAGTGGTAGACGGTTCAATCACCTTGCCGTTCATGATTATCTGGCCTTTGCATTGCTCGCGTTTCTTCCTAGTAAGGTGGCTGAGTTCGGTTTTCTCAGCCGCGAAGTGGGATCCGGTTTTCCTGGCCCATGCCTCGATGCGGGGGATATCTTCCGACTGAATTTTTTGTAGGTTCGCTTCTGCTGATCGGCCAACGCGCCATCGGAAGTAGTCATCAATGTAGGCTGACACACCGCCGTGGAAGTCGACGGCCTGGTCCACCAAATCAGAGTTGAAGGCGGCAAATAGGATGGGCGAGAGGGGTGAAACCTGTGCTAGCCCAGCACTACCTAGAGGAGCCACCTCGGTCTCAAAGTCGTCGAATCCAATGTTGGCGAAGCGGTCGCTCATGAAGCTGGCGATCCACTTTCTAGCTATGGCTGGTATCCCCTTGATTTGTAGGCGGTGATTGAGGCTCTTCTTGTTGACTACGTTAAATGCCCCTTTTAGGTAGAAAGCAACAAGCGTGACTACCTTTTGCTGGCACCATGCCCGGTCGATCGCGTTAGCTAGCACCAATAGGGCTTGTTCGGTGGTTCGTCCTGGTCTTCCCCCGAACTGGGTGTTCGGCAGTAGACCGTGTGTTTCGGCGTAGTACGACAGGCGCCGCGCCATCACCGCTTCCAATAGCTTGCCTAGTGTGTTAAGCAATGATATTGGACGGTATGCTCCTGGAACTGAGTAGTCTGGCTTTCCAGGCTTCCGTAGTACCACAATCTTGGCACGTCTCCACTGCTTTGGGTGATGTCCCAAGTCAACAGATGCTGGGAAGAGACGGGTGATGAGTTTGCCGAGATACTTCCATAAATGTTTCCAGACAAGGAGTGGGCAGACCGTCTTCACCCGGTGCGGTGGATCCCTTGGCAGCTTTGAGTGCCCGGGAGATTTCAAGCTCAGTGATGGACTTCCAAGGAATCTCCTCCTGGGTTGTGGCTGGAAGCTCCTCCTGGGCGTCATCCATCCTGGGGAAGAACGCGTCCATGAGGGCGCCGGCTTTGTCTTCATTGCTGGTGAGTTCGTTGGCCCCGACCTTCAACGAGGGAATGCCACTCCAGGAATCCCGCGGCTTCATGTACGTTGCGGCCTTCCATAGGTGTCCTTCTCCTGCTTGTGATCTAACTGCAAGGTTACAATACAGATAGTTAATGTTCAACGGGCAGGGATGAAGTCAACACACTACGCAGGTTAACTCACCAAATATGTTCAACATTGGATATGTCCACCGCATTGCCGCATTTGGCAGCATCCTAGCCCAGCCAGGTTCACATAAACGCAATCATATTGACACAATTTTTGTTCAACTTTCACAATATATAACTGTCAATACAACCGCTTCTGTTCACCATAGAGCATGTGAGCCGTGCGGCCGATGTAGTTGGCCGCAGACTTGGGAAGTGGCTGTCTGTTCACCAATTTCTTTAATCCAAGCGCCGCTACGAGTGTAGCCAAGTTCACTTTAACGCAGCCCTGTTGGACGCTGTTCGTTAGTTCGACGTTCAACGAGTGGGAGGGGTTTCAAAGACCATTTGAGCGAACTCCCTAGAAGTGGCCCGCTCACACTACGCCAAAAGACTTTTGAGTGTGTTAGTGGCGTTCAACGCGGATGTTCTCCTTTTCTCAACCATCCATACTTGTGTGACACCGCATTTTGCGCTCACAATCAAATACAGCAATAACTGTGCTGTTTTGTAAAGTTTAACTAGTGCAGCAACCCAAGAACATGTAATTAGGCGAAAATTTCTGGTCTTACTGGTTTACGCCCTCTTGAAAGTCGATCTCGGGCTAGAATTGACATAGGTGCAGCATATTGAACATAATCCACGGCAGCGGCCCAGCAGACTGGCCTGTTATCTTTGGGTGGCTCTAGCAAATCCTGTGGAGGAACATCGATCACGCCATGCAAGTGAGTTGACAGGTCTTTTGAACTAATACTGTGGCTTGTGCAAAGAACATATTGTCATTTCGCACCTGGACAAATTCATGGCTTGACTGGATATTCTGACATGATTGATGGTCATGGGATTGCGGAGTTGATAGCCCGTGCGGCACGCACGTAGTGGCAAATGGAAAGAATATGAATGGTAAATTAAACAACTCTTGCTCGGACTGCTTGACTTTCAATACGGAATCCATCTTACTGGGAAACCATGCTCAAAGGCAGGCTGGTTTCAGACCTGACACAAATTGACAAGCAATCATGGTCCAAGATCACCAACCAAGCTAGCGCCCGAGCCACCTCGCCCAGGCAAAGGCTGGTCCATGTATCAAGATTGAAGTGCCTCATAAGAGATCATTCAGGGAAGTTGGCTCAGCGGGCCTACTCCTGCTGGGCGAAGCCAATCTGCGGACCGGTAGAGTCGAAAACAACGTACTGGCTTTTGAGGAAGATGTCTCCGAAGATAGAGTAACTAATTCCGTTATTGCTCTGAATGCCCCCAAAGCAGGTAGTGCTGCCAGAGAAGACGGGCGCGTAGTTAATCAACGAACCGAAGACAACGGCTTGATAGCTACCGACAGAGATGCTGAAGTCGGGTAGCTAGGCAGAGCAAGGGAAAGTGTACCCCCCAGACTGCGGGTCATTCTGAGCACCGGTAATTTGCTGATAATAGGCAGATACAACGCTATTATCGAGGAGCAGCAGGGTTGTTCCAGTGTCTATTTCGCAGATTAGTATAAATAAGCCAATAGAAGAGGGAGTATGAGTCACCTGCCAGCAATTCCTGTGATAGGAGAACCAGCTACGCCACTGCCAATAGTATAACTGTCGACAGTAAACATCCAAAAACCTTGGGAGCTATTGACTGGTGTATAGGCTAGTGAGCCAGTGAACTTTGTCTGATCGATGAAGCCAAAGTCATAGACGCCAGGCTGGTTATGTTTGAGGCAAGCAGCAAAGAGAGGCTTCGAGAGCTGCGACTTCACAGTATCGAAAAAGGTCAGCTGCTGTTGAGGTGTGACAGTATTGATAGAACTGAAAGCTAGACCCAGAAGGCCATCATGCTTCGTGTCTGACACGAACTGCTGGCTGACCTTCTCAGCAGCTTGAACGGCCTGACTAGTTGCCTGTACACCACCAACAGTAACAGTGTCTTGAAAGACATTGCCACTAGCTGAGCTACCATCACTATACGAAATGTTCCACGTATAGCCACTGAGAGGGGTAGCGCTGCTCGGATCATAGATGCTGTGCCCAGCCTGCTCTGAGGCGGGAAGCTACGTTGAGAAGACCCAGAGATCGGACGAACCAGTGTCAAAGTCAAGGTTCATAACTGTGTTACCAACGGTAACAGGACAGTCATACTCCTCTTCACTGGCCGAAGGAGTGGCTACGACCGTCCCATTCTCAGATGCGGCAAGGACGTTGTCAGGGATCTTGGCACCATGCTTTCCAAGAGCATGGGCATACATGCCTGCAAGATTGACCTTCCTGGGGCCAAATTGGTTCCTAGCCACCTGGTTGACTGAGAAGGTTTTGGACTTCGAGGTACGAGATAAATCGATCGGCATAGCCGATGCGGCCATAGCGAGGGCCAAAGCAGCCACCTCCTTGCTGAAGACAACCATAATAATGTTTGGAGTTAAGGATATACAGATTCACAAGAAAGACGTTTTAGAAATTGTTGGCTACTGTCAGAAGCAGCTAGAGTCGAGGTTCCTTTATGATAAGTATATTTTTTCTGTCTGAGAGATATATTGAGCCAAAAAAAAAAAAAAAAAAAAAAAAAAAGGAAATATCTGGCCTGATACAGTGCGTGGAATACTGTCCTGGCTAAATGACGGGGAAGTTTAGAGATGTCTCAGTTTTGAGCAACTTGTGCAAGAGAAAGGAAAAAAGTCCGCAGGATCCTAGTTCATAGGCGGCGGAAAGGAATTAGGAATACTCGCAATGACAGCTTGGGATAATTTGGCAATTATCAATATCAATTTAGATATTCTCCTTCCTCTACTCATTGCCTGTTGAACGACGCATGGGATGGTTCACACGCTTGGAACAACAAAGTTAGGATTTATCATTTCTGCTGCCCTATTGAACAGACTCTTGCAAATCGAGCTCCTACTATCTCCATGGAGACAAAAATGGCCACTTTCAATAACCCCCAGGCACAAATTAAACAAAAGTGATGAAAGAACCACACAAATTAATCGGCCAACGCAGCCGCATTTGTTAAACACGAGTGTAGCCAATTTTATCTCAGAATTCCTGTATTAGATACACTCTTCTGTTCAACATTGACCGCAATTTTTTTTTCACATTTGACTATATCCACTCTGTTCCAGGTGCAGTTAGCATCACAAGATCTATCCAAGTTCACCTGGTTATGGCTGTGTTGGATATTTCTCTTCTGTTCAACACAGGTCATTATCTATATCGAGATGGTGCAGTTAGGACCAATTACGTGCCTAGCTGGCCATTGCATTTCCTCTATAGGGCGGCGGTCTCTACCAAAAAAAAAATGAAGGTCAACTGCTCATGCCTCTCGATATCGGTTAAACTAGCATTCAAGACGTTTGTGTTCAAAATGCTGGGCCCCTGACAATTCTAGTGCAGAGTCGATTTGCCTGATGGAGAGGACCCAGTTCAGGAAATCACAAGCAAACTATTTACTTACATGTTCCTGGCTTGGTCCACTGTTGAACTTCAGTAGATAGCACAATAATTGCTATATTTCATTCTGAGCGAACAATACGGTTTGGCAACACGCATGAATATTTGAAAAGAGAACAAAAGCCGCGTTGAACGACGCTAACACAGGGAACACACTTTGGGCGTAGTGCGAGCGGCCAGTTCAGGCAGTTCGCTCAACTGGTATTATTCCCGTCAGGAGCAGGCCAATGACCCAAGCTCTCAATCCCCAGTACAGTACAGCTGAGTTAATCCTGGCCTTGCTTTTGGGGGATGAATATGAGGTTGTTGAGTCGAACCTTCTGTAACACGCTGGCAAATATAGCCTGTTTTGGTGTACCTTCATTTGAAAGCTTGCAGGGATGGAATGGGATAGTCACGAGTTCATCGCCTTATCTACCCCCTTATCAGTGGTGACGCGAGGGTGGGTCATGAGTTGAACCCCCGTAATAGGAAAAGAGCATTTTCTCGACTATTTACGCGTCGAAATCGCCGAGATGAACGTGTTGTTTCGTGTCTATCGAATGTTTTGTAGTTTACCTGATCCTTGGAACGAAGTGCGGGCACAAATTGGCTTTCTAAGACTGGGGAAAATCCAGCTTTGGATGTTTGCTGAGTTGTTCTGAAAGCCCCATATGGATATATATATGCACCTGTACGTTGCGGATTTTCTCTGGCAGGTGGGGCTTGCCTATCCGGGCGGCCGCCCTTCCCGTAACGGTGCTCACCCCCCGGCTCACTGAGTAGATCTCAGCACGCTGTTATGCTCAGTGATCATGCTCGGTCCAGTCACGGGAGCACTCAGTGAGCGCTCAGTGCCCAATCACTGAGCGGTCCTGATCTACTTAGTCCACCCTGGTCTATACCAAAACGGGGACATCGTCTCCACAGGGCCGTTTATTCTGTGACGGGTAGTCTGTTGATAGTCCTAGTCCTGCCCTCGTTTTCTTGAGCACTTCATCACATCATGAAAATACGTTTGTGCCGCATGTCGCACGAAGAGTGGAGAAGCTCCGTCCACTCTCTCAAGAAACGGTTTAAGATCGCCTAAGAACTTATCTGTTTGATCCCAGGAGACATTCTGACTTCTAGGAACACACCATATTCTCCTGTGAACCGCCACCATAGCCGAGGAAACATCCATGTACGGGACTAGGAGCCCTAAACCAAGGTCAACAGAGGCTGTGATTTGCTGACCTGTACCAGAAATGGCCCTGTTGCTGCCTTTGGACTCGGGTTACAGTAATTTAAATGGTGTAAGCACTGTCTCCTTAAACAGCCTAGAAATTGAACAGCCAAAAAACAGTGGGGTAAGAACCGAACGGTTGCATGGATATGAGGAACAGATAGGTAGGGTTGAGAAGCGTCCAGCATTCGCAGGAACCGCCATCAGACAGTATCAATAGGGTGTTTAACAACTAACAAAAAGGGTAAGCAACGGCCGATCGGCATTGTCATTGTCGCAATTTACTGAGTTGCGTCACAGTACCAAATTCAGCATCCATGTTCAGCTTTAACAGCTGTGTTTTGCAGGTTGAACACGCTCCTCTACACTGGATATTGTTGGTGAATAGACAGAAAATCGATCCCGGACTCCACTAAACCATCATGACTGCTGGACATTGGTCGAACAGTGCCTTGTGAAGAAGTCATGGATTTCATTGAGGGCGCGATGTCAATTGGTCTCGCACGTTACTGCTGGCTAAGTCTACGAATGTAAGATTGAAAATCCCCTCCATATCAAGACGTGGAATGGAGCATTTTCAAGACAGACAGCAGTTTCAAGCCTACCCCACGGTTCCCATGTCCGCGGTGAGACGTGTAGACATAATACAATACTGCAATATTCGAAATCAGATACATATACTGTAACTAACTTAGTGCTAACTGAACTAACGTAATCCACATGCGAGCCGTCCATTTTCTCCACAGGTATACTGCATAGCCACTAGCTGCAATACACAAACGTTTCCCAGTTCTCATGTACACGCATAGCAATATCATTACATCACTTGTTGCCTCCCGCCTTCGAAACTAACCAGCCGCCGTTCTGCTGAGTCTGGAAAACTCGATCTGGGTCGTACAGTGCATCTCGAAACTGGTGTCACTACCTACACTCTTTCATTGTTTCTCGAACAGAAATGCCAAGACCAGCTAGCCTATGTTTGGGAGTTTTTCCGGAGTACCCCTGTCAGTTCGACCAGTATTGCTTCTTACGTAGATTACTTAGTACTTTCAAGTATGTATTAGCTTGTAAATTCAATACATCCGGCACCTCCATACCCCCACCTCTAAAACAGCCACCCGAGGGAGGGGGACCTTAACAATCAATCACCAGTGGTCGAACCAAGTATGGCCCCAAACCTAGCTCCCTCAAAGCATGAGCTTATCTACCAACACAGGTCATTATCTATATCGAGATGGTGCAGTTAGGACCAATTACGTGCCTAGCCATGTTAACCTAAGGACGACCCTAGTTGAATATTTTCTGTTCACCAGGTTGCCGATAATGATGGCCATTGCATTTCCTCTGCAGGGGTGCCGGGCCCTACTAAAAAAAAATGTCAACTGCTCATGCCTCTTGAAATCGGTTAAACTAGCATTCAAGACGTTTCTGTTCAACATGCTGGACCTATGACAATTCTAGTGCAGAGTCGATTTGCCTGACCGAAAGGACCCAATCCAGTATATCAGAAACGAACTAGATTACTTTCATGTGTCTGGCTTAGTCCACTATTCAACTTTAGTAAATAGGATAATAATTGCTATATTCCATTCTGAGCGCAAACTACGGTTTGGCAACACGCATAAATGGTTGAGAAATGGAGAAAAGCGGCGTTGACCGCTGCTAACACGGGGAACACACTTTGGGCGTAGTGCGAGCCGGCCACTTCGAGGCAGTTCGCTCAAATGGCATTATCCCCTGCAGCATGAAGTAGGGTTGCTGCGAAGCCTAGAGCTATAGAAAATACCATTGATAGAATCGTGGGAAAGACTCAAATGCTCTATACAGCCCAATACACGCCGTCTTCAGACGAAACCTACTACCTTTAAGTTTGCACATAAAGATGCGCTGGCTGCGTGGTACTAGGCTCTGGATACATTCTCGGTATGCGACCTACATCCGAAGGCGTAAATTGCTCAAACGAAATAGATCAAGAAACCTACTACGGCCACTCGTCTCGGGTGATGATGAGTACAGCGCCGATCGTGTAGGACCACAGTACTCAGGAATTGCATAGGATTCTCCCCCTGAGTACCCTTTCGACGAGATCGCTCTCTTCACTAATCCGAGAGACGGTGAGCTCCGGTGCGAACGTTGCCACCGGCGCCGATCCCTAACTTATCACCGAAATCATTGGATGGATCCAGTTGGTTATCCAGCTGTCGGCATCTACTCATGGACGCGAACCTAATGTGTAGAGGTAAGATTTAGCTATCGCCATTCGTATGCGAGGCAATCTATGATATTGAACTAACTTACCGTCCGATTGAATCGCAGAGATGAAACAGACAACTGAATTTGGAGACATGCGGTAGTTACCATACAATGTACTAATTAGGGTCATTAGCTAGTTAGGAGCAGGCCAATGACCCAGACTCTCGAACCCCAGTACAGTATAGCTAAGTTAATCGTGGCCTTGCTTCTAGGGAATGAAGACGAGGTCATTGGGTCGAATCTTCTGTAACACGCGGGCAAATATACTTGTTTTGGGGTAGCTTCATTTGAAGGGTTTGTAGGGATGGAATGGATAGTCACGAGTTCATCTCCTTATCTATCCCCTTATTAGTGGTGACACGAGGGTGGGGGCCATGAGTTGAACCCCCGGAATAGGAAAGAGCATTTGTCTCGACTATTTAGGCATCGAAATCGCTAAGATGAACGTATTGTTCCGTGTCTATCGAATCTTTTGTAGTTTACCTGATCCTTAGAACGAAGTGCGAGCACAAGGTGGCTTTCTAAGATAGGAGAAATTCCGGGTCCGGAGTTCTTGCTGAGTTGTTCTAAAAGCCCCATATAGATATATATATGTCGGCTGATGGCAACGACAGGGACAACTAACACTCTAAATCAGCCCCACTAACTCACACTGACCCTATAAAGCGTACATCCTGTAACAGATCAAGGCCATACTCGCCCCAAAGTCGGATCCTTCACCGCGGGGATGTACATTTTTCAATCCATAGATACCGCAAATACGAAGGCAAAAAGGATACGTTGCTCAGACACAATCCAGTACTTTAGCAGAGACGCAGACTTTTGTTATTGTCATTGTATACTGTAGGAGGAATTCTCATTGGTCCACGGAAAAGATCACAGTAGTGCCATTTGCGGCTATCCTTTTTTTCATCTACAGATTCTTGGCCCTTGGTACAGTATCGTCCAAGATGCAGACACTCGGCTTTCTGGCCACTCGATTGTTGGCTTGCTACCTTGATAGGATACAAAGATGATCGGTGGATTGTTACTCCTTTTCCCATAGTGCCGGTCGTCTAGGACCTTAGTATTCCGGAATTGCGCATGATTCTCCCCCTGAGTACAGCAAACCTTTGAAATCAGTTATACCTCACAGGACAAAAGGAGCGATCATAAAAATCCGGCTGGTGACCCTATGGAATGCTCGCAGCCCCTAGTGCCGCCACGATCGGAGAGAAGAGTCGCCAGACAAGCAAGTCAGCTATGATGTTGACACCAGATGGAACTCAACGTACGTCATGATTGCGGACGCCGTTCTATTTAGGAAAGGGCTTGATTAATTTGCTCTGATTCACCCGGAAGGTCACGCCCTTGGGCTTACCGATGAAGAATGGTGGATTCTTTAGTCGGTGACTGCAGTGACATAACCGTGCCACGAACTTAATCGACTCTTGCCGAATGGCATCCTGTACAGTTGGGTAGTATAATTATAATGTTAATTCAAACAAATTAAGCTATTTGTATGTAAACCTACAAGTTTACAATATGGACTTTCATCTCGCATGGTTGATCGGCCTCCGGCATGGTTGGTCGGCCTCCCGCATGTGACCAGCTAAATAGTGATTTCTGGAGAACAATTTACAACTGGGTCCATGTATCAGACTAATAAGCCATTCTTAATTTCTTAAAGTAATGTACACTACGACACAGTAAATCCGGAGTTATAGATGGCTGGACTCGTCAATTACGGACCTGCCCGAACTAGGATGTGGGGATCACGTATTCCAGGCCCTCTCATTGGCTCATTGGGTTACGCCCGAATCAGCTGACAGGCTAGGGGTTCAGGGTGGCGCAGGGGCTGAGAACACATAAAGGACGGTCGCGTTCGCGAAGTTGGACATCTTCCAAGCATCTATTTGAGAATCCGTGTGCCCAGGATGCCTATATTATCCGACCTTGTTGATGATTTTAAGCTTCTTGTTCGTTTCTCGGCAGAGTACACCTACCATGATGTTTTCGAATCAGATTCTGGAGATGGTCAATTAGTAAGGCGACGTCGGAAGGAGGAAAAATGGAGGAAAGGGAAACACCTTGGGGAAGGGAGCTTTGGTGCTGTTTGGTTAGAACAGTGTCTGTCAGGTGATAGTCAAGCTAAGTTTCGTGCTGTGAAGATGGTACCAAAAGTATCTCCCTTCTCCCAGGTTGTCGATTACACGCGCGAGTTGGAAGCAATTGCGAAATTTTCCCTTCAGAAGGTACAACGCCCCATCAATGAAGGTGAAGGCTCTGGAATATGTCGCTGATGTTAGTCAGTACAACGGTTTCTTTGTAAGATCATCTGGTTGGTATGAAGATGTGGAGCACGTGTTCATCGCCATGGAATACTTCGAGCAAGGCGATCTTCAGAAACACCTAGGCCGGCCACTTCCCGAACGAGAATGCAAACAAATTACTCATCAACTACTTGAGGGCCTTGAACAACTACATGTCAATGGGTTTGCCCACCGAGATCTAAAACCAGCAGTAAGTGTTTCATCATGCTACTGAGAAGGAAGGTACTCATTGGCTTAGAATATATTCGTTGTTCGGAGCAGTCCTAACTGGTGGGTTAAGATTGGCGACTTCGGAATCAGCAAACGTGTCAATGACGAAAGCACGTTCCTTCGAACAGCGGTTGGTACACCTGGTTTCGTCGCACCTGAGGTTCTGGAATCCGATGAGCCGGATGCTCATTACGATTACAAGGTGGATATCTGGTCGCTTGGTGTCATAGCGCACTATGCGATCACTACAACACTTCCGTTCAGGGAAAAGGCCCACTTGCGGAGTTATTTACAAGACTCATTTTTTCCCACATCGGCTTTAATCTCTCAGGGTGTCAGCCTCGAGTGTCGTGATTTCATTATAAAGGGTCTACTGGCTGCAACTGCTACTAGCAGACTGTCCGCAAGTGATGCTCTACGGCATCAGTGGTTGGAAGATTTCTGTGCGTCACACACAACAGACATTAATACAACAGATCTGGAAGGACATTCAAGCGATGCTTCTGCCTCACCTAAGTCTACGGACGCTTCAGCAAAATGGAGTGCACCAACTGGGACTGAATACCAAGATGCACCACTAATGATAGGTCAGACTAACAGAATGGAGGGGTTACTCTCATCAATCCTTCCATCTCCTAATGGTATGCAAGACCAAAACGATGCCCTTTGGCACAGTCATACAGGACTTGAATTCTTGTACCAAGCTGGTTCCTCCTTCTATCAGCTTAAACAGTTCAAAGAAGCAGAGGCCATGTTCCACCGAGCTCTACAAGGGCAAGAAAAGGTTCTGGGATATGACCACGCAGACACGACCAATTCCGCACACTGGCGTGGACGCTGTTTCTATCAGCTCGAACGGTTCGAAGAAGCACATGCCATATTTCACCGTGCTCTGCAAAGGCAAAAGAAGATGTTGGGCCACGACCATACAGACACGTCTAACTCCGCGCACTGGCTTGGCCGCACTCTCCATCAGCTCAAACGGTACGACGAAGCAGAGAATGTACTTCACCGAGCTCTAAAAGGGCAAGAGAAGGTGCTGGGCCATGACCATGCAGACACGATCAATTCCGCACACTGGCTGGGCCACTCTCTCTATCAGCTCAAACGGTACGACGAAGCAGAGAATGTACTTCACCGAGCTCTAAAAGGGCAAGAGAAGGTGCTGGGCCATGACCATGCAGACACGATCAATTCCGCACACTGGCTGGGCCACTCTCTCTATCAGCTCAAACGGTACGAAGAAGCTGAGAATATACTTCACCGAGCTCTAAAAGGGCAAGAGAAGGTGCTAGGCCATGACCATGCAGACACGATCAATTCCGCACACTGGCTTGGCCTCTCTCGCTATCATATGAAACAATACAAAGAGGCAGAGGACGTTCTTCGACAATCTTTACAAGGACAAGAGAAGGTGTTGGGCCTCGACCATGCGGATACTCTCAAATCTGCACACTGGCTTGGCCAGTCTCTTTTTGAGCAGAATAGGTATAAAGAAGCAGAGGCCATGCTCCGACAAGCTCTAACAGGGCAAGAGAAGGTGCTGGGCCATGACCATGCAGACACTCTCGAATCTGCGCATTGGCTTGGCCAGTCTATTTGTGAGCAGAAACGGTACAAAGAAGCAGAGAAAATGCTCGGTCGTTCTCTACAAGGGCGGAAGCAGGTTCTAGGTCAGGACGACGCAAACACACTTCTCTCTGCAGAGTGGCTTGGCAAATCTCTGTATGGGCAGCAGCAATACAAAGAAGCAGAGATAATGTTCCATCATGCCTTACAACGGCGAGAGAAGATCTTTGGCCGAGACCATCCATCATCACGGCACACTAAAGCTTTGGCTGACAAGGCATATCGCCGAACTCGATTCCCATATAATTTAGTGTACAATGCCCATATTCCGTACCAGCCGAAATGATGACTTGTGCATCATGAGCGGCTTCTTGGTCGCCCGTTGTATACCAGCTTACATGTCTGAAACGTGTAAATATATAAACCTTGACCGACAAGGCACATTGCCGAACTCGATTCCCATACATTTAATTTAGAGCACACCGCCTCTATTTGATACCCGGCCAGAATGTTAGCATGTGCATCATATCAAAACGAGAGCGACTGCTTGGTCGCCTGTTGAAGACGGCAGACAGAAAGGAATAATTGTATGTTAACTACTTTGAGTCATCACACAATCGAAATATGATAAAAAATTTTGACACTCTAAAAAAACTAGATCAGCATTAGTTTCGCTGGACGGCCGCTTCACGCCAGCGCTGCAACTTCGTCCTTTACGGGAAACACGGGTTGCGGTGCATGATAGCTTCTGCCGTCGTGGTCGGTTGTAAACCCCTTCACGCCGTTCCTTAGTTTCAGGGCCACAGCGTGCGCAGCGCGCATCACCAGTTTGCCCTGAAATGGAGGAACGGAGTGAAAGGGTCACAGCCGTAGGGCTGCGCGAGGCCTTGCCCTACCATGAAAATCTCCCAACTCCTCCTTGGCTCGGCGAAAAAGATTACGACAAGAGGCAATAAAACAAAAGGAAAACAAAAGGTTCCAATAGCGAGAATCATATGGACTGATTGACAATACCCGCAATCTCAGATTCTGACATCTTCTTGATCCCGAAGAGATCATTGTCAGTTTTATTGAAAAGCGCACCAAACTTGCGCCCGAACGTGACCCGGGAAGTGGCAGAGGAAAGTGACCTCGCCAGATTCTCGTGGCCTCTCCGGCTCTGGTTTTGACTTGTTTGCCTTGCCATGGAAATTTTTGCATCGCCAATGCAGTTACAAGACAGAGGAATGTATTATCATGGGAGCAAGACACTGTATTGATTCTGACACAGGAATATTGATATTCCGGGACTATTCCTAATATAGACTAGCGGATATTGGCATTACGGTTCGAGAAACAATGAAAGAGTGTAGGTGGTGACACCAGTTTCGAGACGCCCTGTACTTCAAGGCAATGTCTTTCAATTTCTTAACGTTCTCTGATCCACAACTAGACAACGGATCCTAGTCGCGGGAAGCATAGTTCGAGTATTTATATGGCAAATAGTTGCCGTTGGCCTTTGCGGTGGCCTCCGCAGCTCGACGATCTTCCGGGCGGCCTCTCGAATCCGCTCCTCGTGGTCGCTGTTCTTATAGTCGGCCATGACGAGCAGCCCGGCTAGAAAGATTCCGTGAAATTTCAATGTTTCGTAATGCATTGGCCATTCTTTTATTATACCATCACCTAAATTCTACAAAATTCTCTGGAGCGATACGGTACCATAACAATGAGTCATTAATCACTGTCAGGCAATATGATACTTTTCTGCAGGGATTGCTGAGGGAGAAACTAACATTAGATTAGCGCGTTTCATGCTAGGGTTCGGAAATTCATCCGTGAGACTATGTCGGTATATCTGATTTCGAATATCGCTGTATCCATTTCAACCAACATCTGAATCCATTCCCATCTCTGAACCCATTCCAACCAACATCCCATTTTTTCCCAAAAAAGGATTACTGTGATGAGTTCAACAGATTTCTCAGTTATAGCAAACGGCAGGTCATTTTTATGGCCACTAGGTTTCGATGAGGTATCATTGAACCAGCAGGTTGTGGTCGATAATTATTTGCGATATGCTTTGAAGTCTTTGCTACGGGATACATAGAGGGAGAAAAAGGAGAGAAGAATCGATGTCTTTGAGTGTGTAAAACATGGAAGCCAATCTGGAATGTTGCTGTAACTTCAAGTGCTCACTCATCTTCATGCCAGCGAGTAACCCGATATATCTCCGAGGAAATTCTAGGCTCTGGATTAATAACATGCCCGGACATAGCCCATGACCCTACAGTATGAAGGGGATTTTTACGATAAGTAACCACATTGGATTAGCTTGTATCTGATTTCGGAATTCCGCTGTAAGAATAGAGAGCCGTAGAGGAATGCATATCCGGAGTTGGGATCATCTCAAGGCGTGCAGATTCGTTGGCGGCGGACTGATCTAGACGGCCGACTGGCCAAACCAGACAACGGTCGATTGTCGGGCGACCAGCGATGAACTCGATCCAGGGACTATTTTCCGGATGTGCCAATAGGCCAAAGAGTACATATCCAGGGTCGAGCCGCCATAGTTGAAGGGCAGCAGTGCGAATGACAAGGGCTGAAGTCAAACGAGTTTGGGCTAAGTATCCTTCATGAACGGCCCCACAGCCCCAGGTGGGTATAGTTGCGGTCACGTGTGGGCGATGTTGGCTGTAAACAAACACCCACACCACCCCCTGCCGTGGAGAAGAAGAACATCACCCTTCCAACACGTTCAAGCGTGCTTGACTCGCCATGTCTTCGGATATTGAAGAACTCCGGCGCCAACTAGCAGATGTTGAACAACGGCTTTCGGCGTCTCAACAGCAGCTTTCGGCGTCACAGCAGCGATTATCCAAAACGAACCTCCCCACGTTTCTCGATGGCCTCCATAAACACCTCTTCCTCGGCCTTGAGGTCCAGCCGGACAAGAGCCAGTCGACGCGTGGGGATCCCGCAAATACGACCAACAAACTTCGCCCCCGATACCTTAGGGCCTGGGACACATTCACGAGCGAACAAGAGGAAATTTGGCGACTGCTGATGGAGTCTTCGCTCATTGAAGATAAATTATTCACTTCGCTCCATACCTTTGAGGAGATGGGTGAAAGCATTCGCCGGCAGCTGATCGGCTCAGAGCTTGACCTGAATCACATTCTTCACCAGACCGTTGAGGACCACGTTTCGAAGATCATCGAAGAACTTTACAAGGATTGCGCCCTTCGGCAAACATTCGGACTAAGAGTATCGGTCCGTTTTGAAAACCATTCCAATACTTTGAGCCCGGAACAGGAACTAGTAGAAGGGTTACGGAGCGTGGATATTCGCGGTCGCCCTACGCGTCGACATTCGCCTCGTTTAGCTGAGCGCGAAGAAAGGGCTTCGAGCGCGGCCACTCGCAAACCGAAGACCACCGCCAGTCCGAACCAAGCGGCCCCGTGCCGATCAGTTTTGTGTTTACAACATCCCAAACGAGATCTCTGAATCTACACATCGCGTCGCTGCCTACATCAAAGAATACAAATCCCCGCACAAAGTGACGCTAGGCCACATATACGAGGGATTGGGGGACATGGACGTTGATGAAGTGATTCAGGAGAAGGATGATGAACCCTCTCGGGTTCGGTTCCAGCGAGCGCTTGTCGGACTCCTTTCGCAGCCATTTGACTATATGGTCCGTGCTTGTACGCAGGTAGGAGTCTTTACCACTGGCGAAGCAGATATCTACCTGCGGATTGGGGAGGACCCTTCCACACTTTTTTTACCACCTTTCCGTTCCAAAGGGAGACGTTGGGCATGAAACTGGATGGGATCCCTATTAAGACCACCCAAATCGTTTACATTTGACTGCGGTGGGTCAAGCTCTCGCTTTTACCCTCCAAGCTCTTAAGTTACGTCCGCGGAGCCAGGCTTGGGGACTGCAAGCAACAAATACGTTGCCAACTTGGGAAATTGTACCTGCGGACATTTTGGACGGTATCTCCGATCAGGAGGTGCCTTCTTCTGAATATCGTCCGCCAAAAACAGAAGAATTTCTCCGATCATCTCCAATACAACTACGCCGCCGGAGACGCAACCCCAGCACGAGTGATTGTCGACCATTACACGTCCATAATAATTCTGATGAGGATGATGACCCTCATACACCTAGCCGGAATCCACACGTTTCTCGGAAGGTTAATCGAAGCCGACCAGTATTGGCCAGCCAAACATCTACTACGGCTGGACGAAGCTCCTTCTCCGAGGAGAACCATCGCCGTTACTGCACGTTGAAGTGTCTAAGCGGATTGGTACATGGAGGGGAATTAGGGCAGTTAGACCAGGCTTGCCCTAATGTCCGTGATCATGGTCACGGAACAACGCGTCATGTTATCAACTCAAAAACGTTCGTCCGCAAATTGCAACGGCAACTCTCCGAGACTGTCAATGCAGATTGTGAGGTCATCGGAATTCACGGTTCTCGAGGCGCCCTGTTGAAAGTGACTCTTACATCACACGGATACACTGTGCCCGCGAAGTGTACCGTGTCGGAGTTCCGTGATCATCTCCGACATGAAGCAGCTGTATACGACCAACTTCGTCCAATCCAGGGCATATACATCCCTCTCCACCTCGGAAGCCTTGACTTAGCTCATCCCTATAGCTACGACGGGATTGCCTATCTCGAGCATATGATGCTATTAAGCCCAAGCGGGCAATCTCTGGACTTAGCACTCAGGGAATTGGGCCAAATTTGTCTCGTTTCCAAATTGACAGAGTCTCTATCAGCGATACATACCCGACATGTCGTTCATAGAGACCCGGCTCCGAGAAATTGGTCGTACAATCCGGAAAGCAAAAATGTGGTGTTTTTCGATTTTGAAAGAGCTAAAATTATCGAGCCTCGTCCGATTTTAGGTATGATTTCACCGAACCGCAAACGCAAAAGGATTGAACATGGTGGCCTGGATAAGAAGCATCGGGATACAGGATTTGCGGAGGAAATAAACAAGGCAGTTCATGAGTTGCGGTGCTTGCGTGTACCGCCACGGAACCAGCAGAACCAGTCATGTGGCCGATGACTATCTTGTGATTCGGAGATGGATAGTATGTTAGGCTACTCGGTAATTCTGTGACACCGTAATTTAAACCAAATGACATGGTTTTCTCATTGGCGTGCTGTGGAATGCTATCCTGGAGGATTTTTCGTCGCAGATCCTTACGAGGATGGTATAATGTCTTTCTTTGTCATTACTTCCGTATGTTTGTTTCTGTACACCGATACCTCGTTCATTTGACTAGACCTCGCTTTGGGTCGTGTTCATGCTTAAGACCTTAATGGACATGATTTATCTGCAAATATGCTTTATTTAGTCAGTGATCAATGTGGGTGTTCAAGGAAAGCGTGGAAAGGGACTTTCAAGTGGAAGTTTTTATCTCATTTCTTTACGAAGTCCCATGACGCCTTTTCAACCGCCTAACCTCAGAGACTGTCTATACCAATCAAAAGTAAATCCAATCTGCTCAGGCTCACCTGAACAAAGTAGACGAAGTCCACGCTTCTCCAAGTCCAGGCAGACTTCCTTTCTAGAAAGAAATTCCTCCATGTTCCTTCGTTACTAAGGCGCTGGATTGCCTTTGGGAGGCCAAAAAGCAATCTAACTGGCTGAAGGGGACGGTTACTGATGACGGTCATGGCTCAGGGGGAGTCAGGGACCGGCATGGCAAAGACCTGGAATCGGGGATCACTAGGAAGAGCAGAAGAAGAAGCGGAGAGGGATGATGATCGTATTCCTAGATTCCCAGAAGGGAAGGTCTATCTACAACGGCGGTGGGCGCTGACACCTCAGGCACCCACTCACCTTCATCACAAACGGCTTTGCTATGGCGATGGTCCTTAATGGTATCTAGCGCGCAACTTCAAGAATTCACCCTCCGTCATTCGTGATTTTCATGGCCAATACCCCGATCTCCCTGGCCCTCCCACCCGTTTATCCGCATGGATCACTGCAGCAGCGAACGACGAATTCCTTGACGACCACCCTGACGACGACAAGATTATTAATGCATGAGGATATGCGCCTGTTTTGGAAGGGGTTAATGTGACGATCCTACGTTTATGGGAAGAGCCGGCAAGAGCTTAGCGCACGTGACATGTTTGTCTTGTTTGCCTTCATCGCTCCCTGTATGATATCACAGCACTCCCCATCTCTTCTTCCTCTTCTTTTTCTGCCCCTCTAGTTTGAAAATTTCGTTCGAATACACTCATCTTTATCGAGAGAATCCTTTCTCCATTTAGTAGTAGTTCTGGTTCATGACATCCTATGTCGTCTACAAGATCCCAAGAAGTTTCTGGGGTCATTCCACCTCCACCTGGCGTTACACCAAATTTCGAACATCCAGTCTCTCTTGGACACAGTATTATAATAGCCAGCGTGATATGTTGGCTGGCAGCAACAATATTGCTTTTCCTACGGTTATACGCTAGGCGTAATATTGTTCGCATTATCGCTGCTGAAGATTGTAAGTAGATTGATCCTGGACAGTTTATGGTGGGGCCACAAGAGTTCATCAATGGAGATAGATATTCTTATTGCCGCATGGGTACACAGCTTCCGAAATTCTCATGTAACAAGAGGGCGCTAATATGACTTGGAGTCAGCTACTGTCTTTAACCCATTCCATTGGTATAATTGTCTGTAAGGATTATCTTACTGTGTCTGCTACCTAATCAACTAACACTACCAGGGGTGCAGCACGGGGCGGGAATCCATTTCTGGGACCTTCCTATTACTGCACTCCATATCTTTGCCTGCGTAAATCATTCTTTCTCTCCCTATCCAGGAAGACCGCGTCTAACGGCTTCATAATTAGATGTCCATCGTTGAATCCGCACTGTACGGTGCCTCTACCTTTTGTACCAAACTTTCGATATTATTATTTTTACTTCATCTTTCACCGTATCGCAGATTCAAAGCTCTGATATACACACTCATGATGTTTCTGTCTGTGTACTCTGTGATCTCAGTCTTGCAATTTCTTTTTCTCTGGGACGCCGTACCGAAGACACGGGATTTCTTAATTTCAAGTGGGTCTTGCTCCGGGCCGCTTCCATGTTGTGCGACGATTGCTGGAATCAATATGGGAACTGACATTGTGATACTGATTATACCTGTTGCAATGGTCTGGAACCTACAGTTGACAACACGGGTGAAAGTGGGAGTAATACTTATTTTCACACTTGGCTCATCGTACGTCAGAAATATATGGTGCAGCAAAAGACGATTTGCTGATATACAGACAGCGTCTGCATTGCTAGTATTGTTCGATTTGCGATCCAATTGGCACTATACGACTACCCAGATTATTCGTGGATTAAGGCAAAATTTTTACCGCTAAAGTACCGATCCGAACCCCTTGATCTGCGCTTTTCCAACTCTGTAGATGACTATAGGGCTGACTATTTGATAGTACCTTTGAGATGAATCTTGGGATAGCATGTGCATGCCTCCCACATCTGAAGCCCTTAGTCCGTCGACTTGTATTAAAGCTGAAGCGGTCACAAGGGACCGGACGTACAAGTACAGATATTCCACTTGATTCCTTCCCTGATCATACATCTGCTAATTTATCGGCGCCAGGCTCAAGAGAATTGCAGTCTGGCAGGGACATGGAAAGCTGAGATTATGTGTAAATAGTTGCCGGCAGAATAACTTACGTTGTTCTTTTAAAGGGAGAAGGCCACTGTACTATCAGGACACAGACGTGTGTTCCCAGGAACCATCGCTTGCTCCCAGAGCCGTATAACGTCTTCCCAAGGGACCTGCTGATATTCCCAGGAACCATAATCTTTCTCAGGAAACCGTTTAGATCTCCCGAGAGCTGATCTCTTTGATCCCAGGAGACGTTCTTACTCCCAGGGACACACCATATTCTCCAGTGAACCACCACCATAGCCGGAGGAAACATCTGTGAGGGGCCAGGAACCCCAAGCTACGATCAGTAGATGTCCGCATGGCCCATGGTGATGTTATGAGCGTACCCAGGGTATCAGGGGGTGGAATTTCACCCAGAGCTCTGATATACGAGGCGGGAAAGAAGGGGGGAACAGAAAGTGGAAGTCATCGTCCGCTCACTGCAGTAGACTTCTGCCAAGGGCTGTGATTTGCTGACCCGCAACAGTAGAATGACCCTGTTGTTGCCTCACGACTCAGGTTAATCAGAGGCGGTAAGAACTGTCTCCTGCCACTCCTTTCCTAGACTACCCGTTGAGTTTGCCACAGCCAACTGAGGACTTCTATGCCAGTGGCCAGGGGAGATTGCATCATTACCCCGAGCCATAGAGGACCAAGGGGTTAGCTCGAATTCAACTCCAGGCGTCTACAGGGTCGTAGGCACCCGGCAACATCAAACATGACCCACACATCATTTTCCAACTGTGACTGTCTCATTCTTCTTCTGCCTGGCTACTGGCGTGCGTGTAAATAACGCTACGGCTGTCCTGCGCGGCCTAATATACTTGCTCGTCGACAGGCAGGCATCTCTTCTCTCTCATTTTCGGCGACGGTATGATCAAGCGGGGAAGCAACTCTTTGAGGACGTAAACGCGTGGGCGGCTTTATCGAAGACATTCATAGATATCCTACAAGACCCGACCTTACAGAGTACCTATCTAATCATCGACGCTCTCGACGAATGCAGCACCGGGTTATCCCTTCTACTTGACCTAATTGTCCAGAAGTCGTCTGCTTACCCACATGTCAAATGGATTGTCCCCAGTCGTAACTCGCCCCACATCGAGGAACGCCTGAGCGCTGCGGACCAGCAAGTAAACCTTTCGCTGGAGTTGAATGAAAAGTCCGTCTCCGAAGCCGTTACTACATACATCCAGCACAAGGTTCAGGAACTTACGAGCCTCAAAAAAATACAATAATGATACTAGTGACGCTGTTTCCCATCATTTACTCTCAAACGCACATGGTACCTTCCTCTGGGTGGCCTTGATCTGCGAAGTGTTTGTAAGACCAGACCATGGAAGACTCTCAACTTGCTGACCACATTTCTACCGGGGGTCGAACCCTTCTCTTGGCGGATGATCGAGGAAATTCAAGGTTCAGGAGATGCAGAGCTTTGCAAACGTATCTTAGGCGTCGTTCTGGCAGTGTACCGGCCTTTTACTTTAGACGAACTACCGGCTTCAGTCGATATGCCCGATGACGTCTCTGATGACTATCGATTTCTCGCCGAAATCGTAGGGGTCTGTGGTTCGCTCCTGACACTCCGTGATCTTTCGGTTTTCTTCGTTCATCAGTCCGCAAAAGACTTTCTGCTCAATAAAGCACCAAATGAGATATATTCCGAAGGGATTGGAGCCGAACACCACAGCATTTTTTCAGGTTCCGTACGAGTCATATCTAAGACACTTCGGCGCGATATCTATAACATCAAGCAATTCGGATTTCCGATTGAGCAAGCCAGTTCCAACATCTGAACGTATTTCAACCTCTGACTTCATCCCGACATCTTTCCAACTTCTGAACCTATTCCATTTTCTGAATCCATTTCCTCCGAATCGAGTCTCCTCAATACGTTCACAGATAGTGAAAAGCTGGGTGGCAATGCGGCGCAGATTTCATCTATCGATCGGTTTCTTGGCAGTGGGAATGATCGAGGCATATCAAGTGCCGTGCGGGGGCGTGGAGCAAGTGCGCTTAAACATCTGTTCTGTTTGTATACGCCATTATAATTGACTCCGCTGACTTGGTGGTATTTACACAGTCTTGGAAAAGGTCTTCGATAATACGCAGTTACATGCTCCACCAAATAAGTGAGAAATTGAGGTCACTACTTGGTTTGAAACATGTTTAGCTACAGTAAAGAGCAGTCCTTCGTTGTTGAATGGGCCACAGAACCCACCAGCTTCCCTTCGATGACGTCTGGTCAAGGATGGAATTACACCATATTTCCCTCTGATGCGGCATGGAACTAGTGTCGAATTCAAATGGTGCCATGGAATGTCACCCAAGCGTATCAGAACTTGTCGGTCCTGGGAATCGCCTTGACTCTCATCATCGGTGGTATCATAATTATTGTCGACATGACGGTGGATACGGTCGTGGGATGGTTCCATGGTCGAAATAAAAGATCGGCATACAAGAAGGATCAATGGCATGTCGAGGAAAATTTACGGCTGCACAAGGTTGCGTATTCCACCATGGGCGTTCGGCGGCAAGTTGACTTACCACCGAGTTCGACCCTTCTTTCTGCCTATCCTGAAATCGTCTAATAATTGAAGATATCATACGTATTTAAGCATGGAGGGCTAATAATAGGTGTTGCTGTTCATTGAGCCAGAAGAAAGAGGCCATTTGCCGCCCGCGCCCACGTATTTTTGAAGTACATTTTACTATCCTCAAACATCGCGCTTATTTACTTAATTACAGTAGCAGCTTCATTAACTGAAGAGAATGCGTGCGTTCATTCCCTCGTGTGCTTGAAGTCATTGATTGGAAAACAGGAAGAGAACCAGCTAGTTGATAGCGCTATCAACGTTAGCCGAGAGGTCGGGGACAGGAGCGGCAGCGTGGAGCCTAGGAAGTGGAGGCCTGGGAAATATGGCAGCTACAGAGGTGATCCTGGGTAACCCAAATCTGGGAGCAGAACTGGAAAGGAGTAGTTCTAATGGTACAATAAAGATCTGGTTCCGTCTGTTCCGGTCCGGCCCGAATGGAGACTCAGAAATAGGAGGGAAAGAGAGGCGACCTTGCCAGACCCCTAGAACTCCCACTCTGTGGACTGGTTGCAATGAAGATTCTACATGATGCCACGGAGCGATACGGTATTATGACAATGACTCATCGATCACTTTCAGGCAATACAATACCATTCAGCAGGGATTGCTGAGGGAGAAACTAAGATTAGACTCGTGGGTTTCTGATTAGGGTTCGGGAACTGACCCGTGAGAGTATGATGGTGTACTTATCTGATTCGAAGAGTGCTGTAACATACGATGCCTCAATCTCCAATAAATCGTAAATGCTCGCGCCGCAAGGCGTCCGACCTGGTACCGGGTTCGTGGACGGTTGATGGAGAGCACGTCAGGCCCGCCACTCGGAGACAACGATACGGCCCACCGAGAACCAGACGCGCGGTCGATCGCTTTTCACCCGTTAACCTGAGTGGAGGAACAATAGAGGAATGGAAGGAACGATGGAGGGAGCGATAGAAGGAGCGATGGAGAGAAACCTCAGAGAACGAAGAAGAAAGAATTCATCGTACTGCGCACGGTGGTTTTCTTGTCACTTTACGAAGGCCCCTTGTATACTTTGAATACTGGGATACAAATTTGACCAAAGTCCCTCATGACCTCTGCGAGGCGGTGCTTGATTATTATCGTGTTGGCCGTGCCAGAACGGAACGAAGCGGATAACGCGAGATTTTGCCCTTTTTTGTCTTTTTCTTTGTTGAATGAAGTGTACGCGGTGGGGGCCGGGCGTGATAAGCTTCCCTTCGTTTTCACCTAGTATTATGATACCTTCATTTTTTTTTCTGTATTTTTCTTCCCCTTTCTTTGTGCAGTGTTTGGTTCCAATGGATAAACGACCCAACGAAATACTAGAAATGAGTGATTTATATGCAAGTGTGTGGTCAAAAATTGACTTTAAGCCAAGCGCAATGCGTCGTCAGCCAGAAACTGGGAACCGTGGTCCCCGTCTGAACTGATCACCCAGGGTCTGGCCATATATAATCCTATAGTATCAAACTTATGCTGCTTCCTGTTGAAAGGGCCGGTTCCCAAGTCCAGGGTATTCTCGTCCACTTCAAGGATACTATGGGGGCACGCCAGTATGCATGACCATGGCGCTAAGACGACCTCACCGCAAATCACGGCAGGGCTGTGTGGAATGCAAGCGGCGGCGAGTCAAGGTATTTATTGAATTATTCGACTGCTGTCTTTATTCCTTTCCAGTTTGTGTTAATAATTGGATGGTAGTGTGATGAAGCCCGGCCGACGTGCTTCAATTGTGCTACGCGCCATACTGAGTGTGAGTATGGCTCGTCAACCTCGTTACTGTGGGCAAACGAGGACCGTGCTTCTCGCCATGTGTCTCATGGCTCCGGGTCAGACACCGGCCAGCCCGGCGAGTCCATCATGAGCAGTGTTGGGACGCCGGACTCGTCGGGGATTTTGGGCCAGATGCGCGACGAGGACCAAGAAGCGGCTTCACCGACTCCGATTCTCAACGCGGCCGACCTGGAGCTGATGATTCAATGGTGTAACTCGACCTACGAGAACCTGTCGCGCAACGAGCTCACCGATCCAGTCTGGCGGTACGCCGTGCCTAAAGAGGCGCTCTCGCATCCGTTTCTCATGCACGGCATTTTGGCCCTGTCATCGTTACACCTCGCCCGGACAGGCCCGGAACAGGCTCGGCGGGCGTCATATCTCGGCCGCGCCGTGGCACACCAGAACCAAGCGCTGGCGCTCTTTCTCGGGGTGTTAGCGGACATCAACGAGACCAATTCCAAGGCGATATTTGCCTTTGTGGGAATTGTGGTCGTGTATACATTTGGATTCCCCCATTCCCCAGATGTGCAAGACCCCTGGAACTACGTGGATTATTTCTACCAAGTTCTCGTGCTCTCTCGTGGTATGCAACAAGTCGTACGATCTATTACCGACATGATCCCCGGCAGCGCCTTTGCGCCGCTTTTACATCGGGTTGAATGCCACGCGCCATTAACCGACGAAGACAAGGCCGTCGTCACCCGGCTGCAGGAAGCGAACCATATTTGCGGGCTGCGCGACGCCCATCACGAAACGGACGTGTTCGCAGCGACGATTGACAATTTCGCAGAAATGCTAGGCCTGGTGCGCGGTGGCGTGACGACTAGCACGATTGCTGGTTGGTGGGCGATCATATTGCCCCAGAGATTCCTGGAGCTGCTGCGGAAACGAGAACCCTTCGCACTCGTGATATTAGCCCATTATAGCGCGCTCTTGCAGTATCTTAAGCACCAGTGGTGTTTTGACGAGTGGTGTGTGCGGGTGGCCAAAGCTGTGTGGGCGGTGTTAGATGATCAGTGCAGACCCTTGGTGCACTGGGCGATGCGCGAGATCCTTGGCCAGAATTACATCGATCAAGTCTAATCAGCGGTAACTGGAAAAACATAACTATTTAGAGATAATTATTCCATTAGTATACTCACAGGCAAACATTAACCTGAAGCCCGACTATATGGACTCCGGTCGGATGGATGACCACAAACATAACCGAGTGCAACAGGATCCCGCTAAAATCAACAAATTAAACGTAACAAGAAACTAATATTTACTTGCCATGACACCATTATTATGAACTTAGCCAAGAAGGTTCTGGTTTGTATACTTCGCACATTTAGCCGGATCCGGTCAAGTTTCAATGAAGGATGACGCTTGTGGCCTCGGCCAAGCCAGCCTTGTCTTGGCATCTAAAGCCAATCGGTAGTTTTCCGCCGAGAAAGAAAAACAACTTTAGAATGACTCGTATGCTTTCTATCCTGGGGCTAGTGACTGGGTCGTGCTACCACAAGGCTACGCCCTTATATAACCCAAGTTGGACACTCGGTATATTTCCACGACCACTGGAGCTATGTACAGTCAGTCCGCCATGGGCAGGTGTCTTGTGGGGAATAGGGCAAGTCGGCCGAGTGGGCGAAAATACTTGAAAGAATGAGACACACGCTCTGATGCATGAATTATTGAAGCCGACCATAGGACCCGTGGTTCTGACAAATCGCTGAGCCGCTCTGCAACCCTAGTGCCACTCTCGGCCGAAAAGTGCAACGCCATATTAAACAACCGCTATCGAAAAGCTTGGCGAAAGCTTAAAATCAGCCAATAACGTCGACGAACCATGGATGATACCTTTTGCAAATTAATGATAGAACCCACCTTTTGCTGCTCTTGTGGGGGGTCGAAATTGCCATTTTGAACGAAATTGTGGAAGTAGGTACTGTGAAGGAACCTGCTGTCCTCTCCAGCGAAAGATCTCGGATCATGGGGGTACCAAACGCCTTTTAGCGTCGGGTTTCTGACTTTTATTCAAAAACGTGCATTTATAGTTCTCTGTTGTCAAATAACCTTCAAATTTCTGCATTTTCCAAGATTGCTATCATCTGAAAGGGCTTTGACTGAAAACAGTTCTGAGAGGACAAGGCTGCTACAATCAGGAAGGTATGGAGGGAATGGCATAACTCGTGGAGCGAAGAGCGTAATTTCAGACATTGGAGAGCTCGGAGAACACTGGGATTTCGCAAGGGTTAGTGAAATGACAGAGGATAGAGAAAGAGAGTCCTATGTCGTCGACCCCTAGCCTGACAGACCGTTCTAAGAGAAAATAGTTGAAAAATAATGAAATTGAAATTTTGGATTCGGGTTAAAAAAAATTTAGGGAGCACCAACACCCAAAGCGAGATTTCTGCGGCCAATGGGGCATTATTGGTTTGTTTTGATGGAGAATTTCTTCTCAAGCCGACAGAATAGGCAAGTCGCTTCCCTCAAGGTACTCGGGATGGCCAGTATAAATTATCCAACGGGGCATATCCTATGCCCACCACCTTCACCACTCAGCAGTTTATCCAAGCAGGCATGTCTTCCTCATTTGATCCCTATAACGTCAACCTGAGCACAGTGGATTTCGCCAAAGTGGTCTGCTGGGTCCAGGACACGGGCAATGATTACGATGGCCGGCTTGGTGCTCGTATTTCTTCCATTTTTGTTATATTTGTTATCTCGACAGCGGTTACCTTCTTCCCTGTGATCGCGAAACGAGTCCCGCGCCTGAGGATCCCCCTCTATGCGTACCTGTTTGCTCGTTACTTCGGTACGGGTGTGATCATTGCCACTGCATTTGTTCATTTGTTGGATCCTGCTTACTCAGAGATTGGTCCTAACTCCTGCGTTGGAATGACGGGCAACTGGGCTGAGTACTCTTGGCCACCTGCCATTACATTGACTTCGACGATCGTTGTGTTCCTCATGGACTTCGGTGCAGAGTTATATGTTGAGTCAAAGTATGGAATCATGAAAGAATCAGCAGTTGGTATTGTTCAAGAGACACACGAACATCAACCCTCTGGGGAACTTCCAACTACGTCGCTCGAGACGAAGCATGACTCGGCATGGGACACTCAAGACTTTTCAGACTCTGCGGCAGCGGAGAGATCGTTCCGGCAACAGATAGCCGCCCTCCTCATTCTTGAATTCGGTGTCATTTTTCACTCGGTGATCATCGGCCTGAATCTTGGAGTTGTCGGCAGCGAATTCACAACCTTGTACCCCGTGCTCGTATTCCACCAGAGCTTCGAAGGGTTGGGTATTGGTGCCAGAATGTCCGCTATTCCTTTCAAGCGAAAGAGCTGGCTTCCTTGGATCCTATGCATGTTGTACGGTTTAACCACGCCCATTTCTATTGCAATTGGACTTGGCGTGCGAACAACATACGATCCAAATTCGATGACAGCGGACATAGTTTCTGGACTCCTCGACTCGATCTCAGCCGGTATCCTGATCTACACTGGGCTTGTTGAACTGCTAGCTCGGGACTTTTTGTTTGATCCTTGCCGCACGAACAACAGGAAACGCTTAGCGTTTATGACTGTATGTACAGTGCTAGGTGCTGGTATCATGGCACTTATCGGGAAGTGGGCATAGTTTTCCCGTCATTACCTCCTGTGACAATCTTAACGGTCTCACCTTGACGGGAAGAGCTAGTAAGAGGTCTAGGTATATAACGTGTTTATTTTGTTTGACTTATTTATTGCTATAAAAAATATCCACCCCTCCTTTATCTCCTCTTCTCTTCTTCTCTTTCCTCTCTAGTTTCAAAGTTTCGTGAGAGTACACTCTTCTTTATCGAGACTATCGTTTTTCCATCAAGCAGTAGATCTGGTTCATGACACCTCCAGGCTGATGACAAAATCCACAAAATTCCCAGACAGTATATAAACGTTCAAGGGATGACTACATAGTAAATTGGTATATCATCTACTAATTCACTACCCACCATCCACCGCCTTGCACATGTTGATTCTTTTGACCTACTTAAGCACCTAAGTAACTAGTTGCACATAAATCTCTCAGTCTCAGATAGCGATATTGACCTTTGTCCTAAACTTTATACCAGAAAGCCTTGGTTATTTTTAAGCTCTGTGGTGAAATAAATCCCTGTCCTCATCAGTAGGCCGTAGACTAAGTTAACTAATTTAATAATTACACTAATACCTCTGATTACTGAAATTTGACGCGTCTAACCAATAACCGCGCTAAATGTGACTAGCGAACAGATTAGGGGATAAGGAAAATGACCGCTAGTCCATTAGGGAATGGTATGAGAATTTGGTGCACGAGAACTTTTGGGGACCGTGCAATGAATTTATTTGACAGAAAAACGTGGCAGGCCCCCTATCTAGTACCAGTCGATCATTGGTCATAGTGAGGCGCAGCATCGATAACCTTATCTGGCCGCACTAACCCAAAAATGGAAATCCCCCTGCCTCTTATCGTCCCTCTAGTAGGGGACCATTCCAAATATGGCTCTTACAGTATTCTGCGGCACAGTGGGCCGTAGGAAATAACTGCTAGTTATCGGTGCATACTATCAAAGTAGGAATAGGCAGCGTATCGCTAGTTTATTACCATGTAGTCAAGATGTGACAACGATGAAATCGATGGTATTCTTTCTATCTATCGTGTCTGTATTTATAGTAGAGAAGCGGGAAAACTCAGTGAGATCGGCCCACACTGGGGCACAGTGCTCCGTATAGGCCGAATGTTTCAGATGTGTCAGCGTCAGAATCCGGCTGTTGGACAATAAGCATTAATGTTGGAATCCGAAGAGTGTAAATGCGAATGCGAATGCGAATGCGAATGCAAGGGGTAACACACTTGTTTCTTTCGTGATTCTTGGATCGCTAGAAATCAGCAGGTAGATAATTACTCCAACATATACTCCAACATATACAATAAAAGCATCGGCCGAATGTTTCAGGTGTGTCAGCGTCAGGATGCGGCAGTTGGATCACTAGTAATTACCAGCTGGATAATCATTCCGACACTTGAGAATGCAACTATAGAGTTCGTAATTATCGGGGTAGCTAAAGGCAGCTAAGGAGCTCTGGCTCCTGCTATCACTCACGGTCGGACTATTGAACATATAATACGTGGGTCTAAAGCCAGTGGATTGATCTATGGGGCTCCTTCAAAAGTGACGTATTTGATTGTGGTGTCCGTGCGACATGAGATCCATGGTCAAGCAAAGCAGATGACACTGTTCCTAACAATGTGGATTTAAGTATCCACTAGGATTGTGCATTTCTTTCCAACTGGGGCTCGTTTTCCCGGTTATTCGCCAACTTTCAAGTGTTCAGCGACGGCAAGACTTCTCACACCATTTATCATTTCTCAAGATTTCTTCGTGATGGCCTTTACCTCTGCCCAGCGGAGGCAGATTCTCACGACCCTGACAATTTCTCTGCTGTTGGACTTGGTAATTTTCAATTCGATCTTGAACAATTGATGCCATCCTTCATTCTGACTATTTATGCATTTCACCGTGCTTAGATCTCATTTACCTTAATCCTCCCTGTCTTTCCTTCCGTCCTAAGTTATTATCGGACAAAAGAGAGCTCATCTACGAGCCTGCTCAATCGAGTCTTTCACTACTTGAACGCATACAAGAACTTGTTCTCGAAACCCATCGACTCGACTTATGACATTATTTTACTTGGCGGAGCTTTCGGCTCTGTGTTTTCTTTCCTCCAGGCTATAGCCTCCCCTGTTATTGGACAGCTCTCAGACCAACATGGCCGACGCAAGGCTCTGCTTTGTTCCATGACAGGCAACATTTTGAGTGTCTGTCTCTGGGTCGGCGCGACGGATTTTCGGATGTTCATCGCGAGTCGCATTGTTGGCGGTCTTAGCGAAGGCAACGTCCAGCTCGCCAATGCAATTATTGCAGATATCAGTGATGAGAAACAGCGGGGATCAGCCATGGCTCTTGTTGGGGCATGCTTTAGTCTCGCGTTCACCTGCGGTCCGGTCCTAGGTGCAACGCTCGCAAGTATCAACATGGTGGCTTCAAACGAATTTGCTGTGGCTGCTGGAGTCTCCCTGGTTCTGGTCGTTATGGAGACAATATACATATACTTCTCTCTACCGGAGACACATCCACGTTTGAGGCACTTGCAAGAACATTCCTCTGTGGCTGCCAAACCAAGCCATAGTAGCAAGTTCGACGTCACAACACCGGCTGTGGTCAATGGTGGTGTATCAAAGGTCTCCACAAATGGCCACGCATCGTCTTCTTCCGCACGTCAAGAGAAAACCACCAAGACAAAACCTCGCAATACGTTGGTTTTGAATGTTCTCCATCTCCTCTTTCTTCTTCCTTTCTCCGGACTGGAATTCTCCCTTCCATTTCTCACGACGACACTATATTCCGATCAAGCAAAAAGCATCAACCCCTCTGCTTTAAATGGGCGTCTTCTTTCCCTTATGGGCCTCATTGCTTCTTTGCTTCAAGGAACAGTTGTTCGACGTCTACCACCGATTGTGAACATACGAATCGGCGTTGTTGCTTGCGCAATTTCATTTTTCCTGCTTGCACGCGTGTCTTCAATCAGAGGTGTCTATGTCGCTGGTATTTTTCTGGCTATCACATCAGCTACAGTAGTGACAGGCATCAATAGTCTAGGTAGTTTAGTGGCGCGTGAGGGTGAACGCGGACTTGTTCTTGGCCGTCTACGAAGCTGGGGCCAGGTGGGCAGAGCCGTGGGACCATTGTTCTTTTGTTCGCTGTTCTGGTGGGTTGGAAGGGAGGTTGCCTATACAACGGGGGGCGTAATGATGATGGGCGTTGCGGTGGCTGCCTTCACTATACTGCAGTCGCCTCAAGTCAGCAGATGATGTATATTTAGAGAGTCATTTTGGTGGTCCGCATCCTACCTCAGTGGCAAATGCGCAGTGGGTCTTGTTCAATAGAACCTGTCAATCTCTCAACGTCCTGCGATTGTACCTCTTTTTACACTGATTTTTCAAGTCTATGATCATTGTCTATCTGCGAGCGAAGTGATAGCCAACATCAAATTTTTACACCATGCCCTGCAATTCTTAATCATCGATTTATTTTGTGATTATATGATTCTAGTTCGACTCATCGTATACATTCCGGTCTGACAATAACAATTCTCTCCCCCAATTCAGCGATGACAATCTTCTAGACCATGTTGCGCTCCTAAGAATATAGTCTTGTTTACTAGCCCCTTAATCTGTTAATGTGGCTTCAGAGAGCTACGAGGGCGGGGGCAATTGGATGAAACCGCTTGAAGATCCACTGTTGTATTCTGTAGTAGGACGAACCGGAGCCATCTGTACTCAGAGTGGACGACTAAGAGTTTACTTGGGTTACCGCTAGGCGCACCTATTAGAGGCCTTCTATGAGTGTACAAGGTCACTGCATTTACGCTAGTGCTAGGCATGTTGTGAGCGAAGCCAAGTGCTCAACGTCTGGGCTACTAAGGTTACAGTGTGGCGAAGGCCCGAAGAGCTTATTCGTAGGAGCTCGCGTGAAGCTCCGACGAACCAGACCTGCAACAGGATAATCTTTAGCGGTCTAGTAGCTACTCCCCTCAATCCTTCACGTTGAGTGAAAGAAACAGTCGCAATCCTGGGAACCCGACGATGGTCGTTACTCTCTAGGATTACTCCTTAGCTTATTATCGCAGTATGGGAGGTCAATGCTACCCACTACCACGATATATATTCGAGAACTTCCTCACTAGGACGCTAGTCTCTACTATTCTTTCTCTGCCATCGATTCCTAGAAGCCAGAGACTACATTTTGATTATATTATAGTGAGTTCACCTTTTATCTTCTTCTTCCGTTCTGATCTACTAATCATACACTAGCTTGGAATTCCTACTGTTCACGATAGCAGAACTAACTGCTATCACCGGGTTCACTATTATTGCCGCAGAAACTGTATAACAGAGAATTTTCCACCTTATGCATGACATAATAGACACCGAACATACACCGGAGGTCATTAGAAATCTCACTAACCAATTGTCTTCTGATAGAACTACCTTGCGGTGTTTAACGTCGGCTGTTAACTAGTCAACCCCTGGAAGACTCAGTCGTATAGTCCAATATCATCTCTATTCAATAGTATCAAGCTGCGAGAATGCATGCGATAACTTTCGGAAGATGTCTAGGAGACGGACTAGTCACTCAAATAACGATACTGTGCACGAAACGGATCATGGCCGTCTTAATGGTTTTGAAGAAGCAGAAGTAAAACTACTAAGCCAACGACTAGAAATTTCGAAAGCTACAACAATAGAAACGTCGCACTGTGTGCAAAATTGAAACATAATTTGAATTCAGACGACTAACTCGGCACCCACAGGCTTGCCATTCTTTCCACGCCACACAACGAAGCTAATGATAAGAAGAATATATTTTCGGCCAACGAGCACGTTCTATTAAAGACGATCGAAGAAACGAGGAAAGATAAAGAAGTGATGCAGAATAAGTTACTGGCACTCGACCATATTGCCAAGGAGATTAGGGAACAGGCTTCAGAATTACAACGTTCACGACAATCCTTTGGAAGACTATTGTCTGAGATTTGTCAGCCACAGGGTGGATAAGAATTCAATCCTACAGAGGGTGGTCAGCTTCTTGTGGGCACTATTAACGCTCTTCCACTCGATTTTCGGTTTACCTGGCGCTTTAGCGATGTTTCTGCGAGTGAAAACGGGCGAGGTGTTGTTGGAATCGTACACGACATTGAGCTGAACAGGTTTTTCCGTTGGACTTTTTGCCGTGTATACTGACTTTGCCATAAGATACAGCTGATTTAGTCATGGTTTCATAGTTCCAACACAACACAGGCCTATTGTGACCAGACTGATGTTGCGTGCCTGAACGGTGCCTGGCAAACTGATGCATTGGGCACGTGATATGGTTTCTGTAGATAGTTGGGACTCTCTTTGTTCCTTCTTCTTCTTTCCTTCCCCAACTTGGAAGTCCCGTCGTCCATAGCACTCAAATTGAATACCTTCATCGTTTTCTCTTCTGACCTGGCTGCCCGGTCAGACCTATTTCGGATCCGATATGTGAAGGGCGTCCCGGTGCCTTCCACCTATCTTTTCAGCACTTCCTAGTGGGCGGACAGAAGAAGAAGTGTGGGGGACTTTAGCTTACCACAAGAGCAGGTCACTAGATAGTCTGTATGCTGGAACCTCTCGTGGTATGCCGCGAAGTCGCCGTGGGCAGTACAAAACCGGCCTAGTATCAAGCGGGAGAGCCTGTGCCTCCGAACGCGGCTACTCCTACTAATCTTCGAATTCGAGTGCGGCAACACCAACGAGCTAAGTAGACCTTAAGGATTATCCGGCTGTCTAATTCTCAAACGCATAGCGATTTACCCATTCAACTACTTTACCACCTACTCCCAAGGTCCTCTGGTGCTGCCAACCTCAGTCTTTTTACTTACAGGAACTCAATGGGTGTGACTGTCCGATCCAAAAAGGAAGAAGAAGTGACATTCTATAAGAATCTGTCAAGAATTGGATACATCACATGACCCCTCTTTATTTCCTATTTTGTGCTAGTCTTTATTAGTTCAGTCGCCCTCTAAATTGTTGGGCATTCCCAGATTTATTCTAATCAGAGAAACATTTATTCGTGTATTGCAATTCCATAATGGGTAATCGTGCTGTCTATTTTTGACAGAATCTTTAGACTCTTAAGAGTGAGTGAGAAGGAAAGAGAAAGGACAACAGACAGACTAAATACAGAGGTCTTCAAACTCTAGAGAGAGAGAGAGAAAGAAGGAAAGAGACAGGAAAACAGACAGAAAGGAAATCAGACAGACAAAATACAGAGGCTGGCAAACAGTGCAACGTGGTCACGTGCCGTCTGGATCACATGATCCAGGCGTGTGCCTTCCGGTCTTCACGAGGCTGCTGATTTGACAACCACAAGTGCATGGTATATGCTTCTTTGCTGGATAATGAAATCGCTACGCTCCTCTTTTCTACTACTGGACACTGTTTTGCTTGCGTCCCTTGATGTCATATCGATCCAGGTCCATAACTTTGGCCCAGGCGGCAACAAAGTCATTTACAAACTTTGCCAGTGCATCATCGGAACCATAGACTTCGGCAACTGCGCGAAGCTCGGGGTGCGAACCAAAGATGAGGTCTGCACGGGTTGCCGTGTATTTGGGCTTGCCGGTCTGGCGATCGTTACCCTGGAACTGCTCGTCGTTGGTATTGGCAATGGGCGACCAGTCGGTTGACATGCTCAAAAGGTTTACAAAGAAGTCGTTGGTAAGCTGTCCGGGGCGGTCGGTAAAGATGCCAAGCTTTGAGCCATCATAATTGGCATCAAGGGCCCGCATACCACCGACCAGGACCGTCATCTCAGGAGGGCTGAGGGTGAGAAGCGCGGCCTTGTCAACCAAATACTCCTCGGTAAGAGAGCGGGTAGTTCCATGGCCGTAATTACGGAAACCATCTGCCTGTGGCTCGACTACGGAGTAAAGTCAGTAAACCGCAATGACACGTGCAATGTGATGCTCAAACATACGATAAGCAAACGTCGCAACGTCAGTGTTGTTCTGCGTGGTATCCACACGGCCAGGAGTAAAGGGGACACTGATATGCATGCCTGCATCCTTAGCAGCCTTCTCAATAGCCGCGGCGCCACCAAGAACGATCAAGTCGGCAAGAGACACCTTCTTGATTTTATTGGCCGAGTTAAACTTGTCTTGAACTCCTTCGAGCTACATGAAGATTAGCGACGAGTCACACTAGTCGAGTCATGAAGGAAGGTTCTGCCACTTACTGCCTGGAGAACGGTTTCTAGCCGCGAAGGGTTGTTTGCGGCCCAAGAACGTTGAGGCATCAAGGCAATGCGCCCTCCGTTGGCACCGCCACGCTTGTCGGAGATGCGGAAACTCGAAGCAGAGCCCCAAGCGGTGGTGACTAGATTAGAAACGTTCACACCGGGTGCCGCAAGGATGTCCTGTTTTAATTGGTTCATATCCTGCTCGTCAATTTGCCCGTAGTAAACAGTCGGAAGAGGATCCTGCCAGATTAGAGGCGCCGTCTTCGGGACCTCGGGGCCAAGATAACGCGCAATGGGACCCATGTCACGATGAAGAAGCTTGTCTATCGGCAATCAGTTAGTACACCATCGTTAGGCAAGGAGCGGAGACATACACCAGGCCAACCCAAACTTCTCAGTAAAGTAGCCAAAGTCGTTCCAGAAAGTCTGCGAAATATTATTGTAAATTGGATCGTGGAGAAGGGCGAGATCGCTAGTCATCATCCTTGGCTTCTGGAATTTGCCGGGAATGAAGGGGTCAGGAATATCAGCCGTGGCGTTTACAGCTTCCCATTGTGGGGCCCCGTAGTTGTAGACAAGAGTCCAGTTATTCGTGAGCAGAGAGTCGAAGAAGTCTGTTGCAGGTGTGGTTAGTAAATGGTCGTGAGTTCAGTTTATGTATAAGGGCGCTGGAACTTGCCGTTTGCCCATTTAGTAGGAGTCTTAGACCAGATAACCTCGAGACCGCTAGTCCAAGTGTTGTTACCGACACCGGTATTGAAACTATTTTTCCATCCGAGGCCCTGTAGTTCAAGGCCAGCGGCATTCGGCTCAGGTCCGATGTAGCTTCCAGGAACAGCGCCATGGGTCTTACCAAAGGCATGGCCGCCAGCAATGAGAGCAACCGTCTCTTCGTCGTCCATCCCCATGCGACCAAAGGTCTCACGGATGTCAAGAGCAGATGCCTTGGGATCAGGTATGCCGTTGGGGCCTCTTGGGTCTACGTAGATGAGTCCCATGTCCGTGTCTCCAAGCGGGCTTTCGAGCTTGTCTGCTCTATCGTATATGT